GAAGTAGCTGCAATCGGTGATGAGCAGTGCTAACGATGCTATCGCCTTGCCTGCCACTGTAGTCGGTGCGAAAGAGCCCAGTGGCACTGTCAACGATCAGGACTGCCTTGGCCCACCATCTGCTAGGAAAGCCAACGAGCCCCACAGCCACTGGGCCTTCGACGTATCTTGACTCACAGAACACACTGGCAGCTTCTATAAGGAGCTTGTCCTTCAGATTCGCTGGAACAACGAAACCAGGAGGTGGCAAAGACGCAAAAGACTGTCGTGCGTGATGGATCGCAAACACTGTGACATCATCTGCGCTGTCCTGGTGTTCCGCATTGTAGGCCCGCGCATATGTAACATTCTCGAGAACGTCCTCCAATGTGCAGTTTTCGAACCCAACCAGAAAAAGCAGAGGGTGGTCGGGTCGCCTCTTCGTTCAAACCGTAGCGTTTGGCTATGTCTGCCAGTCTTTCCGGTCGGAAAGTGCCCTTCGACCAGGAAACCCAGGTTGAGGCATCAGAAAGCACTGGGCACCAACCTCTGTGTCGATGTACAAGGCCTGGGCAAGACGAGCGGTTCTGATCACCAGCGCAGGAGTTGCAGGAGCTGTGCAGGCCTTGCTCTCACCGCCTCCCCGGCTGATCGGCAGCTGGCATGCCACGCAAAGCGTGTGGCCTGAGTCTGTACAAAATCTCCTGCAGGCATGTCCTTTGTGGTGCTTGCATGCTGACATTCATATGAAGGGTTGCTATTGATGCGTAGGCGCCGGACAGAGCTGAGTTTTGCCGCAACGAAATTCACCGAATATCTGTGCAAGAGCGGCTGGCAAGTGCCCAAAATGTTCGCCATGCACTGCATTGCACCGCGAGGCCTCCGTGATTTGCCCGGTCCTGGCACAAAGCATTGGACCAATTGACACCACTCGACATCCCGATGCACGTGGCTGCTCGAGTGTGCTCTTGCTTGCTTCTTGGTCTCAAGAAAGGGGTCCCTGCGTTGCACATGAAGTCATCTGTCACTGCAGAGTTGCGAAAAGAGACCTCCATGATCTGATGAGGCAGTGAAGTTTACATCAACATGCCTCATGCCTGCCTGTTGTCCGAGTCTCTGTAGAAGCGTGATGGGCCAATACAGCAACCCAACAGGCCGGCATGACTCTACGCCTCCTTTCAACAAGCTATCAAGCTTGACTGATCCTGTGGTAATTTGAACCTGCCAAGGAACGAAGCCGACGAAAATTCCAACACAATCTTTTCACGGCCCCCGACCATATTCTTCCGAAGCTGGAGCATTTCTGCAGCACTGACCTCAATTGTCAGCTGCCGTCTGCGAGTGTCGAATGCTTCTGCATCTGTGGTACCCACCATGCGCATTGGAACAAGCTGCTTTGCAGCTGCATGGATTCGGGCTGCCTCACGCTTTTGGACTGTTCCGTCCAGGCCAGCGGACATGTAACGTGCAATTGCCCATCGTTTAAAGTTTCAAGCAACACTCATCCAAGGATGCAGCTTTGGTTTCGCCGATTCCTTTGACCTCATGCCTCGGTGCGAAGAGCGAGACGAAAAGTAATGCCTGCAAAGTCAAGGTTGAGGCGGTCACAGCTTTCGCAAAGGCATGAATGCGATGGTCTCAACCTCAGCCGGCTCAAGTCGACTCAGGACAACTGCCACCACGTGTGACACAAGCCAGGACAGGATAGGACACGATATGACACGATAGTTCTTAGAGTAACCATGGGGAATACTCTAAAGGAGACCCCAAACAACAATTCTACTTACAAGTATGACTATTCTTGGCATCATTTGCGGCTGCTACAAGTAGCTCGCTCAATGCATCAACACATGACGAGGACCCAGGGCTCCGTCGCAATGGATGCCGTGGTCGAGAAGTGCATTCAAGTCGGTCTGCGCACGTGTTGACTCGTCCATGTACCGACTTCGGCGCGCATCACTTCAGCAGCACACCTTCGAAATGCCTGCACCCTTCTGGTCCACTGTTGCGCACAAGCGCTCCAACTGCCAAGAAATGAACATCTTGATACATATCACTTGGGAAAGCCCTCGTTCCACCCGACACGGTGCTCGTCCAGAGGCTTTGGCTATATCACCACTGCAATACTTCCTGCAAAGGAGTCCAGCGGATCGCAGCTCAGCCAGCTGAGGCCAGGAAGTTCTGCAGAGAAGCCGAACAACAAAAAGGAAGCTTTGGCTTTGGATGCGTTAGGTTTCAGCTTTGCGTCCGAACTAAACTTAAGCCGGAACCAAAGCTCCATGCCCAAGCTGCAGCTTCGCCCTGAAACTGCTCTCAGCACATATGTCACTCACATTGACATGTCATCGACGGTATAAAGATCTGACTACACGACGCTGCCTGCTGTTTCGTTTCTGGAAACGGCCCTCACATGCGCACGCAGAGCCGGACATGCCGGATTCACCCGGGTGATGCCAGGTTCGTCATTGTCGTCTTCAGCTTGTACGACCTTTCAGTTGGAGCATGCACGGCCGAAACACACAACACACAGCCACACCGCAACGCAAAGATAGTCGCCTGTGCGCTCGGGTCGACAGCCTCGCAAACTCCATCAAACTCCCAAGCGGCAAGAGTCCCTCACTGCACGCGGCGCTCTCTCAGTGCCTCTGCCGCAGGTTCCTGCACGGAACGAGAATCAGGTGCAAACCAGCATCACTGATCATGCATCATACACACGACATGCTTACTTTGTAGCCAGATCCCTCGTCGTCCTCGGCGGCCTCTCTTCTTGCTCTTTTCGGCTGTCGCGCCTGGTGACTATGCTAATGTCGCTTGCATCTGTCTGTCTGTCCGTCTGTCTTTCTATGTGTGCTCGTGGAACGTCCGTGCCTGTGAGCATCTGTAATTATGTGCGAGTGTGTGCATGCATGTGAATGTGTGTACAGACGTCTCCCCAGCATCCCACCCCGTCCCTGCGCGCAAAGCGGTGCATGGGTGTCTGGGTGTCTGGGTGTCCGGGTGTGTGGGTGTCTGGGTGTGGGGGCGTGTGGGTGTGCAGATCCGTGGGTCTGCGGGTCCGTGGGCCTGTGGGTGGGGGTTTTGGGTCGGTGTGTGGGTGTATGGGTGTATGGTTGTGTGGCTGTGTGGCTGTGTGGGTGTGTAGGTGTGCGCTGTGTGGGTGTGTGGGTGTGTAGGTGTGCGCGGGTGCGGGGGTGCGGGGGTGTGGGGGTGTGGGGGTGTGGGGGTGTGGGGGTGTGGGAGTGTGTGTTTGTTTGTGTGTGTGTGTGCGTGCGCACATCCTGTTACCAAGGATTCTGTAAATGCTGGGGGATCAGGCTTCCAGTGACTGACCTGATCCAACGAAGCTAGGTCACTGGAAGGGAAGTGACTGAGGACGCTCAGTCATGTACCTGCAATTTTCCTTGACAAGAGTGAGTGCGATTGCTTTGAGATAGCCAGGTATGTAGTCAGCCACAATGTTATCAAAGCTCAGCTTGGAGACCTGCACACATGTGTGTGTGTGTGTGTGTGTGTGTGTGTGTGTGTGTGTGTGTGTGTGTGTGTGTGTGTGTGTGTGTGTGTGTGTGTGTGTGTGTGTGTGTGTGTGTGTGTGTGTGTGTGTGTGTGTGTGTGTGTGTGTGTGTGTGTGTGTGTGTGTGTGTGTGTGTGTGTGTGTGTGTGTGTGTGTGTGTGTGTGTGTGTGTGTGTGTGTGTGTGTGTGTGTGTGTGTGTGTGTGTGTGTGTGTGTGTGTGTGTGTGTGTGTGTGTGTGTGTGTGTGTGTGTGTGTGTGTGTGTGTGTGTGTGTGTGTGTGTGTGTGTGTGTGTGTGTGTGTGTGTGTGTGTGTGTGTGTGTGTGTGTGTGTGTGTGTGTGTGTGTGTGTGCGCGTGCGTGCGTGTGTTGTCAACGTGTGCTGTCAGCGTGGGTTGTCAGCGTGCTGGGTGTTGTTCTTTGGTCTGGTGCACATTGTGTGTTTGTCACGCTCATGCGGTGCATGCTTTTTCTATGTCATGTTAATTTGTGCTTCATCATCTTGTATTCTGTTTCATCAAATGGCATTATGTTTTGTCACATCTGTTTATGCTCTATCACTATCGTACTAGCTTGTACATTATACTGCATTAAGTTGTATTCTATGTTGGTGGGTCTCTCATGTTATATCAAAACATGCTATATGCTGTTAGATCATACCATACTATGCTATATGTTGTTGTATGTTCTCTGTATTAACATAGCTTTTACTGTATTGTCGTATGTCCTATTGCATCACATGTTCTACAACATTTTTTATATTATGTTGTATATGTATATAAGTACATAGACATAGACCTATACATATACCTACACAAATCCCTACATATGTATATACACTGTCACTGTGCCATATTCTATTGTGCGTTGTAACCTTATGCTAAATTTTGTGTATGTTCGTATATCATCCGAAACTCAATTGTATTGTATTTTGAGAAAAGTTATAGTATGTTATAGTAGTGTGAATGTATCATATTGTACTATGTGATATTATGTTAGATGAGAACATGTTAACTTGTACTATGATAAGTCATATTACACTGTGTTGTGGCAAATCTCATTACATCAGATCATATCATATTGTCTCATACCATACCATACCATACTCATATTATACCATACGATATCCCATTCTATTCTGTCATATCGTCGTACTGTGACACATCATATCATATCATATCATATCATATAGTACACTGTACTATATATCGTGTCGCATGTTTTGCTTTGCCTGCTGCTCCATCAGCGCGCGGGCTACCCCGAATCAGGCACCAAGTTTCGACCAGCGTCCCATGTTATCGTTATGATTTCTTATGCATGCTACTCACTGCCATGCTGTTAGGCCAGCTACTTGCGAATGTTGCCAGATCTGCATGAGGAGTTTGCAGGCTGTCATGCAATGGCGGGATCGGAGGCTAGCCTGCAAGTTCGCAGCCTAAGCTGGAATCATCCGAGCCATCGGTGTGCACTGCTGTCACCGTATCGGAGACTCCGCATGGATCCCTGATGGCATCATGCCCTGATATGCTGGATGTTGCATGCAGTTGCTGCTCTACTGGTGCTGTGCAGAGGTTTTCGCAATCCGAGAGCCGATGGTCTGCAAATGGTCCGCCGAATCGCCTTGATATCAAGCAGGTCACATCATTGCCTGGTACCAACACATCCTGGTCCTAGTCCTTTTGCTCTTCGGAATGACATCTGACAGAGTGCTGCATTGCACTGCATGACCCACAGGGCTCCGCACCCAATAACTGTCACTTCCTCGGCAGGAAGTCAAGCAACACAGCAGAGCAAGCGATGTTAGGCTGATAATTAGACTAAATTGGCTCAAACGTGCAGTGCTGCGGGCTGCCACAATGCATTACAGGATGCTCTGCACAACATGTCACGACTTCCATCCTGCTGCCGAACCACTGTCGGCCACTGCACGCTCTCCGCTGAAAGCTGGGGGGCCTGCACAGACTTTAGCGCCATGCTGTTTTAGCAAAAGGGAACTCGGAATGTCGGCATCTGCCTGTGTGCCCTGCCAACGCCATGGGCGCCGCACTGGTCTTTGCCGGTCGGCTGCCATCCCTGAGCAACGTGTGCCCCTTGGGTGCTGCGCATGATGCACCAGACTGAGGCAGCTGCGTCCAAATATTGAAGTCAACCTGCAGCACAGCAGACAAGTTGTTTGACCGGTTTGCTGGAATTACAATTCCTTGATACTCATGTATAAGTGCACTTGTCTGCATATGCACGAAGCTGTACTGAAGACTGAAAGCCACTGCAAAACACGAGGTAGGACGTTGCATCAACACTGTTTCCGGCAGTCCTATCAGCATTCATGCCGTGGCAAGACACAGCGGTCATGTCTTCAAAGGAACGACCTTCTATAAAGCTGCCACAGCAGAGCCGACAGTGTTTCAGCGTTGGGCAAGTCATTCTAGTGATCCAATTGCTTTTTGTCCAGGGGTCTTGTCGGCCCACAGTTGGTACCCACAGGCACTGCGGCTTGTCGTTCGGAAACTCTGATCAAGTACATTCAAACCGCGATCTCTCTCTCTGTCTCTCTCTGTCGGCCTGCAGAGCACGCAGGGCAGGGGGGACGAGCCAAAAGGGCGGTCTGCACAGGCAGCTTGCAAAACTGCATGAACAAATGGTCGCCTGTGAGGTGCCTGTATGGTTTCGTGATAGTTCATGTTCGCGCGTGACTGCAGGTAGGACCACAGGTCCTGAGCGTTGGCCATGTGCAGGTAGGATTTTTGTGATTGTTGTGTGAATGGGACTTCTGGTGGCGCGGCTTGGTCGTATGCCATGGAGTTTGGCGATGTTCGGTGGGTGTTAGTGGTATTTCGATGTAGAATGGAGTGGGCAAGTTGCGACTTGGGCTACACCTCAGTCGAGGAAGCCCGCCTCGCTACGAATCCGGAAAAGATCCACAAAACAATCAGAATTTTCTCGACACAGCCTATTTCAACCCCAAAACAAAGACAAAGGAGACGATGCTACGTTTTTTCTGGCTTTAGGCGTCCGCTGTCCCGACCCGTAGGCTCGCGCCCAGCTCTGTTCTGTTCTCCGGCTCTCTGTATGTATATATATATATATATATGCTACCCCCCCCCTCAAGGATCTACCTTTTTCGTGTGTTTGAGAGCCGGATGGGAAATAGTTGATATTCTATAACGTATTCCCTTCTCTTTATAAATCCTTCACTAAATACGCTTCGACTCGATCAAAGATTTCGCAGATCCTAAATTCTGCATTTCCTTCATATACACACTGAGTTTTTCCAAGCGACATACATTCGCGCACGGCCTCTTCTCGTATTGCAAAAGAACGCAAGGTTGCATGCATGTTCTGTGTGTGTATAGGTTTTTGCATGCAGCAGTATGGGCTGTGAAGGTAACACGCAACAGGAGAGCAAAGATATGTCATCCCGTATCACGACAAGTATAGATATGAAAAGAGGACCCTATTTCTACACCTCCCATATATAAGACGCATCGGGATTATAGATAATATCCGTGAACACGAAATCTATCGATATTTCCAGGGTTCAATACCTTGTATTTCAGCAATATAGTACCCTTTAACAGTATATATACCCTGAACACATATAACACCGCACGCATTATATTACACATACCCTATAGGACACTCTATGCAAGACACTATATAGAATATCTTGCAAGATGTCCTTTAGAATACTTTCTCTATGTATCTTAAGACTTTTCAGATGGAATGCACTGATATAGAATACCCTCATGCCTTATTGAATACCCTAGAGCCTCTAGAATACCTTATCATATACTTTCAGTCACAGCCTGTATATCTCTTGAAAATCTAGAATACCTTACAAAATACGACATAGAATACCCTACAGAATACCTTATGGAACACATCGTACCCTCTATACATCGTGCGCCTCATGGAAGACCATCTGGAATACTCTCTAGAAGACCTTACAGGATGCCCATATGGCCCTATACATGACAGTCCTTGTATACAGTATATATACCATGAACCCATATAACATTTAGTGGCTCAAAACCAAACTTTTCAACTTTTGGCGCCTAATAAGGTAATCTTGTTGCGAAAGTTTAAACTTCTTACACCCCCATAGGGATATGGGAAGTAAGAGTACCTATAGATAACCTTTCAACGAGCCCAAGATCTGAGAACCCCTCATAAAGAAGCAGCCTATTGGGTAAGGGATTTCTAGGAGTGATCCAGGGGTCGAGGAGAATAACCTAAAGAATACCACAAACCTCAAAGAATTTCGTACAGGTGACCCTAGATAATACGTTATAGAATATCCCCTATATACCTCATAGATACCTTCTTGAGTACCCTCTAGCCGTATAGCCTATACATTACGTTATAGAACACGTTCTGTAAGATAATCTTTACAATCATGTTGATGCCTTGTACAATCCCTTATACAATGCGTTATGGAGTACCCGATAGAGAGCCCAAAACAACGTTACATACTTGGCCTTTTATAGGCCTTGTACGATATCATCTGCAATCCCCTACCGACTAGCTTACAGAATACACAATATCTATGATACCCTCTGAGTACCCCATAGGAAGTCCTAAAGAAAACCTAACGGATATTCTATAACATACCCGTAGAATGCACCATCGAATGCCTTGTAGAATACTTTATAGATAACGGATTAATGGCAGGATAATCAGGAGCAGAATGCTCTGCGCTGTACCTGCTATGTGCCCAATGAAGAAATCAAAAACAAGAGCATATAGAACACCTTACACGATACTCCTTCTTTACATCTTAAAAATTTCGTATAGATACCCATAGATTATAGAAACCTTTTATACCTTTATGAATCCTGTTGAATACCCGTTGGTTTTTCACCAATATTCACAGACCAAAAAATGAACGCTCTCCATCATTTTGAAAAACCGCTCACCAACACGCAGCACTCGAGATCCTGGTAAACACGTTCGGCACATAAGATTCAAATTCCTCAACCCTGAACCTGAAACCCCGCCCACTTGGGACGAAGCGGGATTGCAGTCAAGCGGCCCTGATTCAACTCAATCGGCCCCGATTGAACTCAATCGGGGGCCTGATTGAAGATTGAAGATTGAAGATTCCCCGGCAAAGTTTTCGAGGGAATCTTCAATCTTCAATCCGGCGCGCGATTCAATTCAATCGGCCCCGATTGAACTCAATCGGGGGCCGGATTGAAGATTGAAGATTCCCCGGCAAAGTTTTCGAGGGAATCTTCAATCTTCAATCCGGCGCGCGATTCAACTCAATCGGCCCCGATTGAACTCAATCGGGGCGGGGGGGGGATTGAGTTCAATCGGCCAGATTGAACTCAGTCGGGCCAGTGTGGAGTTCACCCAACCACCAAACGGTCCATCGGGTAGGCCCTCCCCTCAAGGATCTTCCATTTTCGTGTGATGTGGCTCTCAAACACACGAAAAAGGTAGATCCATGGGGGGGGGGGGGGGATACCATATATATATATATATATATATATATATATATATATCTCTCTCTCTCTCTCACCCTCTCGGTCATCTCACTCTTGTGCAGCACCTCCGCGTCAGATGACGCGCTGGAGTTGGTCCTGTTTGCCCGATTTACAAAAAGCGGCGCGACAACTGTTATCATATCCCAGTTCGCAGTCTTCGCCTCTGTTGCCTGTTGTCTGGCACGCTGGGAGCAGCCAGAGCGGCGCCTGAATCCTGCCAATCATAAACGAACTAGGGGTGAAGACGACAACAATGAAAGGCATCGACACTGTACGACTCAGATTCCTAACTTAATGGCTCAGCTATAGAGAGCATTCCGATTTGGAAGACCTCGCTGGAATGGCGCCGGTGCATGTCCAAGTCTTTGCCTGCCATGAGATGTGAAAGAGTGATCGCTCTGTTGTTCGATGAACCACAGCCCCTGCTCGGATGTGGCAGGTGCGTGCAGTGAGTTCTGTCCGTATTACGAGAGCCCTGGCTTGCGGTGGTTGAGCCCCACCACGTCGACATCACGAACAATCCCTGCAGGCAACACCTTTGCAGCTCTTGCCTGACACCTGCACACGGCGGAAATCCGGAATGTGCCAAAACGAAGAGCGTCAGCAGTCCGCCTGCGAAAGCTGTCTGGACCTGTCTTCCGAAGAACGCTCAATGACACTCCACTTCTCCCTAGTTACCTAGTTCATCCTCAGCCTCTGCGCAGTACTCAGCTTGCGGGATCTTTGAAGCCATGCCTGCATAGGAGCTGCCCTGAACCCCGCAACGGGAAACGGCAGTCCGTCAGCTCTCATATATGCAGCTCGCAAAGATTTGAGACCACACACGGCTGCAAATGCTTGGATTCCAATCTTGAGTGGAGGCTGCCTGTCGTCCGACCACACCCACATCCACTGCCTCTGTCACACACACGCACAAAACATGGCACGAGCCTTGCAGTAGAAAACTCCGCCGATGACACTGTAACATTCAGCGTTCCCTGCCACCTGGTCGTCCAGCAGCAACAGAGATTCTTCAGCCTGCAAGTCTCTTCTCCAAGAATTTAATTTACGACGACCGATAGCTTGTGACAGAACTTGCCAATGCAGAGAAAGCCTGCACCTGAAGCCCACTGCTTCCTGCCAGGACATGCATATCTTCTAGTCTACCGACGGAGCGTGGGCTGTGGTAGCATGGCAACCGTAGCTGTGAAACCTGTCTTGGACCAGCCTTCTGCGAGGAAGGGGTGCCGGCGGAGGGGGTCCTGCGCAAAAACATTCTGGCAACGACGCTCGCTGTGGTTTACGTCACGAACCGCTCATCAGCACAGTCAAAGAGTCAGAGGTCGGGACTGGCGAAGGAGATGACATTGCCGTGGCTGAAACCAGTTTTTCGGTTTCGGCCTAGGCTGAGAGCTGCTGTTACGAAATCTTCCGTCTGCCCGTCCGCTGCCATCAGCCAGGGTGCCACAGGTACTGACTCAAAGGCCTCACACAGATGTGTGGTGAATGCTTGCTGCAGCTGCTAGAAGAGAGGTGCCTCAGCAAGGATCATGGACCTGGGTGTGGAGCATTCTCCAGTCAGCCAGGCCTCCGTGTCAGTCAATAGCAATTGAAAACCCTCCTCGAAGTTTCTGGCCTCAAGCTCTCGCTCCTGGTACCTGCATTCTCCACTGCAGCTCCATCGCTGAATGCATGCAGCACAATTCACAATTGTATTTGTTGACATGAATGTTTCAATTCTGCGAACAACGGGCGCACTGAGCAGATGAGAGCCACATTCCTCGGGCTCACAATGTTTCCCCACTTGTAGCTGACCCAGCATTCTTCCCACACATCCCACATCTGACATCTGCTGCACGATGGCTTCCCAGACAGCCAAGGCGGGGAGCACGCAGAGCGAGGAGGTGGTCGAATAAAGCAGTGGATGACAGTTTTTGCCGTCTTGCGTCGGCATTGACAGACTGCAACTGCTTTGGTTGCAGCTCCACCGCAAGCTTAGCTGACTGCACAAGTTCACGAACAGAGAGGCACTGCCACTTGAGTGGAGGATCCTTTGCGACCATTCAAGCATCAGCCCGAGCCGTGTCTTCGACAGGCTCTCAGGCCCGTTCGCTGCGTAGCCGAGCCTCTCCGTCAATTCCTGGAAGATTTAGGGGGCCAGCTGAACCTTGAAGAACCTCTATGTGCCCTACATCTGTGGGGGACATGCCCACTGTACTACTGCTGCGTCATGCTGCGTGCAATCGCACAAACGCTCGATGCAGCTCCAGTCGCGGGCCTTCACGTTGTTGGCTCGTGCAACCTCTCATCCATGGTGTCCGGGTAATCTGCGCAATCCTTGCATCGACAACAGCTAATGACATGCCATGCAACCACAATCGCCGCGTTAGATCTCTCCTGATCTGTCCTTGGCCTCGCTTTTTGTTGCCGCCGCTGTTTCACGCTCGGGGCCGGTGCCGCTGCAGGACTCTTACGGGCTTCAGCATGCTAAAGGCAACAAGAAAGTGCGGGTGTTGAAGGATTTGCAAAATTGAATTCTGCGCATCGAGATTCACAGGCATTGAGGGTCCCCAGCACTGAATCTTCTCCCATTCTCACGAGGCTGGACGATGCTGCAATTCAATCAACCCAACGTTAACGAAGCGCTTGTAGGTGTTGATGCACACCAAGACTCGATTGCGGGATGGGACACTGCAGAGTTGAACGACTGGCTTTCGAATGTCGTAAGAAAGTACGGTGTCACTTCGAGAACTCAGCGGGTCCTTGGCCTTGCTGGCTTGATCTGACTGATCTGTTGACATCTGTTGACTCTCAACACTGGAGGGCAGCCCTTCGCAAAGGTTCCCCTTGCTGCTAGTTGGATGCTCACACCTTCTTGTGCCTGTGGGCAGCCCACTCCAGTTCTTCAAAAAACTAGGTACAAGTGCGATGTCGAGTCGGCAGCATGTCATGTGGCTAGATGGCACGACCTCTGCCAAGTCTCTGATGTCGTGGCTAAACCGACAGCGGGTCCATTCGCAACTGCCGCGACCAAGTTTGAGACTTGTGCACCACATAGTGCCTGGCACGACGTTCACTTCGAGAGGCGCCAGTGACTGTGCCATCACCTCTCGCCTTCTGGCTGCCCCCAACAGAGCAGTCTGTCACGGCCAGAGATCTCAGCGGTTCAATGCGCAGAAGTCTCACATGTCCACTCGCATCACTGCCTGCAACACGGCCCGGAAGTAAGGCAACAACATAAAACGTGAGATCCAGCTGAACGAAGAGATCACATCCAAGATGTCTATGCTGCAGGCCCTGCAAAACACTGTGCTCGCGTTTTCACGTTACGCCACGGCACCGAAAACCCCTGCCTTGGCTCGGGACAAGCAAGTGTTGCCGTGTGAACTTGCAGCGTCGCCCGTACGAGGAAAGCTGCCTCAGCAGACTGCAATGCGCCGCCGCCAAAGAGCGAAAGGAGTAAGTGCTGCAATGCATCGAAGTCGCGGCGTTCGTCACATCCACGACGCACTGTGTGACGTCAAAGTCTCGCATCGTGCCCATCTCGGAAAGGTCTTGATGATGATGATGATGACGATGATGATGATGCTGCTTTTCATTTCCGTTCAGCAGACGACCGGTAGGCAAGGTGTCTTGGCAGGGGACCGTCCTACTTCACACATCAAGGAACGTCTACATTAGGCGTTCCTTCTCCCGGAGGATGTATTCCCACCGTTAAATCAAGACCCTTTCTCCACCCTCAGTTACAAAAGCTGTCCCACATCACCTTCTCTGTGAAACCGTGGCTATGCCGCAACCAGCAAGCAGCCCTTGGACAGGGCTTTGGAAAGGCCACCAACGGACCCCGGACTTGGACACTTGCCAAGGACAGCAAGCCTAACAACTTCAGAGAAAACAAAGTACAGGCGCATGTGTACGGGGATCCACCAGACACGCAAAGCTCTAGACTCTTTACGAGTACAAGTATTTCTGGATATTTCTGGTACTCGTTGGGTGCAAGTTGATTCGCCGACGACTTCTGACTGATGAACACACACACACACACATGCTGCTCTCTTGATAAGTCTTCGCTCAACCCAGGCTTTCCGGTGACCAAGAGGACATTCGGCGGCAATACAGCTTTGCCTCTGCGACTAGCCTGATGTGGGATTCCAGCCACACTTGCTACTTATGAAATCTTCCTGCAGCCCAAGTACATGTCTCTTGCGCGCCATGATGACGGCTGGCCCAGCACCAGCTGGGAGGAATTGCTCCCAGTGATAATATGGATGTGTCTTGCGATTGCGATCGATGTGGAGGAGCAAGGCACTGATTTTCCCTCCGAAGTCACAATCGTTTTTGACTGCTGCACCACTCGAGGCAACTTCTGCAAAATCGGCCATCAGCGCAGTCCAGTCAGCAGCACATAGCGCCCCCGAGTTCAACGCATCCCCACAGGACGATGCTGCCAAGCTGATGTACGATGCCACCCAGCTTATAGAGGCGATAAAGCCAGCGATACTCACAGCACATCCAGAAGGAGTGTCTTTTGGACATTCGAGACCCTGGTAGTCTATGGCTCGATACAAGAAAACCACTGCCTGCACCAGATATGCCGATGCTTGAACGGCATCAACAACACATTGCGTTCTTACCCAAGGTAGCTCTCCATCCTGGTATGGCCCATACTGGGTGAAAAGGTCGCGCAGATTCCGCGGTGTCTTGGCCGGATCCAAACCTGCATCATCGCGAGCAGCTTGCAAAACATGCAAGGATGATCATGACAGGCATGAAGACAGCATCAAAACGACAGACAGTACAAAAAGCCAGCGCCTTCTGCACGTTTGATAACACCCGAAATGTTCGGGATTTGCTCCCATTCCTCTAGGCCAACCAGAGTCTTCCTGAGGCACTGCTGAAGCCGAGCCTCTTATACTCTGGAACTTTAGGCAGACTGAAGGACAGAAACTCATTTACGACTCCAAGACACGAAAAATGTCGATGAGCCATCGCATTCGGATAGAAGATCAGAATCGCCGCAGCAACGCAAAGCAAGAACATGCCGGTGGTGAAGCGACACCGTCTAGAAGTACTCAAAGCATCATCATCAGAGCTGTCGGCATCCCTCTTCACGACCTGCTCAGGTCCGAATCACAAGGTTGAAGGGAGAGAGACGGCTGATCTCGCAAGACTTCCGGCAAGGGTCACGTGGCCTGCGGCTGGTCTGTACCATCTTGGCCGATCAGCGCAGTTCTTTCTTCCTGCTGGATGGACTCGGATTCATGGTTGGCTCCATCCGAAATGTCTATCCACATTCCCTCGAGCTACTTGGCTGCACAAGCTAGCCCCGCATCACTGAGCCCAAAAACGAGCATAGGCCGGACTTGTTACGAGTAGCGTGGAAGCAGCACGACTCACAAGGATGACACGATAACGTGGAGTGACAATGGATTGGGTCCATCGCGTGTCGCGAAGCGCCAGCGGCGCCAAGCCCGGCTCAAAACCTGCGAACGACATCAAAGACTATAGCCTGGCGCCCGGCTGGACTGGCGAATCTAGCAAGTCTAACAAGGCCGCGAAGTCCAGTTGCGATTCGGTTTTGCGCACAAACGGCAAGTCCATCTTGCATGGATGCCTGCTGCACATGGGTGTGACGGCTCGAGCATACCTGCGCACGTGCGATCAAAGCCAAACTGATCAACCATCTCAGACGAAGAAGACCGAAGAAAGGAGCACCACAGGAGCTGATGCAACGGAGCTGGAAGACGTGTCCCTCATTTTGACAGCCTTCGGAGGCAGAACATTTTGAGCGGACTATGTCAGGCGAAGGCATAAAAATTGCACGTTGTCCCGAGTAACTGCTCTCAGATCAAGGCCAGCCAGAGTGCCGCAAGCCCGAGTCGCAACCTCGGCCACTGCCAAAGGCTTGCACAAGCTTTGAGTAGCTTGCTGAGGCGATCGTTCACGGCGCCTACCTGAAGTAAGCCAAGCGACAGCGATTGGTAGTAGTGCACCTTTCTGCATACAGGTCACGAGCACGCAGAGGCTTCCCACCACCTCTGAATGGCCTGAGCCATGGTTTCCATCATCTTCCGGCGAATCAGGTGCAGCCTTGCATGGAGCTCCGGAGCATTGCATTCCGCTGTGTTGTCGATGCTGGATACCGCTGTGTGAATACAAAAAGAAAGTCGAGACAGTTTACCAGGTTTACCACCACCCAGGGACGCAAAGGTTGACCGAGTTTAATGAATGACACCAGCTGCACATGCGAAACGACACATGCACCTTTGCTGCTTTGCTGCACTGAGACCCAGTCACTCGAAGCCTGCGCTCCACGTCTCGTTGCGCAAAGACGGCCTGGCGCTACAAGCGGGGCTATCAGCAATCGCGATCTGGTCAGCTGGCCATAGCTGGTGCAGAGTGTGCCTGACGCAACCGCCCCCAAACCGGTGCCAAGTGTGTCTGTGTAATCCTGCTCAAACTGAAAGTCCTAGAGTGTTGCACGAGGCAATCTGAGGAAGCTGTGGCAAAGGCCTCTGCAAGGCAAGCAGCAGAGGACGCCTGGCTGTCACTTGCAGAGCATAAGCACCCTAAGGTTCATATGTTGTTGCAAGCATGCAAGTATCGCTTTGGCGCCAGACGTCGTCCATGCCACACCGTGCGCCTCATCACGAGACCCAGCACAAGTCAGCTTAACCCAGCAGCGGGCTTGCACTACAATATGCCCTTGCCCCTGTTTCTCCTGACACAGTCATTGCACTAAACACCCTCCTCCAGTGATAGAAGCCTTACTTGCAGCTGTTGGCTGAATCAGCCCGCTGCTGTCCTAGGGTCGTGACCGTCTCCACAAGCGCAGCGCAAGCTGCAGCTGGCTGCGCAAGCGGCCCTCTTCTTTGTCGCGGACGGCATCGAGGTATCGTAGCCAAGCTTTCCACGGTTTCTTGACCGCCTTTGTAGCAAAGTATCGCAGAGCCAAAGCACTCAGCCTGCCCAGGATGATGGAATCATGCCACCATTCCGCAGGAGCCCCGAAAGTGGAGATCGCTCCACCTAGGGCGCTGCTTGGGCTAATTGGATCAGGTTGACTGACCACTTCGCTCTCTGCACTTCCTGTGGAATGCAGCGGATCTGGACCTCGCGAGAATGGCAAGGGCAGAGACGAATCTTTGGAATCTGACCTTGATGAGAAGGACTGTATCGAAGCTATCGGGCGAGATGCATGTGCATCACCCCGTGGGTGCGAAGGCCTGCTTCTGTTTTGCGAAGCCAAGTTGGAGCTTGGCCGTGACGAAGGAGCAGACTCGAATTCAGCTGGCGAAAAGGCGGAGTCACGGTCACGTTCCGGTTCCCCTTGGCCCAATGGGCCTAATCCCAAAGAGGGAATCAACAACTTTGGAGCCACCAGGCGACTCATGGCGGCACCGTGGCATGGGAGGAACCTCGAGATTTTGGGGCTTCTGACAGACTTGGACAAAGGTTTCCGAAGCATATCCTTATCCAGTGGTTATGGATTTATAGTGTCTGCTTCGACGTATACACTGCAGCTTGATGCCCACGACACACTGTCTCGGACGGCTGGAATGAGCACTTCTTGTTCTTGCCGGATTCTACTACGCAACAGTCCGCGTGAGCTTTTCCAAGCACCCTGGCAAGATCCTCACCTGCCCTAGCAAATTCGTGTGACACGGGTGAAGTGAAACTTTTGACCGGGAGTTGACACCAGCTATGTACATCGGCCGATTCGTAGAGCATGTCAGGCATGTCACGGAGATCACGCCAAGCGTCATGCATCCGACTTCGTCCCACAGAGTCAGTGCGGACATGTCGGACATGATCAGCAGCCGCTTCTTTGAGGCGTCTCTAACCCAATCACTGCAAACATGCAACCTACGAAGAAGAAGAGATATGAGCCGGGTGAGCATGCTTCAGGAAGGGCAGGCGGCGCCTGAGACAAACCATGCAAACCATCCGAAAGAGGCATCGCGAGTCATATCCTGACGACCCCGGGTGTCCGACCGGCTGACTTGGCCTCGGAGGCACCGCGGAGGCATTTTCCGGAGGAGGGCCGAGCGAGGATGAGGCCACGGCATCTACGAGATGCCTTGCAAGCCGTGCAAAGCTGACATTCGTGCCGCGCCATGGTATGGTCATGGTCTTCCCAGGCCGGGCCACGCGTCCATCATGCGCGAATACCTCTCCAAATCTTCGTCGCTCCATGGTCCTTGCACTTGCACTGCACTGGCACTGCACTGGCACTGCACTTGCGCTGCACTGCGCCACCCAGGCTGAGATGTCGCGGCTCCTGCCGGCAGCTCCAAGTCCAGAGCCTCGGACTCGGTCGGGTTTTTGGCACTTTCGTTGGTCTCTGTCTCCCACCCTCACGGTGACTGAAGGAGACCGCCGGCTGGCAAAACCCATTACAGGACACTCAGACTTCAAGCTGCACTGTTGGGCAAGGCGCAAGCCTTCTACCAAGAAAGAAAACAGTCCTTTAAAGTGTATTATTATCTAACAAATACACTAAACATGATTTAGTACAAGTGACAGAAAGACAACAAGCTGTCAGAATCCAGCAAACCACCCTACTTGCACAACTGTATGGAAGAATGGCCGCTGGTGGAAAGGAGTGGCTGTGATTTGCTGTGTACTGCTTCCGGGCCTTGGCTGGTTCGACAATCTCGGCCACGGGGAGAAAGACCTTGGAGGCAGGATTTCGCTTTCGTAAGACAAAGCATCGCTGGAGGCTGCAGAGATTCTGACACACAGTTGAGAAACACCTTGACAAAAGAAACCGAAAGCATGCGGGAGGATCTGAACAGTTGTTGCTGGTGACCGGAATCATTTGTTTCCAAGCACACATCCGGCGACGAGGCGATCCGTATGATTACTTCGGCACCATGGATCTTGAAAGAAATTTTCAGTTAAAGTTTTGCGCACCAAGCTTCAAGCTCGAAGAATTGAAGCAATGGCTGGTTGTCCCGGCCGGCTCAGGTACAAGACAGCAACTCGTGTGCATGATGTGCTGCTGAAGCACAAGCATGACCGTAGATGTTGAGAACCAAGTGTACACCGACCGTATCAGTGTCGAGTCGGCAGCAAACTATATGATCTCTCCAACTACCCCGAACTCTTCCGCTACTGCTTCTGCGGAACAGCTACTAGACACGTCAGCGCTACGTGGGCAAGGAGACATAAGGAGACAGCAGCTGCAGCTCCATCCCAACTAGGTCCACGGCAGGAGCGTCGTCGTCGGACAAGCTGTAGTCATCGCCTCGAGCCGAGTCAAAATGCTGATGCGCTTGATTCACGATGTAAGGAGCAGGCCTGCAGCCATGTGGCCAGCGTCCTCACCATCCCATTCCGAAACAATCGCCTGCTCGTAAAGAGCTTGGTGACAAGTGTTCATTTCATGCCTACACAAAGTGAAAATAAACTTGAACTATTTCGCGTGCACCTCGTCGCCCTCTAGGCCAATCTCTTCAGGATTGTCCAGCCCGTGGCCTGCTAGAACTACAGTACTTGTAGAGAACAAAAGCTGTGGCTTCAATTCTTCCCACTATCTTGGGTTCGTGCCGTCGCTCAAGCGGGCTGCTTCCTGCAAGAAGAATCGCGAGTACCCACTTGGGAGCTACTTGTCGGAAGGCCTCCGAGACTGGCCATTCCAAGCAAGCATCTGAGGAACCTCGCGGGAAGACTTTTTGTTTCGCACGAACCAGACCTTTAACGGCGCCTGGCCTTCCGGGTCTGTGCCGGCACGAGCACTGGATAAGGTTGGAATCGTCAGAACGTCTGCTGACCCCCAATCTGCAGGATCGCTCACGGATTTATTGTGCACTCTGTCATGACTGGCTTTGCAATGCCAGAGTCGCCTCCCCTCACAAAAGCATCCACGTCAACGGCAGGTAGTGTCCCGCGAGCCTGCCATCCATGCTGAATGACAACGCTTTCTCGGACTCTGAGAGCCAGCTGGCTCGAACGAGAACACAGCAGAGTTTCAGCAGGAGTACCAGTCTAAGGCTATGTTCATACATTGCACAGACAAGCACTTGCAGTTTCACCAGAATCGAGGGATGGAGAGTACATGTCATGCTTGAGTCGAGAAGCGTTTGCGCGATGTACTGCAAGTAACTCAACGACACATTCCCAGAAACATCTGGGGGAACGGGAAACATGACCATTTAGCAGACTTCAGGTCTCCAGGAGGTTGCAAGTTGCAAGGTCTGTTGCGTGGCATCTCATGTGCCTGAGTACTGTAGCGGAACGCACCTCTTTAAGAACAAAGCGGCAATGAAGCACTAGCGTGCTCAAACTTGATCCTCTTCAATCTCGACGTGCTCACGTCACTCGGATTGAAACCCATGATGCGAGACAGGAACTGACGCTGGAAAGAATCAGCAGACCCGCCCGTCCCTCAATCTCCGCGCTATCCAACATCCAACTTGCATCGTATCGCAAAGATTGCAGTTTAAGGGTTTGGCATGTACGACTGAGTTTAGTGGGTCTCTTGTCAGTTCTTGCTGACTTTTTGGTTTCAGCGTTGGGGATTGCAGGTCTTAGGTCGAAGCCAACTGTCCAATTGCCGGGGGGTCCAGCAATCCGGAACTTTTGCTGAAAAGCTATCGAATCCAAGTCCCTGGAAGCCCACGTCAGTGCATTGTGTCAAATGCTGAAACGGCATCGGGAGGCTCAAACCATGCTTTTAGAGCCCCATACTTCCAGCTATGTCGCTCCCTAGACGTGCAAACCCTGTGCGCCATGAACTGAGGCAGCTACCGTACATTGTGTGTACCAACCCTGACTTTTACAAAAACCCTTTACTATGAACCCTAAACTTAGGTCCGGAACCAGGAAGTTCGGAAGAGTCGAATCCAGAAGTGTGGGACAAGAGCTTTGCGAGCTCGTGATATTGCTGGCTTGTCTAACTTTGAACTTTGAACCTGCTAGAATCTGCTAGAAAGACATGCGGAGCTGAATGGTAAACTCCGCCAGCATCACCGCAGGAACTCCGTTTTCTGCCACATTTGAAGCCTCTCTGGCGAGATCCTGACGGCAGAAGCGCGCTTTCGGCACTGCGCGCAGTTCTGCGCGTCGCGAGTCGCTACACCGGGGCCGCAGAGCGGGCCTCCAAGCGAGTCGCCCAAGTGGACATCTCGGGCGTAGGTCCCGTAGCTCCCTGTCCCATGACTTCGAGATCTTCTGCCTCCGTCAGGCTGTGCACTTCACGGGCGTTCTTCTGCCGAAACGCCCCCGAAAGTCTTTCTCAATGCATCTATGTGCATGCACGCGCCCTCTCTGACGCCCCGTGGAGCTCAGCCCGCTCCGTTGCTTGGCCATTCTGTGCAGTGTTTCGGTCAACAACAATTAACGCTCAAAGTTGGATTGGCCGGGCGAGGTGTCTGCACGTGCGGATGGTTGCAAGTAGACACCCTGTTCAATTCAGGCACACAGACACACCTTAGCCTTGAACGTTCGAGCTTCTTGCAAGCTTTTCCTCGAACCTTCCCCACCATACTCATCGCTGTCCCCCGAAGCCGTGAGCCCTCAGACAGAGGGAACGCCACTCAAGCCTCTGGCTCGAAGGACCGAAATTCCCGAGTGGATTTTTTGCGTTTTCAGTTGGAAAGAGTTGAAGCGTCTGCGCGCTGGCAACTGCATACTGCTCAACTTACACCAAAGGCAGACCGTCTGCATTGACGTGCTGATCATTGCAAGCAAACTCTTTAGGTCAAGACAAATCGAAACACACGCGCAGCACGGGGATCTTCGATTTTCAACACAGTGCCATAGCTCTCTCTCCAACGGCAGCCTTGAGCCTTGAAGCAGGAATATCTTCTGAGATCCGCTGGCCTCCACGTTGGGCGGCTGGCTGGAGCTTTGCTCCAAGACGCGCACGCCTTTTCTGGAAAGTCATGATCCTTGCGCTTGCGGCAGTGCAGCAGGATCCTGAGGGACCAGCTGTCTTCAACTTCTTTCCAACTAGACTTCGCCTTGGATGGGCCGCATGATCGGCATGCAATGGGCATTGCTGCGAGGCGTGACGGCTTCCATAACATCCCTGCCCTCGCTGCCTCGACTGCTACATCGTCGAGGTCGCCTTTGCTTTGCTCCAGCCTGCGCTGTCGGATGGTGATTGACAGGGACACTCCCGCACTCCCGTTCTGCTCCGGCGCTCAGCTGCCACTCCTGGCCAAAATCTCTCTTGCTTTGGAGAGAGGCCCGGCGACTTCGAGTTCTGCAGTGTGCCTCTGCAGGCATGAGGCCAGTGATAGGAAAGCATGTCACAGACTTCAAAGTCTACAAGCGTGTCGGTTTCGCTTCACATGGACCAAGTTGCCCATGCTGCCGGCCTTGCAGCACTCTCATGCCAGCAAAGTCCATCAGACATAGAAAAGGCGATCCGCCTGGAGAGACAGAACTTTGTCGTCGACATCCGGCGTAGGCTGCGCGGCTACTGCCTGCCAGCATCTACCCCAGCCCATGTTGGCAAGTTCAGTGCTCTCAAGGCCGTCCTGGAGCAGCAATTGCTGAAGCTGCTCTGGCCGCAATTGCTCGGAAGGTCTTCTGCTACCCTCATCCTGTCAAAGCAAGACGTCCACAATCGTGAACACTGCGCTGTCTCGCAGCGCAACAACTCTACGCGAGCTCAAAGGGCCTGCAGCTGGCTGATCCGGTCGTTGATGGCTATGAGCCTTTCAAGCAAGCTGCCATAGGCGTCGACGAACGTCTCTGCACGTCTCGGACGTATCCACAGCATTTGGCATCTGATCGAGACTCCGACGCTTTCCGATTCTCCCGATCTTCATGCTGCTCTCGTAGGAGAGGCTCACCTCGTGCGACCGAGAAGCGAATGCCATTCGAATCAAAGCAGCAAAGGCGAGATGGCATCTGGCCTGGCAAGACACTTGAGCTTAGAGCGCTTGACCGCACCTGGCAGTTTGGATCGAAGCACTTTGGAGAACTCTCGAAAAAGATTGAGAGCCAAGCCGATGGCTTCGAGATCTTGGATTGGCCTGGAATGAAATCACTTCCGGGCAGCGTGTTCAGCATCTTTCGCTTCCCACCTGCTGCGGAGATCTCGGACCCGGTGCGTAGAGACCGAATCGATTTGGCCTTCCAGCAACTTGTCGAGCACCAAACATCGCAAGAATATTAGAGGTCCTGAATTTTAATGACTGCAGCACGCAGCGAAGTCAGCAAACGAACGAACGAAGCTGGCGGCAGGGCCTCCCACTCTGACTCCGGGACCAGCTGTGCCAGCTTGTCATCGATGGCTTCAAGCGCCTCTAGGTTGTAAGGGTCCTCAGTGCTCAGCGCTTAGGAGCGAATGTCGAGATAATGAGGCTTGCCGCAGGCTCCGCAAGTGCTGTATCTTGCTGCATCACGCTGCAAGAGCTCCTCTGTCAGCATCGCAAGTGCTGCCGGCTCCTCATCCTGATCCGGAGGAACACCTGCACGGAGCTCGATCGCATTTCTACGTGCGATCAACATGTCAGGTGACCTTCCACATCGGCTGACAGTCTTCCATCATCATCCGCGACGTCCTCTCTGCTGAGCTCTTGCGATCTGCACTTCAGTCGATCAAGGCTTCCTCGAGAACCGGCTCCAACTTGTGGGAAGCTCTGGAAGCAGCTCCAGTGCCTCGCCCTGCCGACATGAATTCACAGCATCGCTGGTTGCCGGCTGCTTGAGGCCCTTGCCGGAGAGAGTTGAAAGGTCTGCCGTTTCTGATGTGAGCGAAAACGTGGAGGTGTCAGGCTCGTCCTGGCCAACCTGCTCCCGTGGAGACGCAGATGGGCAAGAGGCCACGGACCTGTGACACTGTACCCCTTGGCGTGCTGTCAGAAACTGCCAGAGTTGTCATGCATCAGCCAGCCGAGTTCAGGACTGAATCGCCGAGGGAGCATCCGTCTGAGAGACACAACTCAGTGAATCCGAAGCAAACCCAGAACTCCAACATGCAGCACGCAATTGGCCTCAGCAGACGATTCCCAAACACTCCAGTCAATCATGACCTCTGCAATTCGCACTGCTGTCTGCCTGTGTACAACCAAACCGAGAGCTGTTGAACCCAGCCTGCTCCGGGAACGCCTCACTGGATGGTGTTGCAGCACCCGAGGGCGCCAGCGAGCTACTTCGGCTGGGCCTTGGGCTCTTTGTGGCTCGGAAAAACGTTGGACTAAGCGTGCAACTTCTCGATGGTGCATTCTCCCTTCGTTCTGCAAGGAAGCAACTCCATGTGAATTGGCCCTGCGCATGTTGAGTGACTCACTGGACTGAAGAAGCGGCTGACCTTGGGATGTCTCAGTGCAAAGACATCCCTCCCTTGTGCGCGGTGGGGGGTGTCAGCAGCAGCCCGGAAACATCCTACAATAAGTGGAAGCAAGCAGAGGTGGCTCCTGCTGCACAAGTCCCACGATCCTGCATCCACGTTCTGTACCCGGCTTGTAGTTGAGACATCCAAGTACAGAGTCTCGGGATTTGGAGCCACTAAAACCATCATTCAGTGGAAGGAAAGGTCTTCGTGCCCCCTGGTACCCGCGCGCGCGTCCCAGCATCCACCCATTTCTCCACCTTCTGTAGTGTACTATATGACTATATGAAGCCTCATATATACATATGCACAGAAACACAGCCAAAACCGGACACGTACCCTAACTATGGAGTCTTATCAGCTTAGACACGAGTTTAGGTACCGAAGTCTGGAGTCTCGTGCAGTTGTAATCTCGTCCCAATATGTCCCAATATACTCATGCTTGAGTGTAAGGAAGCGGAAGCAACCCATGGTCCGTGGCACCTGCTACACGAAATTCACAATCCCGCCCCTGCATCCACCTGTTTCCTCCATGTTCAGTAGTGCAGTTCGAGGTTTACGTAGAGATGATTACGTTGCGCACAGAGGCCGCCAGCGTGGATTCCGGAAAAATAGGTGGGAATCCAACTCACCCCCGCAAGCCAGAACCTATGCGGGCGGAGGATGCTACAGCGCGTTTCTGCACGTGCCATGAAACAAAGCCCGAGGTCCGACACGTCAGCACTGATCAGAATCAAAGGCCGAGGCGTCGCCCTCGAAGTATTGCTGCGCAGGAAACCTCTTTCCTGGTGCAGCATGTTACAGCGTGCTGACTCAATTCAAGTCAAGCTCTCGCGGTGCATGTTGCCCCAGGCAGAGGTGGGATGGAGACAGTGCAGCAACTAATCAACTAAGGCGCTTCAGTCCTTACAGGCCATGTTTTGCCGGCTCTCTGGGATCTTGTATGAGCTGCTGTCTTGCCATGATTGCTCAACACACGTCTCCACATAATGAAGGATGCGGAAGCTTGCTAGGGTTTCCGCCTGCACGGGCAAGAAGTATTGACATTGTCTCTCTGGCTTCAGAAGATTTCAGAAGTGTAGGTGCAAAGCGATGTCTTCACTCCAGGCCTTTAGCTGCTTGAGCAACTCGATCTTTTCAGCCTCCGATTTCTCCTCAGCATCCCCTTAGGTCCCCTCCGGTCCCCTTCTCCGTGTCCACAGCTGGGCTCAAGAGGCCGCTCTCTGCAGAAGACTATACTTGTAAACTCTTTCCGCTCGAAGGCCGGGATGGGTTTAGGGAACAACAACGGTCGGGAAGATTCCCTATAATTCCCTGAACGAAGGATGCTCTGCATGCCGGTTGTTGTGAAGCCACTCCCTGTAGTCATTCTTCATGCGCAAGCCCGCGCAAACCAGTATAGTATCTGTTCAGGTTTGCGCACGAGCTGAGCCTGTATTCGAGAATTCCTACTGAAAGATGCTTATCGTTCAGCCCTGCACTCTAAAGCCCAACTTCAGGCGATGCTCAGCTGCATGAAGCACTACATCAGTAGAATCGACAGCTGGAAAAGTCGCCAAGGTCCAAGCGCTTTCTCTTCTCAGGCGCTCCTGTCCACGGCTTCTCGTGGCGAGATCGTTGAGAAATCGAGACACATCCAGATGCGGTGTCCTTTGTCGCCTCCACCCTGGCAAGCGAGTCTGCGCAGCTACAGGAGAGTTCTGGCGCTGCCAGTACAGGCATCTGTTTCACTCGCCAGCATGTGTCCGGCATTCGCATGCTTTTCTAGGGGTGCAGCTCTGTTGATACGGGTCCAATCCGTGGAGTCCACTATGTACAACGTCGAGCAGGACTTCTCTCATTTCATGCATGCCGGTGCACGCAGATGAGACCTCTACTCCACTACGAGATCGAAGCATGACAGCTGCTGCTTCAAGGTAAGTGTTCACTCGACAGTGTCTGGACTTCGCTGGGCGCCCTGTGGCGCCCTCTGGAGGTCGGGCAATGACTCAACCGTGGGGTCCGCCTGCATGGCGAACTCCGTGAGCATGGCATGACGGCAGGACGATGGCGACATGGGCCAAAGTCCGCCTAGACTCTTCGACGGCGCGCGATCAAGCCTTCTTTCATCTGCGTTTCTTGGCTTTCTCCTTTCCAGTGCAGATGCGCAGTGATGCGCACATGACATCCCGAAATGCACCGACAGTTCGCCACATGAGGCAAAAATTGAAGTATGCTGAAGTCCTTGCTTCTCCTGCGCTCTGCGACCTGATGCACGAAGCGGCATAATGAGCTAGGTGACCCTGTGGCAGCTCAAGCTGCCCAACACTGACTGCAAAAGGAATGGTGACATAGCCAAGAGGCGACCAGCCAGATCATATATACAATGGCAGCGAAGCTTGCAAGCGACCCTGCAAAACGAATGGAACCCGCGCGACCCGAGTGCAGATTGCACCACTGCGGAGAAGGAAGCAATAATGTCCAGTCCGCCTAGTAGGACCTTCGTGGCAAACAGAGGGTCCGTGTCAACAACCTGAACTTGAGCAAGGCATTTGAGAGTTAACCACACCCGACTGCATTGCAGGTCGAGGAGCCGTTGGGGACTCGAGGCTGGCCATCCCAATCGCAAGAACAAGCCAAAGGTGGCGACAGCTGCGGTCAAGCGCACATGTTCGATCAGCAAGCTTCAGAAGCTCAGATTTCTGGAGAGGCGAAGCAGCATAGAGTCCCAACAGAGCCAGAGGTGCTCAGCTTTGGAGGCCTTGAGGCGAGCCATGCCGTCGGCCTGTGTCAAGCATGGGATTTGCATACACCCCAGCTCATCCGCTTCGAGAACGGGCCTCTCTTCTCGCCAAGAGCGTATCTAAGCGTGCGATCTGCCTGACAGCTGTGACAGCAGGCGTCTCACGGGCCAGCCGCCATATCACACCCGTGCAGAACACGCCTCGCTATCTTGTCTACAGCAGACTCCCTGCTGCCCGCGGCCTGACACTGCACTGACTGAGACAGGCGTTTCAGTACCCCCAAAACAGCAATTCAATTGGAAGCAGCACATGTCATCCCACAGTAGCAGAAGATGTCCTCCTCTACCTGCAGGCGCATGATTGGCAACTCCTCAACCTTGGTTCACTGATTGTGCTCTTAGTGCTTCTGCCAGCAATCTTCATGATTTTTTTGGAGCTCTCCGACCACTTAGGCAAAGACCGCCTTCTCCTCGAAGAAATACTTCTCCAAGAACGCGGGCAACCTGATCCGAATGCGAATCTGCGTTCAGCTTGAACTGTTTCTGAGGGACTGACTTGAAGTCTTCGCTGAGCCCCTTGGTGTTACCTGCAAGATGCAAAAGCATTGGCAACGCCAAGCACCCCAAGTACCAGTCATGTGTCGGGTATGGTATGCTCATTGGGTCAAGTCTGTCACTGCCCATCCCGCTCCACCAGTACCTCACCGCACCTCATGGCTTGGCTGCATCTTGTCACAACCCTTGTTGTTGCTGCCTCGTTGCTAGCAACCTGTGCTGTAACCTCATTCAACAACCCATAAAGGTTCTCAATGTGGCTGAGGCCAAGCTTGTCTGTCGGCCACGATCCATCCACTTTTCCTGCTTCTTCTGCTCCCCCGCCACTTGCAGGTTACACATGCATCTGTGGTGCTCACGAGAGATCCTGGCAGCCGATGTGCACTTTCAGGGTGCAGGCGCGATGGAGGTCGGTCGACATCGAAGAGATACAAAACACGAAGTACGACAACTCCGTGTGTAGGAACACGCCCTTTGCACCTGGAGGAGTCGCCCCTTTGTCTCCAGATGCTCCTCCCCAAAAGCGGCGATAGGCAATCAATGCAATCAACGCTCGTTTCGTTGCCGCAGAACTTGGAAATGCCTCCAAAAAAGAATGCTCAGAGATTCCAGTCCGGAGGTCCTGGCTCGCGATGTCGAGATTTCCTCCTGTTGAGCACGACACAGCAAGGAATTGTTGTCAAAGCACTCCACGGCCTTTCCGCGGTGAGGGAAGCATTGATGTCGACAACATCCTCAAAATCCGCGGGAAGCGATACCAAAAGCTCCTGCGAAGGCAGGTGCCAACTCGACAAGGAGTTCGCGCCACAGCTGAACACCGCAAGAAGCAGTGAAACGATTTTCGGGGAGGAGGGCCACCCGACCAGTACTTTTGCAGGGTCTCGGCAGCCTGAAGTTCTGTTGTGCATTCAGGGTAGCGTTACAACGCCTGGGCATGAACCTCTCTCCATGTGTTTTTGCGCGTTGTGCATGTGGGTGAGGCACCATGGGGCTGCACATGTCTGCATGCCACAGTGATCTACTACAGTGTGTCGGTATGTCATTCTGGTTCTGCATAATCACAGCCATCACATATACTCATCCTAACTTCTCAGGAGCCCTGTTTACACTCCCCAAACCTGACATAAACCCTGTAATTGCTAGTTCATGTGCCTCTAAGCTCGATCTTGCTCGGATCCCCAGAAACTTTTGTACCCTCACTGCGCGATCAGCAAAGCCCTGTTCCAGGTGGAGGGCGGAGGAAAGGACACACACTTGAGAAGTCCTTGCTTCAGGGTATGGCCTTTCGCGGTGCCCCGGATTATGCTGGCCGCTGGTGCTTGCTACCAAGTCCGGTTCAAAGACACAGACATTTGAGAGACATGCGGTGACATGCGCCTCGTCCTTCATGGCATCTGCCTCGTCAGCCTGAAGATGCAGTGAAGTTGCCAAGCACAGAGGCATCTCGTGATGGCACACCTTTGCGGCGCACCTGAAAGGTCTTGCTGCGCAAGGTCTCCAAGTAACCTCACTTGCCAAGGAGGGCGATGGAATGACTGACATCGATCTGAAGCGCTCAGACTTGGGGCCACGCCAGCGAGCTCCCGGCGGCCTCTCTCCGCCCGTTGCTTTGCCTCCCAAGTCGAGTGAAGAACACGTGAAAATATCTTCGGTGCATTGCTTGGCCTTGGCCAAGCTCTTCTCGAGTTCACCCAAGGATCGGCGCCCATCCTCCGTCCTTCCGGGCTCTTGCGCAACGATGCCCAACTGCACGGGCACTGCTGCACCGGCCTGAGGTGCCATCGACCCGAGTCCTGGTCGAACGCAACAGACGAGGTTCGAAAGAGGCGGAAAAAGCTCGTCCTGCTCATCCGGCGAAGCCTCCGACACCTGGCCAGCAAATTTCGAGAACCCAAGAACAGGGTTGAGCTCACACACCCCCGAGCACAGCCTCGTTGTCATCCATGAGTTGTCTCGCGAGCCAATCTCGTCGGATCTGAGCAGCTGCCGCAAGCCTCGGTCTATCAAAGGCGCGCTGCCTTGAACTAGCTGATTCTCGTGACACAGGCCGGCCGGAGATCGAAGCTGCGACGTGTAAGCCGCGGACATGTCATCACCGGGTGCATCTGGAGGGACATCCTCAATGCCTACATGACAAGACCACAAGCGTGCTCAAACTGACCCCACAGCCCCACTAGCATCACTATTCTCATGCTTGCCTTCGCTCCAAGCTATCCGGGGAGCTGGAACATCCTGGACGGTTGGAGCACCATATAGTTAAGCCAGCACAGACACAAGAAGAGACTGCTTCAAGCGCTCACCGTAGTGTCATCAATAGCAGAGCTGGCGGTGTGAAGCGACCTCAAGCGCAAGCTGTCATCAAATTCAACCCGCGCGGCGACAGACCTAAAGTCCATGCACGTGTACAAGCAGCTCTCACTGCAGCTGAGCGACAGTTTTGGAGATCGGGCCACGGATGCCGTAAGCGAAGCCAGGCCACGACTGCCGTGCTTTAACTAGAGCAAGTCCTATCCTCTCACGACTGCCGTGATTCCATGATTCCGTTGGTGCCTGACCGGTCTGGGTCTTCCGCGGGGCATTGGCTTCGGCTCTGCCTGCGGGCAGACTCAGCCAAGAGCGCAAGCCAAAGAGAGGCGGCGAGATCCGAGAGAGCGGCTTCAACACTGGGACGGAAGATGAAACCATCAGCATCTGGGACAAGTGTCCTTGTCCCTCCTGCGTCAATTCACGGCCCACGGTTCGGTCGAGAAACGGCACCGGAGTCCTGCCTGGTGTTTTCGGCAAAGATGCATAAACTGCAGCAGCTCTCTGATATGATGCGCTGCTTGGCCGCTTCAGGCCGTCCTGTTCCCGATTCAGGAGTTGTCAGTTTTCGTGCTGGCCGGAAGTGACAACAAGGCATGCGGATGTATGCGGATCAGCGAGCAGAAGCAATCTATGCTTGAAGGCAGAAGAGTCGAGTCTGAAACGCTGTAGCAAAGTACATGCAACAAATCTCATGCACCTCCTCCTCTCTCGATAGCGACCTGCTGTGGAAAATGCTTACACAACAAGGCCGAGCCATGCTGGGTTTATCGGATATTGCAACTATTTTGCCGGTACCTAGCGTTTGCTGAAAGCAGTGAGACCGGGCTTGCTGACTTGCCTTCTGTGTGGGGACGTGCGCAGCTCATTCACCGGAAGAGCTGATCAAGTGCTTGCACAATGAACTCGCATCGGCCGGTTCTGCGTTCGCTGTGTTCATGTGCTCCGGATCGATGACTGCAAGGTGACGCACGTGCTTGAACAAAGTTTGCAAGCATCACGCACCACTGTGCTTGAGCCATGTATAGCCATGTTTTGCTGGCTTCGTCCTGCTCCTACTACAGCATGCCCGAAGTGCAGTCTTCTATAGTAAACCAGTAACCCTTGATGCAGCAGCGCTGCACCTGGAAGCTAGCAGCTTCGCACAGAGTATACCTGAATCTTCCTGTGACTGCCCTCAGGTGCCTGGCATCTCCAGGCAGCCGCTGAACAGCACGGTTTGAAGATGTTAGGACCTGACGAGTAGCACATCATGGTCATGGTAGGCCTCTTCTTGTCATGTGTAGCCCGGAATCCCAGATTGTTGGATGTAGTAATGTAGTAGAGATCTGAGTGTGTCGCCTGCATACATGTCAGCACTCGGTCTAGCACTTGCACTTACCTGTATACACAGTCCGGCCTCACTCGAGGCTGGATTCTTCGGTGGAGGAGGAGGTCGTCCAACCTTCACACGAGATCTGGAAGAATGAATACATGCACCCTCGAGGTCAGCGCATGCAAGGCCGCAAGCTGCTCGACTGAGGGAAGGACAGCTGCTGGAGCGGTCGACACCATCTTCTCTCCGCCTGCTCGGCTCCTGAAAACACATGAATAACGTCGAGAGCGTGGCGCATTTCAACCTCGAAATCGGGCCTGCTTGCCTGACTGGGTCTTCCTGATGGAACGGGACCTCAGAGGCTTTGCATGGCAAACGCAGAGGAGGACCATCGCTCCAGGCCTGTGGAAACGGTTTGCGTTGCTGGCACCTCACTGCAAGCAACAGAGGGATCTTTGGAATCCTGCCTTCTGCGTCACTTTGCTAGATCCTCGACTATCAAGTTGTCGAGCCTCGTTTCCATGAGAAGGCGGCCCGCTTGAGTGAGATGCCTGAAATTGCAACGAGTGTGTCAGAATGATCCGGAATCTCAGGATACCACGAAACCTTTGGCAATACAAGCACGCGTCAGCACGCATCCAGAGCACCATGTCTGTATGGAAAGCAAGCAAGTGGCAGTCAAAGAACTGCAACAGCTTGCCGATCTCCGTTCGCCTGTCTGGCACATTGCCTTGCGTCCAGCAGCAAGTCGCCAAAGGCGGCGCCTGCAACCATGTCGTGGCCCACATGCCGCTAAAGAAACTTGCAGCATGCAGGCTTCGTTTCACCCCGCAGGGGCACCTGCAGAGTTGGAGCGGGTTGAGGCAGTTGGACCTTGATCCAGTTTTCACTATCTGCCACAACACCTACAGATTGCAATTGGCTTGAAGACATCTTCCACATGTCTTGGCCGAAGGCTGCTCTCTTTCGCCAGCTTCAGCGAGACGCTCTTCAACGGACGGTGAGGCAGCCGCTGTCCACCAAGTCCACCGGGCTTCTCCTGACCATATTTTCAGGCTACGAGCGGTGACTCTCTCAACTCGGACTACGCTCTCTTTCGTCCAAGCGAAACAGAAAGAGTTGAACTGCCAGGACAGTCACATGCTCCTCTTTCTGTGCCTGTCTAGCTGTTGCTGGTACAAAGGCTGTGTCCGGTTTTTGCACCACCCCGAAGCCGCTCCTGAACCCCCAGCAATCGCAGGACTAGGAGGCCGGCACCAGCGGCATCATGACACCCCCGCTTTCCCCGAAGCTAGACCCACCCCAGGAGTCATGCTTGCAAGCTTCAAGATCAGCGCTTGGATACATACAGAATTGCAAAACAGATGGGTAACACAAACTATCTCCAAGAGTCACGGCCTTCGAATTCACATTCCAGTGGCCCGCCGCCAGGCCAGCCACCTCGTGCAACAAAGTAAGAAAAACATTTCGGGGAACAGATCGCCCACTACAGACTTCTCCAAGCTTGTTCTTACAACACCATCACTTGGCCTCGATGGAGGGACTGCATGGTGCATCAGGAGGCAAGGCCTGGCCAAAGCTGCCTTATGCCAACCGAAAGTACCGCAAGAGCCCTCAGCTCCATTCAAGATGCTACCTGCCTTGTGTGATGTATGCCCCGGACAAGGCAAGGAAGCAGTTTTGCACGTGTCATCGCAATGTTTCCCGGCTCGCAAAAGCCACCACCGACCTCTTATGACGCCTTCATGAAACCGAGGCATCCCCTATCCTCCATCCTCGCATGGTCACGTTCCTGTGCTAACCGGAGGTTCCCATTTTCGTGTTTTGTGTTGGGTTCGCGACATTGACGGAAGCCCGTGAAGCAGAGTGATGAAAGGCTCCCCTCGTTATTTCCGCACTTGCCTGTGCGGGCTTCAAGAACGGCCAACTCAAGCATCAAGCCTGCTGAGTTCCAATGAATGCAAGTTTCGGTAGTTGGGCCCACACTAAAGTAGACAAATAAGTTTTCCCTGCGATGGTTGGCGGACAGCACTCCAATCGCCTGCAAGATTTGCGAAGCGGACATTCGATCCGTCTGCTGAAGTCAAACCCTCCTCGAGGCTTTCAACAGAAACACCAGCTGAGTGTGGTAAAACTGAGCTTGCGGTGTTGCTGACGCGGTAAGTGCCTTTTGTACTTTCTGCAACACTTGATGTCTGGCCCCTGATCACGATGCAGCATCTCCCTTTCACCGGTCACGAAGTCTCCCGCATGTCCTAAAATGTAGACAGTCAAACATCTGCAACTTGTTTTAACAAGCATGCAGATCGATACCGACGTCGTGGTTTCTGGCCTTCAAGGAAGCGGATCTGGGACGCAGCCTGCAAAGATCTACCAGGCATCTGATGACCTAAACAATGCGCTTTGACGAGCCTTGAAGACATTCTCTTCGAGAGTGGCCGAAGGTGTCATATTGAAGTGGTACACTAGCAGAGAGGTTATTTTTCTCACAGTTGTTGAATGCATCTTAGGTATCACGGCGGAATGCACGGTGACTGTAACCTTTGCAAGTTGCATCCGTTAAATGCTTGACTGCCAACCCAGAAAGCACAAGGCATGTCTAGAAAGTAAGGTATTGGCGCAGCTCCTCCCGAGCTAACTGACATGCCCTTGCAGGAAACACACGATGGAGGAAACGTCATGGCTGCAGGCACAGCTGCGGCAACGGTCAACACATGTCAACATGATAGGTGAGCACGATCGAAACTCGCAGCCCAATGGAAGCTGTGGAGAGGAAGATTCGCGGCGGAAGCAAGGCCAATGCCGACAACATTTTCCAAAGCACTTGCCTCTTACCGAACTTTCATGCGAGCCCCCCATGTGGAAATTCAAGGGCTGTGTTGCAAAAGCACGAGACTCTACGACGAAGCTGAAATAAAGCTCGAAGCGAGCCGTGATTCCGCGTGCCACCCCTCAGCTGAACAGACCGCTCTTGTCAAGACAACAATAAAGAAACTCACCAAAGCAATCAGCGCAGTCCACTCGATCTCTATCGGCCTCTGGCATCAACAAAGGGAATATGTGTGAATACACACACACACAACGCGGTCACACAAGGGTGCACCGAACAGACCGGTGCAAAGTCACGCGAGTGCACCAAGTGTAGGGGGTAGCCGCGTAGCCTTACAAGGCGTCCTCTGAAGGGAGTGGTCATCAGGGCTCATCTCAGGAGCCTCGACTGTTGTGGCATGCATGATTGGCACGTCGCGTCATGTGGCAAAATTTCGCTGAGAGGGGTCGTAGCTAACTTGCACCCAGCAATGCACAGCAGAAGCCTTGCTCCTCCCACAATGCTCCAGCAAGGCGCACTCGCTTGCCCCTTCTGTCGCTCTTTCTCATGTGAAACAGAAGTTCTGGTGAAACCAATCATGCCTGTTTGCCTTCCTCGCCTGTGGGCAAGAAAGGCACATCTTTGCTTCACAGCCTCGCTTCCGCACGCTTCACGATGGCGCCACGATGTGCGTGTACTATGCCAATGAAGCCAAGGCACTCTCCGAAGAAGCCACCATAGGGAGTTCTTTTGAACCACCGCCTCATGACTCCTTGCTAGAGTGAGGAACTACTTTGTGGCACGCATTCCTGATTCTGCTGGAGCCCTGTCCTGGCTGCGCGATGCCATTTGCATATCTTGGGCCACGACCTGTTCTATCAGCAGGAATCGTTACATAGGCGAATCCTCTTGCGAGCCACCGGCAGCCCATGGCTCACACGGCATCCGACCATTTCTGCAGAAACGACAAGCCAGGATACCTTTGCTGGCTTCATGCCCTTGCTGGGTATCTGTACAGTCAAGAGACGGCAGGCCCGCTTTTCGGATGCCGAGACTGACAAGGCCTAAAGCTACTGGCTGCATACTGAACACTCACACACTCCTCGTATTGTGCTTAGGCAATGCTCCATCCAGCCCTCAGGTGCCAGTCAGCCTCAAGCATTACATGGCATGACAACATGGCAAGCTGCACTGATTCCAGCTGGTGCAGCAGTGCAGCAGGAAGCCCACCGCTGCGGCAGATTGCTAATTGCTCCTGGAGAATGGCAGTCCGTCATCGTGGTCCAAAGTTCACCGTGCAGTCTGTGCTGAACTTTGCGCTTAGGTCGCTATAGCGTCTAGCAGCAAGAGCTTGTCTTGCGTCTATCCGGTCCTCCAGCAGAGCTCTCATTGCCAAACCTACAGTGTTCCTGTCTATAAACAAGCTGACCGTCTCAAGCCGCTAAGGTCAAGGAAAAAACGCACAAACAGCCCGGCAAAAGAGCACGCGGGTCAATCTTGCAAATCACGGACACGATTAGAAACGTGTTTGCTAGAGCGACTGAATCTCCCGACTTACATCAATCTCGCAGGTCCCCGAATCATCTCAAGGCAGCCTGGAACAGACCCCGTGTGTGCGTCGGACTATTGAAGTGACTATTGCCATCCCCAAAACCGTTGGCATTTACAGGGGTGCTGCGATATCAAGGAGCTACAGGTAACATGCACAGGAAAACGGTCACGGATGTGTTCGCATGTTCGCATGTACGTGACTGACTCCACGTGGTAAGCCCAGGTTAAGATGGCACAGGCAAACGCACCAAATTAAGGACAGAGCAGCAAAGCCTCATTGACTACGCCTGCAGTTGGGAAAACAAGCAGCGGATGCCTCCAAGACAGACATCTACAATCTAAACGTGCTGAGGCGCGTGTGCTGATCCACAGAAATGTTCAAGACACGTATCACACGCTGTGTCGGCATCTCCCCAGCCACTGTGGGAGCACTGTCGGCAGATCCCTTCGAGCTTTCCCGCCCCGTCAAGATGGAAACCTTCTCCAACCAATCAACCACTAACTTCAAACACCTCGAGGACCTGGCGTCGGACCGGACGGTGAAACCTGGAATCCCTCGACACACAAGCAAAGAAACAATCCAGAACGATGATAGGAACAAACACACGAATAAAAAACAAGCGCAAGGTCAACTCGGAAACCCTGAACCATCCACAAAGCGAATCTGGCAGGCAGTGACGCGAGCTTTTTTTCTCGCGACCCCGCCCCGCCGCATCCCGTATCGCACACCACGCCGAAGCCTGTAGCGACAGGCCCAGTCCAGCGCAACCCCTCCGACCCCGGCGGACCCGTTGGACGCCGAAGACTCTAAACGCGTGCTGCCGCGCCCCACCCCGAATCGCGGCCCACGCGGCTGGAAAAGCTTGAGGCGAACCCCACCCCCTGAATGCCCCCGAGGGGGTTTTTGGAAAAAAAAACCGAAGGCCCGCAAAGCGATGCCCACAGATCTGAAAGCTCCTCGTTGAGGCAATAGTCCACGTAGTCATGCCTGGCACGAACTTGTCGGCTCTCCGGCTTTCCACCCCTTGCAATCTCTGGCTTCTGAGGAGAAGCTGCAACGCAGGGGGTAAGCCTGTATCTTGATGCCAGATTTGCGGGATAGTGGCAACGTGGCAATGCTTTCCGCACCTGCCAGTTGATACAACACGACGATCAAAAAGCTCAAGTTAGAGGCAGGACCACTACAAAAACTTCGGCCTTTGACTGCATGTGCCTTCGAATCGCATCGACACGGCCTGTTCAAGAGGTCATGGCTAATGCAAATCTTTCACTAACGGCCTCCCGAGAGGACCACTGTTCCGCGTACGTGTGAGCTGCTCCGGCAGCTGGCTAAACTGGCCTTCTGGCTGAGCTTGCCGCAAGCATTGCCGGCTGATGGCGGGTGGCACGGAGTGAGTCAGGTGGTGGGCGTTGCTATCCTGGACTTCCAGAGGCTTCTCTTTGCCCGGCCAGGCGTCGGAGGCCTCGCAGAACCAAACAAACACCAGAGTCCGAGCTCCTCAACTGCACTCGCAAGATTCCTATGTTTGCACACTTGAACAGCCTCGGACAGGGTCAGGGCTCGGTGAGAGTTTCGGGCGTTCGGTGTACCCTTGAATCCAGGCCGCGTTCTGCATCGGCGCACAAGGGGCTCCGGACATGACTCAAGCTATGGACCCTGTGTTGCACTGGTTGTGCGGCACGATACCTGTGCGTCCCTCGCGATCGCTGTGTGCTTCGAAGGACCCAGCAGCTGAGTGCGGCCTCCTCAAGTCTCAAGTCTCACGATGTCATGTGCCGTGGCATGCTAGAAGTCCCTGGCACGCATGGCCAAAAAGCTACTGTATCCCATCTTCCCTCCACAAGCCCCAGATCAAAGGCTGTTCGAGCTTTGCTTATGACCGTCCTGCTAGTCCAACTCCAATAAGGTTTGGAGGCGGGGTTGGTGGCCTCGGCATCCGAGCACTGTTTTCCAAAAGTCCGGAGTGACAGCCTGTCTCAGCATCATGCCGCGGCGGGCGACTTCTTGGAGCCTGAACCACAGCCCCACGATCATTGCCGGTTCATCCGAATTCTCCGGGCTCGCCCCACCTCGTGAACCTCAAACTTTTCCTTTCGCAGCTGAAGAAGATAACCGTGTAACGCCTGTGCTGACGAATCTTGTCGGGATTTCCGTGTCGCGGGGTACCGCTGTTCCAAAATTTGCTGGCAACATGCACAGCTATGAATCTGAATACAGTGTGCCCGTGGCCGTGGCGGGGACTGCATAGCAGAGCAGAAAGTTTTGACAGTTGGAAAGATCCGTATCCAACGACATGACGGAAGGACTAAGGCCCGTTGGACGCGCTCTTGCAAGACTCCGGCCCCACCGCCACAGAGCACTGGGTCAAGAACAATGAGACTTCTTACAATGAAGCTCTAAATCCGCCGAGGCCAGAGGCCCAGGCGTCTTGATGGTTACCTCAGGTACCTAATCCTCGTCCCTGCACCCCCCCCCCCCCCCCCCCCCCCCCCCCCCCCCCCCCCCCCCCCCCCCCCCCCCCTTGTCTTCGTATCAAAGGTTGGGGTTTGACAGCCGCCCTAGCATAAAAAAACATCGACTGCCCCCTCGCCCTGCCGCTACACAGCCGAGGCGGGCGGCGTAGCGTTAAAATTACACTGACATGAAACAACCTCGACCGCTTTGGAAAGGGAATGAACCTCGAAGGCAGCAAGAATCAGGTTGGCAAGTCCACACTCGCTGCTACCGGCAACCCCAGTCGGGCCCAGGTGGTCGCTGGCATACCAGAAACACGCTTGCACGATTCGCGGCGGCGGAAACACGAATCGCCGCCAGAATGTGCATGGCACTGTGGCCGAAGCACGACTTTGGGAAGCGGACGCGCGTGACAGTTTGTCGGGAAGGCTATGCCCACCCCTAGCATCGCGTGGCACTGTGGTGGCAGCACGACTGCCACTTTGGCAAATTCCGAAACTTTCGGGATTTCGAGACCATACCCAGCGGCTATCAGCGGCTCGAGGAGGCGAAAAGTGTGTGCCGCTCTGCTAGGACAGTAGGGGGAACTGCAGGGACTTCTCGCGATTTGAAGCAAAATCAGCGAGGACTGCAGCGAGAGCACGATTTCCTCCCAAAAACATCCAGAAACACCTTTGGATCTGCGAGGCACTGACTCATGAAGTTGGAGAACTCCAAAGAGTTGGAATTTTGCGAAAAGATGTCACCGTGCCACAGCCGGAGCCGTGGAACCGCCGCACGAGCCGGCAGGAGCTCCTGTTCCTCAAGTTGCTTTTTCGACCCTCACGCAAATACTCAACAAATGCTCTTTACCCTGAACCTGAGAAACCGATAGTGCGTCCATGCTAATTAGACATTTTGCAACCTATTCCAAAGCAAACCTCGTCAAGCCTGTTGGGGATACTATTGTTGGTTTCGGCCTGATTCTACGTCTACGTGACATCAGGAATATGAACACGGGCGCAGTCAATGTCGAAACTGGAAGCCACGCATGGCAAAAAAACAAATGCTTTCGATATGTTGAGAAGATGGCGTGGCATCCACGCAGTTTCGGCGACAGTTGACGCATGCGCAAGATGCCGGAGACACGGACAGCTTCGCAGGGCCCTGCAGACTCTACTCATGCGAGGTTAACGCCAGCTACTGGTAAGGGGGAACTTGGGAGCTAAGTACGTCATCTGGCACGTGTGAGGGGGCGTTGCAACGACGCCAAGACATGCAAAACCACACCACAACAAAGAACTTGTGCGCAAATGTACATCAAGAGCTTGTTATGGTAACAACACCTTGTGCATCTGGCACTGGTTCCACTCCCTTACATGTGACTACGAAGGGTGTGCATTTTTCGACAGGTCAGCAGCAAGCAATCCTGTAATCAACCATCATCTGAGACCCAGGCCTCCTGCTGGCCATGAGTAAGGACAGCCAGAGCTTCTCGCCTTTCCTGCGCCAGTTCGTTTGCGAGCTGCAGGCCAGGAAAGAAGGAACAAGCGGTCTGGAAAGCTACCTCAGTGCCTGCCTACGCCTGAGGTCTGGGGCACAGTAGGGTGGAGAATTTTGTCCTGCTCGCAGCCGGTCAGGAATATTATTCGCAGAGACAACTTCGGCAAGATCCTATAGGCCTTAGGCGCTGGGTGGGTTGGCCTGACCTGCAGGCTGCAAAAGCGGGCATCAAGCACCGATTTCGTGCCTGCCGCTGCATCGCTTGAAGCTCTCGAACTTGCTTGGACCACCTCAAAGAAAAGGAGGAGCCTGATGCAAGGGGCCAGTTACAGGAGCCCTGGGTGCGCGCCTAGACTCGCTGCAGTGCTCCTCCTGGGTCCTGCACCAGAAAGCAAAGTCTTCAGGAATGGAACGGCATGGCGCTGCACAGCCGGTGTCCGCAGGGGAGGGCAGAAGCTGACGCGCACCATGGCGCACGCTTCGATCAAGTGAAGCGCCGTGTCATCGGACATGACTTTCTGTATTCATTGATTCCTGATAGTTGCTGTTGTTGTACGGCTGCCGTAAATGCCAAGATCCTACAATGCTGAAGATCCTTGGAACTTGCGATGGCATCAATCGGACAGAGCATGAAGAGATCTGATGGAGGCATCGATTCAACGTGCCGACGCTGTTGGCATCCAGGTGGCCGACCTCTAGCTTCCTCTGCCTTCACGAAGTTGTCCATTGCCTTTCCAGCTGAACATAGCACTTCTTTTCAGTTTTACGAGAACGGCACCTCGTCTGCAGGTAGCCTCTCCGGCGAAGGGCCGCCTTCGTAGTACCACCTGAGATTGACATGCACTGTCTGCGTACTTTCATGCTGAACATGACCTGTCAAATGCAACCAACGTAACATAACATGACCAGCACAATCATGTGCGACGAGACACGTCCCTCTTCGCAGGACCCACTTGGGCTCAGCCTGCAACGTGTCACACACATCCGACGTGTCCCATACCTCTACTGGTCTTGACCATTGGCAATTGTGTGGCCTGAACAGCAGGTGGAACCTGGGCCGAAAATGCCTTCGTCGCTTCATGACATGCGGGCCCGCAGATATCTGATGGAACCGATACGAAACAGCGACCTGTAAACACGTTCGACTCCTGCCTTCTCACGACGGAGACGATCACGCACCCAATGCTTGTCACGTATCATGCCTCATCAACTGGACAGTTCTTGGAGGGGCAACGCCACGCACAGCTTCATCAAGAGCGTTTAAGGACTTGCTTTCGCGCTTCTGGAGGCTCATCTCCACGTGACGGTCTTGGATGGCTCAAGTCGAAGACGGCATCCAGTCCAAGCGTCCAGAAGCTACGACCACCAGCGCTGCTATGGTTGCGCCGTTCGGACCCCGCAGTCGCTCGAAGCGCCCCGCGGGGTAAGACTTGAAACAGAACACTCGGCAGCCTTGTGCTGCGATAAAAGGCTTCCTGCTTTCCGGATATTGGGTGCTAGCAAAACTACGTGATTGCTTTGCTTTGCGTCTCGCTTTATCTGGCTCCTCAATCATCCTAACCTAGAACCGTGTTCTTCGAGGCCCTGCTTCGAAGGATTCCTATCCGTCGAGCAAGAAGTACCTGCGCGTGCATACGAAGTCTGGCTAGCGGCGTCCGAGTAAGGCTCATCGCACCTCCTTCGGAAACGATCGCATGACTTCTTCTCTGTAAGAACCACTGAGCATGGTTGATGCCCAGCTTTCAACCGCGCCTCGAATGGCAAGATGGATGTAGCAAAGGCTATCAGCCTGCGACTACAAAGTCGTGCAAATCCACCTACTAAGAAAAAACAACCAAACCCTTGCATCGCAATGCCCCTTGCAGGTGTGCACCGGCAATGCGCTTGCGAATTGGACGGTGCCAGGCAAGCATCCAAAGCTGTTGCTGACTGTACAACGCATCCATCAGGAACGGCAGGTTGTTCGTAAAATGCGTGTTTTCAAAAGCGGCATCGCAACAGCTCCTCTGCATGGCCGACATCGCTCTAGAACACGAAAATTGAGTTCAAACAGGCTTCCCAGCAGATCGACATTTCGGTGGCTCGTTGCATACTGAACCGGGCAGAACGAAAGGAGAAGAGATCCCAGATCTGTCGGTCTGTTGGTCTGCATGCAGCCAAATTTTGGAAGATTTGATGGCAAGGCTGTCAGAAGTGGTCACAGATGCTTGTCAAACCGGAACCACCGCCCTGCCAGCTTCATGCCCGTTGAGATAATAACGGCTTGAAAGTATTTGAACCATTGTTTCAACTGCCTCTGCAAGTTCCGAGCTGAAAACCAAAAATCGAGACTTGCTGCCAGAAGAACCAGCATGCGACTACCCAATACTTTGGTAGGTCTCGATTGGGACCCAAGCCTACTAGTCGAGTTCCGAATGGGCCATGGAAGCTATTCCGCAACCAGTCTCTAGCCTAGCGCGTGCTCATCGCGCTCAATTGAGCTCGACAATCTGATCATCTGCACGGATGTAGTACTCACGACGCAGCTCGGCGAGGAGAGTCTTAACCTCTGCACTCCAAATCGTCGGCATCAGGCACAGGACTCGAATGAACGACATTTTCTGAAGCACGTGCGCGAGCTTCACGAGGCGTGCATTCGAGATGACGGTACCTGTTGCGGAGTCCAAAGATGCCAAGTGCCGTTCCAACTGGTTCACCAGCTCCAAAGCAATCGGCGGCATGCTCCTTGCTTTCTCGGTGAGGTAAGGGAGCAATAGTCCCAAGGTGTCCGCTTCGTTCAAAGTGCGAAGAAGCTGCCGCTGTTGCTTGTCCAGTTTGGGGACACGTGCTTCGTGGGGCTCGTGGCAGTACTCACACTCCTCGCCATTCCTGCAGGATCCTGCGATTGCCAAGTACACACATGGTCGACAGCAGAGCTGAGGATGTCCAAGTGTGCCGGGGTTCACCGTCCTGTGCGCGAGGGCAGACTTGAAGTGTAAGTTGCATTGACCGTTACAAACCAAAGCTGTCGTTTTGATGCGTGGCTGCCACACCCTTTGACCGATGGCCTGCTAGCTGCCTTCGTCTGGTCTTTCTGGTCAGTTTCCTTGGTTCGCCAACCACAATATTCTAAAGCACATTGACAAGTACGGTGGCAGGTGCTGTGCAACCGAACTTAGCTGTTATCACAACAGAAGCTTCACCAAGTGTCGACTTCAGCTTCGAGAAAATTCAAAGAAGTGGCACGCTGCACCAGGCCAGCAACGTAGTCTCCCTGCTTGGAAGCGACGCCTGAGACAGGTCGCAGGCATGAGCTGTAGTTGATTCAGTTGAGGTCGTCGAGACCCCCGGATCTGGGGGACCTGAAGATTCGGTCCGGCCCCTGCCATCTGAATTTTAGGAAGAGTAGTCTTCTCGGACCGATGCCTCCGAGACTGAGAGGAAGAGAGGGAGGGAGCGCAGAAGGGCCGCAACAATAAAATCGGTGCTTCAGGCTTGCCCCCTCCCATCATTACCGGCCCGGTGCAGCTTCATGCAATGCTGGAAGGCTTGTAGATCTGGTTTTGCAACTGGCCTGCGGCTGCCCCCCCCCTCAAACGGAACCACCCAGACTGCCTGGCCGTGGCTAAGTCGCCGCGTTCTATCTCTGGTGTAAGAGACTAAAGGGACGGCCATTTCGGGTTCAAAACTTGGGGCAGGGTTCGCGAACAAGAGTTTGGGGATTTGGAAGAAGGAAGCCGGGAAAGCGCTTCCTTCAGATGCCCTTTGCAGCACAAGAGAAAGCGCTACTTTGACCGTTACCATCACCCCCGACGTGGTCCTGGACGCCCTTGAGGCGGAGCACTACTTGCCCGACAAGATGTGGCTGGCCTTCAGCTACAAAACTGCCAGAAAAGCTGATCAAACAGCACACTCAGCACTAAAACTGAACAGTCAGCACGGCTCTGCCTTGCTTGGACGGAAAGGAAGGTCGACTTGAGAATCAGCTGGTTCATATCGCAACTCTTCACAGGCTTCGAGTTCAACCCTTCTGCCCACAGGGCTTGAGCAATGCTTGCTACTGCATGCGGACAGGCTGTTCGCAGGCCCGCAGGCCTCATGATGCGCAGCATGCACTCGGACAAACAGATCGGATCGGATGATCGGGCTGCTACCACGGTTCTCACTGGCTTGCTCGGCAAGAAGCTCGTCTCTGGCCTAACGAGGCCGAAATCAACACGGAAACAGATGCAATCTGAGCTTGGCCCTGTGCCTCCAAGACATGCCGTATCCGCGGAATGGCTGCGTGCTGCAGGCTCCTCTCGCAGACTCGATCACGTCGCTCATCAACGCATTGCCACATGCTTGCGCTGCGGACCCAGAGCTGGACTGCGCGTAGAGCGAGTTCAGGGCCACGATCTCAGCTGCTCGCCTGACGCAGAGTGAAGAACATGGACATCCCCTCAAAAAAAAATGTCGTCTGCCACAACAACTTTGCATGGCCTGCGGAAGTCGAGCTTATTCCCGACGGGAGATGCAGCTCCTTCGAGCCTCAGTGTCGGAGGCTTTGCACTTCGACAGCTCAGATTCAGCAAGAGCCCACGAGCGTTCCGGCTGGCCGCGAGGCTGGGAGGCTCTGAAGGCGAGGCCGCCGGAAGGAGCCCTGAAAGGCAAAGCGAGGGCAAAGCGGAGGTGCCATCGCGCGAGCCTCTCGAGCTGTTGCAGCTCCGGCGTGCTCTTGCTCGCGCGCATTTGCCTTGCGGTGAAGGGTGGCACGAGATGGGAGCAGTGATCGGAAGAGGCTTTCAGAGTTGCCTCAAATGCCTCGCACCCGGACAGCTGCCATGCCTGGTGACTGGTGCATCAAGAGAAGGGCTTCACGACAAGTCTGGCTTATGCATGGTGGTGTGACCCGGCCTTTTCGACCCCTCAGCTTTGCTGAGTTCCACTGCCGAAGAAGCTTCTCTTGAGAATGAGGCAGCAGGCATTCCGTCTGAAGCTTACCACAGTTCAGAGGGCTTGGGAAGAACTGAGAAGTTCAGCTGTGGCAGCCTGCGGCAGCAGGGGCTTTTTCAACTGGAGCCTGTCTCCTCGGCCCTCGGCTTGAGCAAGCGGCCAGTTTCCGCCACTCCTCCGGCGCATTCCGGGTCGGGCTCTGCCCGAACGAAACATTGGCACACTGCGCCCAACTAGCGTTCATGGTTTCGGACCTGGGTGTTCTCACGTGAAACATGGCCGGGGAAGACCAATGAATTGCGTCAGTTACACAGAGGGGCTGAAGGATGGCATAGCACAAGGCAATTGACCTCCTATGGCCCTGTGCATGCTGAGAGCACCTCTCCGAAACAAGCGACTCGGGTTAAAGGGAGCGCTTCTCTCGGCAATCCACTTCCACCTGCGCCCGTCGCAGGGAATCTTCGGCAGCTTTGTGAACAAAAATGCGCGAGGAGAGGAGCCTTTCTGCCGTCAACGAACATGGACAGACAGATGGCAAAGGTGTCGCGTTCCTGACATCAAGGCACGAGCTCAGAGCTCCTACTGCGCTGCGCTCTTCAGCAGCTGCCTGCCTCCAGGTCGCGGAACTCGAGCACTATGGACGGGCCGTAGCCTAGCAACGCTTGGAAACACAGCTTTAAGCAAGACCTGTCGAGTCAGGTCAGTATAATATCTCGCATATTTTCGGATGCAGTGGGTTAGCCTGTTTAAGTACCTTCTCCGACGCCCCACTTGGCGGTTCATTCTGTTCTTACAGATTCAAGGGTCCACCTGAGATTCTTCCACGAAAGCACACTGTTTCAGAATCATGCCACTCAGTGTGCAACAACGAGGCTTTCATGGGTTGGAAGTTAATTCACCTCGCGGCCTTCGTCCAAGAAGAGGGTGACGGAGTGCTCCGTCGCGCTCAGCCGCCCCTGAAGCAAGTCACGGATGTCTGTGCCCCTGATAGATAGGCAGCTGTGCCGCAAGGCGCCTCCCCTGGATTGCAGCACCCGAAAGCTATACTGGCAATGCTGGTCAACCTCAGTGGCTCTTCGGACATGCGAAGATGATGAAGCAGCATTGAGCTTGTGTGGATATGAAGTGCTGCTTGAGCAGTTGCCCAATCTAGTTCCTCCTGGAGTGGCATTTAATGCGAAAAACTCCCTTCGAATACTTCCCTTGCTCTCCAGCCCGGTGCGGTCGGTGCGGTACACATTCCGACCAGGCCAGGCGGCAGCCCAAGCTCCCAGCAGTCACTTCACCAAAAGCTGATTTCTCTGCTACAAGTAAGAGGCTACCGTCTAGACGTGCGCGTCCTTTGATATCAGGCTTCAAACTACCCGCTCTCGTGCTGGTAAGCGCAGCCTTTCTGTGGATGGATTCCGAATTTGTCCGAATTGGTGGTATAATTTCACGACCGTTGGGCCATGGAACTGCTTTCAGGTCCACATCGGCTACAAGATGCACCAGTAGGAACGTCATGTGCTGAACAGACAATCTGGCAGCAATCTGGCACGCCTCAGTACAACGAACGTTGTTAAGCACTTTCCTGCGTCAGCAGTTGCTTTCAACTCTTCCCACCGCTCTCGAAGTGATATCTGCATTCACCATCGCACCTCCCATGGCTGAGTCGGCCACGGGACACCTAGCTGCGTGGAGACTTCCACCTTGCGGGCTGTCAGTATATGTTCCTGAACACTTCGCTTTGCCCCGATGAGAAGACATTCGCCGCACGGATGTTCCGACCGACAACCCACCAGACCCTTAGCACACGGTGGCCTCAACATGTGTCAGAGTCACACGCACGGTTACGATGCTGTTGGTTTGTTAACCAACAACGGCACTAACTAGCGTCCACACTCGGCATTATGAGACATTAACCAGTTCTGAGCTGCTTCATGTGACTCTACAAGGCGTAGTCTGAGGGCTGCACTGAAGGATCAGTAGAACGCACGCAGAGAACTTTCATCCTCTTATCCAAGGACACTGTCACGTTGTGTCCACACCTGGTCCACTGTTGGAAGCAGCACATACGACAAAGCGGTAGCACAGCAACCCGCCCCGTTGGCCACCGACGTGCCCCGTGCGCAAACACACTTGCAACTGGACAACCTATTTGGGGCCGAACATTGCAGACAGCGATGCCCTTCAAGACATGTCCCACATCTGTGTATTTAGCAAATCAGCAGAACCCAAGAAACTGCGGAAGCTGAGACTGCGACACGTCGCCAGGCCAGGCCTATCGAAGTTGATGGCAGCAGAAACCGCAGCAGGGTTCTGACCTTTCCGCAGAAAAGCTCGGACGACGGCAGGAGGAAGAACCGCAGCCACACCCTGCAACATATCGCGCACGAACTTCCTGGCATCTGCTGTCGTCATCTACGAGAGCAAAGTCTGCTGATGAAGTGCAAGGTGCCTGACAAGATCACGCGCAGGACTTGCGGAGGAGGCCTGAGATGAACTCCATGCTTGCAATTCCAGATCCTTACCGACGTCCTTCCCTTCGTTCAGGTCCTGACGGGACTTTCTAGCTGAGGTCCCTCGAAAGGATTCCTGCCACCGCTCCGCGTGACAGGACGCAACGTTCCACTCCGAAGCGCCTTGGTGTCGATGATGACCTGAGTCTTTTCATGACCTCCCGCCTGATAACGCTATAAAAACAAGAAGCCAGAAAAGCCGGGAAAAAAAGGCAGATTCTCAAATTCAGATTACAATTTCCTGGCAAGCAATGCGGAAAAAACAAAACAGCAAATCACCGAATTGATACCCAAGAGACGACACGAAATGAAATCACGACACCACAGGCCCGCGGGTGCAACACGTGCTCTACGAAGGTGTTGTTGCTAAGATCCCATGGAGATTTCCTTCGGAGCGTCTTGGACAAGCATCGGTGCGTTGTCGTTCACACCACTTGCTCCTTCCTGGTGCGAATCAGCAGGGAGAGGACAAGACTGCTTGCGTCCTGGCCGTTTGTCTGGGGGGTCCTGGGCTCGATGAACTCAGCAATTTGTACGAGGCCTGTGTGGATCAGTCATCATCCGAAGTTTCCGAAAGCGAGCAAGGTTCTACGTGGCATGGTTCAAATTTGGGCTTCATCGTTTACGAACTGGACACAATTAAACACACACTTTCAAAAGTAACTCGCTCCAAACACAATGCTTTTTGACAGTGTCGCCGTCTTCTTCGTGAAACTTGAGAGCATGTGCTCAAAGGAATGTGTCATGCCATGCCAGGCACTCTCCCGGCTGCAGTCAACCGGCGAGGCTGCGCTCGTACCCGCACTTTCCGAGCCACTGACCCATAATGACCCACTGTCACCGTCTTGACCTGCTGTCGCCGGAACTGTGTCAGCGAGCGCTCGCTCCCCCGCGGCCTGGCCGTCCTTGCCATTTCCATCGGGCTGTGCTCGTCGTCTGGATGCCGCCATTGTCTGTCCTCAATTGCCTTGATCGTCTCTTCACCGTCCACATCCGCCAGGGTTGCCTCCTCCTTCTTGATAGAAGCCTTGTTCCTATTGTTTGCCGACAACAATTCGCGAGCAGACTCTTTTGGGCTTTCAGGCTCCACTCAGCCGCCTCCTTTGCATTTCGTTTGAAAGCGTGGGCTACGTTGCTGATGCAGGCACGCAAGCCAACCACATTAGCTCATGATACAATGCTGACTTTGTGCAACAAGCACATGATGCGGCTCGAGTACGAGTCACTATAAACTACTTTATGGATGCATAAACAAACTACCGAAAATATCCAAACAGTCAAACTCCTGTGCTTCTTGATTTGAACATAGAGTCGTGCCTCTGTTTTGGAACACCGCCACGAGTGTGAAATCTCAATATGGGTTCGTGCTTCCCCATGGTGCGTTTGATGTTCAATGTGCCCCATTTCCAATCTCAAAAGGCATTAATTATGCGATACTATTTTGCAAAAATATACAGTGTTAGGCCATCTTGACCTGAGTCCAAATCGACCACTGTGTGTGAGGACGAGTCTGTCCCTCTGTGTCTCCTTGCATTTGCTCACCCTGGAAATCTAAGGGCTTCGCCCGCACGCAGGGTACTCATACGAAGGGGATGAGCCCTTCCCCCACCTCGGTTTGTCAGGACATGCCTACAATGCGCCTCAACGATGGCAGGACGAGATCGACAATGGAGAACAAGCATTGCACGGTCCCAGCACCAGCCCATCGGAGGAGGTTTGACGGTTCTTCCAGTCTCCACCTCAGATCAAGTCATTAATACATAACAAACACGAAGCCAAAGCTCCGCAGCAACAGCAATTGCCTGCAACTGCTTTCTCTTGCTCGGCTCGAAACAGTTTCCCACTCCTGTACACATTGAGGTGGGGCCTGGGGCTGAGATCCAGAAACCGAGGCTTTAAGAGCGCATCCCGCCATCATTTCATATCACTGCCGGGCTGGGCAGCCGACCGCAACCAGCTAGGCGAAGCCCAGCGATATTTCCCATTGAAAGGCCTTGCCACCTGAGCTCACCCCTTCCGTTACCCGGCCAGTCGTCAGCAATGCGTTTAGGTCGGGAGCTTCGGCAGGGAGGTGGCACTTTGCCCACCTAATGCAAACTAATTAACAGCTTAAGCCACCATGAGCTGCCGGGGACTCGTGAAACTACGCTAGGCCGGCATCTCCTGCCAGAGGGACCTCGTCATCACAGCGGAGGACAAGAGACATGCTCTTTTGCTAGCCTTCGAGCTGTCACTCCGCATGAGCTTTGTGCAGAGTTCTGACAGTATAGCAGTATAGCTGCGTCGATTCATCGTCTCGACCCCGGCTTATGCCAGAGGCCCGTCAGTTCTACTTCACCACGAAGATCTTCGGAGTCGGAGGCTCTGAGACTCTGAGATATGATGCGAATGATGCCAACTCGTTGCTCGTTGCAGAGCCTCCTCCGCCGCTGCGGCTCCTTCGGCCCGTGCCTCTTGGGTCTTCGGCTGACCATGTGGAATCATCGGACGCATGCTCGTCTCGTTCATGTGTCACTTCCAGGGCTGGGAAGGCTTGTCCCGGCCCGTGCGCTCGGCCTACCCGGAGAGCCTGCACTCCTGCTCGTCTCGGCCACCTTGGTCAATTCTAAACGACTCATGCGGACTCAAGATGTCTTCACAAAGTGAGCTGCCCGCGTGGTGTCGAAATAACAAGTTGGAGAAGGCTAGGCCATGTAGACCTTGGCAATTACAGGGCCGAGAGCACCCTATGCTAGTCAGCAATTGACCTTTTGACATGCAAGGAGAAATTTACGCCGTGCAAATGCAATGACGCGGGAGGAAGGACCTGCTTGTACGATGGTTTCGAAGTGTGCAGTGTGTGTGTGTGTGTGTGTGTGTGTGTGTGTGTGTGTGTGTGTGTGTGTGTGTGTGTGTGTGTGTGTGTGTGTGTGTGTGTGTGTGTGTGTGTGTGTGTGTGTGTGTGTGTGTGTGTGTGTGTGTGTGTGTGTGGTGTGTGTGTGTGTGTGTGTGTGTGTGTGTGTGTGTGTGTGTGTGTGTGTGTGTGTGTGTGTGTGTGTGTGTGTGTGTGTGTGTGTGTGTGTGTGTGTGTGTGTGTGTGTGTGTGTGTGTGTGTGTGTGTGTGTGTGTGTGGGTTTGTGTGTGTGTGTGTGTGTGTGTGTGTGTGTGTGTGTGTGTGTGTGTGTGTGTGTGTGTGTGTGTGTGTGTGTGTGTGTGTGTGTGTGTGTGTGTGTGTGTGTGTGTGTGTGTGTGTGTGTGTGTGTGTGTGTAACTCCTGATTCTCAGCTAAGGGTTTTGGCAAGACTTGTGATTTGTGCAGCTGTGGAAGCAGAGACCATGTGATTTGTGGAGTTGTGGAAACAGGGGGCACCGGGGGCTCCAACAAGTCCGCTGCTCGCAAAGACGCTTGTTGCATGCCTGTGGTATGGGAGCTGATCACTCCCACGTACCTGCCATTTTCCATTTCATGGCATCAGGCTAAGCCGAGAACCTTACCGTTTCGTGAACCTATACTCCGTGTGCGGCCTTGTCGCCACCGGCAACACTCGTTCATGCGAACTGCCAGGGTACGTTGTGCGGCCCACTATGCTACCATAACAAGTCGTTCACCTGCGGGACAGACTAATGGAGCGTACCGCACTTTATGGTGGCCAGATTCTTCAGGTGATAGGCCCAACCGCTCTTATGGGGCCAACAGTGGAATGGTGCCCCGATTTTGCCAGGAGATGGGCTTTCGTGACCAAAAGGTCCCCCGATGACTCGAGCAGTCGTATGGTGCTCATGAAGGAGCATGATTTCGAGCATTGATCAGTGTCAGCTCATGGTTTCTGGCAGCATTTCGATTGCATTCTGTTAGGTTGTGCTTTGCTTTTAAGGGACTAAGGACCGGTGTCTTCTCAGTCGGTCAGCCGAGCTATCGTGATCTTCTCTCGCTCTTTCTCCCCTTCTTCTCTTCCTCTGGTAGTCTGTCAGCAGAGCTATTGTTTTCGTTTTGTTTTCTCTCTGTTTTCCCCCCGACACTGACAAGGACCACGACGACCTCACTAAGGCTGAGTCCGTCAGCTGAGCGACTGTCGTTTCTCTCGCTCTCTCCCGCCCTCTTCCCTCCTTCTGGTCGTCTGTCAGCCGAACTATCGTCTTCTTTTCCCGCCTGTTCTACTTTTCCTCTTCGACGACGACGATGACGACGACCACGCTAAGGACTTAACAACTTTGGGGTTCTTGTTAGCAGCAGTCGACTGAACACCAGGACCTGCATGAATTGAGGACAGCTCTCCCCTTATGCGAGGTGTGTGTGTGTGTGTGTACACCTCATTCTAAGCTAAGGGTTTTGGCAAGACATGTGATTTGTGCAGTTGTGGAAGCAGAGGACATGTGACTTGTGCAGTTGTGGAAGCACGGGTGTCTTTTCAGTCTGTCAGCCGAACTATCGTCATATTTTCTCGCTCTCTCTCCCTTCTTCTCTCCTTCTGGTCGTCCGTCAACCGAGCTGATGTTGTCCTTTTTGTTGATTTTTTTTCTCACCGACGCCGACCAGGACCACGACGACCTCACTAAAGATTGGCGTCTTTTGAGTCTGTCAGCCGAGCTATTGTCGTTTCTTTCGCTCTCTCCCCCACTCTTCCCTCCTTCTGGTCGTCTGTCAGCCGAGCTATCGTCTTCTTTTCCCGCCTGTTCTACTTTTCCTCTTCGACGACGACGATGACGACGACCACGCTAAGGACTTAACAACTTTGGGGTTCTTGTTAGCAGCAGTCGACTGAACACCAGGACCTGCATGAATTGAGGACAGCTCTCCCGTCATGCGAAGGGTGTGTGTGTGTGTGTGCGTACACCCTGATTCGAAGCTGAGGTCTTGGCAAGACATGTGATTTGTGCAGCTGTGGAAGCAAAGACCATGTGATTTGTAGAGTTGTGGAAACAGGGGGCACCGGGGGCTCCAACAAGTCCGGTGCTAACAAAAACGCTTGTTGGATGCCTGTGATATGGGATCTGATCACTCCCGTGTACCTGCAATTTTCCACGAGAACCTGACCGTTTCGTGAAGCTGCTTCGTTCGAGAGTGTGAGCCCTGTCAGGTTACAGCACCAAGGTTACAACGCTCAGGTCATTCCATCGTCTTCAAGATCTTCCCCAGAATGTGCGAATGGTGTCAACCTATACTCCGTGTGTGTGTGTGTGTATGTGTATATATACCTATATATCTGTACATACAGATAAATATGAGTGTGTATATATATGTATATATATATATATATTTTTTTATTTATATAAGATGCATTGTATACACAAACAATCCCTCCCTCTTTCTGGCAGATGCAAGCATCCGCCGCTGTGCGCCGGGTCTGATGGCCGCTGGTGAGCAGGGATGCTCACCAGCGGGGAAATCAATGCCACAAACTTACCAACACTGCAATTCTTTACATCACACAACGATGCATGAGCAGATGTTTATTCTATGCAAGGGAGCACGAAACTCGAGAGTCACAATGATATAGTGATGTGCACATTGGAAAGAATCGATGCCTAAAGGTCTGCATGTTTCATGCAAAACAATTCTGTCATTGAATGCGAGTCAGGAAAGGTGAGGAAACCCGCAGCCCACGAGCCGCGCGTAACGCCTGGGCGACTCCACCACATATCCCCTAATCCGGCGGGCTGTCGTCTGTAGCTCTGCGCTCATTTACCACACGGCTGCCAGTACTGTCTCGACTTGCCTGTAGTGTCATTCTGTTTTGTGCTGTGGTGAGCTTCCCCCCCGGCTCTTCCGCGGTATCGGTCGTCGTTTTGGTCAGCTTTGGTCTCCTCGTCGGGCTCGTCGGGGTTCTCGGTCGTGGTTGGCTTCCCCCCTCTGCTTTGGCGGGCTTCATGTTCACGCTTCTCCCTGCGGGCTTTCCTCACCTTCCCCGGGATTTTGCGGGCTTGCTTCAAAAGCTTCTTGATACTGCAGGGGAACCGCCCCACATAGATGCGGGTTTGTTCTTCCACTGCTGGTAGGTACTTGTCCAAAATGCGAACCAACCTGTCGGCGGCTTACCCCATTCTGCACCTATCCGTGAGGCGCTCTTGGTAGGGTTCACAGGAGGCCGCCTGGTCCTTCGTGAGCGGCTCCCCCGTTCTTGCTTGCACTCGGACAAGGAGCCGCAGCTCCCGCGCGCAGGCGCGCACCGGTCTCAAGTTCGGCTGTGACATTTCACGGCTTCGACGAAGGCCCCGTTTTGCACTGTTATATCCCCCAACCCTTTACACTCCCCCGTTCTCTCTTCTTCTTCCGCCAGCCTTGCAGGGCGTTTGAGGCATGGGGACGAACCCCACAACCCCTGCGCGTGAGCGCTACGCTGTGGTCTGTGTTCGGTGTGAAACTAGTGGAAACTGTTGACCAGCGAGCTGTTTCGGCGCTTTCCGTGTGCTCTCTGTTGCTTGCGCTCGGACAAAGGGCCGTGGCCCTCGCGCGCGTACGCGCACCGGTCTGAAGGTCTTTGGTGACACTCCCAGGTCTTGAGTGCTCTCTCTCTCTCTCTCTCTTTCTCTCTCTGTGGGCAAGCAGCTGTACACATGCGGACCGAAGTCGTTAGTACTGGAGCAAGCCAATACTGCGAGTTGCAGTCGCTCCAGCGAACAAGGCGAGGTGCGCAGTTGGGTCGGTGGCGACAACAGTGCACCGTCGAAAACGCACGCTCCGCATACGTTCTCATCAAAAGCTGCGAGTTGACTTCATGTCGCCGAGCAAAACAAAAGCACTCGTCACTTAGTCGAAGGTAGACGTAGACAGCAGCAGTCGCCACGAAAGGAGGCTCAGCTCCGCTAAGGCTTCTGCGAGCGAGGCGGTCTCGATGGCAACGTCAGTGAACCCAGGCCCGAGCTGGCGAGCCTCGGACGTCGGAGCCGCAGAGAGCGGAGCGCAGAGCGGAGCGCCGCCTAAAGCCGCAGCCCTTTGACGAGGCCCGCGCGAGCTGGTGCCGGATCTCCAGATTCGTCACTCCCTCGGACCGGACCGGACCGGACCGGACGGAATGGCCCGCGACGTCTCTCTCTCTCGCAGACACTTCTTAAGGCCTCGCCTCTCGCAGGAACTGCTTCATTCGCAGCATTCGAGAAGAGAACTGCTCAGGACATGACCTGAACTCGACCAGAGTAACGGAGCAGAGTAGGAGCAACTTCGTACCGTTATCTTAGCTGGTGGCTCATCCAGATACAACTGAACGATGGCCTGGAGCCACTCCTGAGCCCAACATGCGCAGTACGACCAGGAAACATGGTGTCAAACGACTGCTCATCGGGAATCAACGAACTAAAGGGAAACCACACTACTGCGTCTGAATGTGGATAATTCCTCGGAAACACTCTCCATGTGCACAACTACAACACTTCTTCACGACATGGAGTTGAACAAGGAATCCCATCGGAACCAGCAGTGGGCGCAACCCCTCACGAGCGGTGAAAGGAGGTGTTTGTGCCTAGGCTTCCGTTGGCTCGGCCTACTGTTACCATTCTGTGGCCTTGTGGCCGAGCAAAGATCCCGTTGTTCGCTCGAGCTTGCGTGGCCAAGACGGATTGTAGTTGAGCTTCTCAAAGGAACCACGAGAGGTTACGGTGTACAATACATAGAGGATTCAAATCCTGGTCAGTGGTAGGGGTTGCAGCACGGCTGTCACGTCCCTCAACACCTCATCAAGTCTAACAAGGCTCGCGCCTTGGAGAGCGGCAGGTGCTGCAGAAAAAGCTGAAGATACAAACGATTGCCAAGCCTTAGGCTTAGGCTCAATTTTTGTATGCCTTGCCGCAAGGGATTGTTGGGGTCTCGGCAGCACCACCTGCCTGTATAAAGCTCTGGGCCATACCTGCATCTGACGTAGCCCATGTGAATGCAAGCATCAGGCTTGAGAAAGCGCACCTTGAACAGCCCATCTCCACAGGAGTGGCGGTACGCGCTGACCTTGAACTCAGCAGTGTACACAAGAGCCACCGGCGGCGGACAGAGGCATATGAAGCATATGTAAGATCGGCGCGACTTCGAGCGTGGCGATGAAGTCCTGGTGGTACTCCGCGAAGACCTTGGTTCCGTGGAGCTACGACTCAGTCCACGAACATGACTGCCATGACACCCCATCCCGATCCCAGCCTCAACCTCTGAGGGCGTCAAGTTGATGACCACAAAGACATCACCAGCCTCTAAAGAGCTCTTCAAACTCTCTGCAAATTCAGGGTGAAGGCGTACGGGCCCCGGCAGGGCCCAACAATGCTGGCGGCAACATTTGCGATTGTTCCTGGCCTTCGACAGACGCAGCTTCAGCTGAACCGAATACATGTGATGATCCAGGCCATGGACTTTGCCGTGCCGCACGCAGTAACCCCTTGCCTGTCAGGTGGTAGCACACTGACCGGCTTGTCGAAAGGAGCTAAGGACTGTAGAATGGAGATCTTGAACCCCGGATTGAGGCTTGGCCAATTCCTCTGAAACTGGATCTTCAAGCTCGGCTGCACACTTTGCACACTGACACCATCATACATTAAGCACCTGCATTCATAAGCCATGTTTGCCGACCTGCCTGCACCTAGGACATCGCCACAGCTGTGCGCAGGCCCTGAGCTGCCGTCCTTGAACATTCACAGGGCACCGTGGACAAGACGACTGGCAAAATGCGACTTCTGCGATGAATTTTCGTCCGAGTCCTTGTCCATGCAACAATCCTCTCACCAGCAGCACTGAGCTCACCAACCCGTCAAGGTCACAAAAATCAGGATTGCTGCAGTTATGTCACATTTGTGAGGGTATCGTGGTGTTATCAGAGCGAGATGTCCTTTTGACGCCCCCGCGCCACTTCTACTCGCTTGTGACACGCTGCAACATCATCTTCGCTGTACACGGCTTAAGTTTGCTGCAGCATCAGCGATGTTACTGGTGATTCACAAACTAGGCTGGCATGTTGTGGGGTGAGCTTAGAAGCCCGCTGACACGGGATGTCGGGATGGTGCAGTTTGCGGTGTGGCCAGCTCTTGGACGGCAGTCGCTTGTGGTAATTAGCCAGTGGCACACACACACACACACACACTGCCGCTTGCCATGTTTTGACAGAAATCGAAAGGTCTCTTAACGCAAGAGGGACAGGAGTGCTGAGCTTCCGCGCGAACCAGGAGAGCCGTGCTAGCAAAACCACCCACCATCTTTGGACCAGGGCTTCCTCGATTACAACTTCATCTTGAATTGCGCATGGCAAATCCACCTCGTCTTTACTCTGACGAGTGGGCAACGTCACACACGGTTCCAGGATGCTCGCGTGAGCTGCTTCACCGTAGGTCTTCAGAAATTGTTTTTTCTCCAAGTTGCTTATGGCATGCCAGGCGATGGTTGTATGTGCTGAGGGATAATGTTCCCGTCCCCCGCAGATACGTTTAAGTCTGTATCCAACCACTCTTCCTGGGGCACTCCGGACAGATGAAGAAGAGCATGTCCGCCTGTCTTTTCACCGAACAGGTGTGGAATATGATGCGAAGCAGAAGCCTATATCCCGGTACTAGACTCACACGGACACGTACAAACACCCAAAGACACACACACGTGCGCGCACACACACGCAGGCACGCAGGCACGCATGCACACACGCACGCACGAGGAAGACAAACACACACGCACACACACACACACACACACACACACCTGCAGGCGAGCTCTCCACAGGCTCTTTTTGCTCTCTCTCGCTTTGTTTTTTCGCCAGGGTTAGGGTGATGGGTTTCCCCCCTCACCGCGCGCTAGTGCGCCCCCGACTGTTGCGGGTGCCAAGGGGCCGACTGCAGTCAAAGGCCATCGACGCGGCTGGAGAAAAAGCTCTCATTGGCGGGAGTCCCCGATATTCTGAAAGACAGCGAACACTAGCAGGGGGTCCCCCCGCCAACTGAGACAAGTGCAACCGTCCTGAGAAGGAGGGCAACAGCCCTTTTGGGAAGTGTCTACATAGTTAAAGGGAGCTCATGGAGAGCTGAGATCGGCATGGTGGTTGGCTCAGCGGCCCGTCATATGGAACAGCCCAACATGTGGCATAGGCGAAAGATGAAAGGATCTAGGAGCGGCAGGGGCCTAGTGGGCAGCCCACCCCTCTGATATACAAGTACGCAGTTGGAGGCAAGGCAGGCACATCATGGGAACGTCCCCGCATATTGACGTCGAAGTCATGACGATAGCATCTCGGACGAATTAGAAATGGAAAAGAAGAGGGATGCTTCCTCCTAGTCAAAAGGTCTGCAGAGGTTCATTGGGGCTTCCCCCCGCTCGATCAGATAGAACAGAACCCCAACGAAACAAGGAAGAAGAAACCCTGTAAGCGGACCTTTTCATGGGGACGCCCCCATTCATCATCGGACTGATATACAAGGGAAAATCCTTTAAACTACCAAAGCGGCCCTCGACTGTACACCTCCGGGCTCATCGGCTTTTGTTCTTGTTCGACTTCCATCCTCGTTCACGCTTTGTGCCAAAATCAGGTCCCCACTGATTTTTGCTGCGCTGGTCGCGGCGGTGGTCTCGGTATTCCTTCTTGGAGGCGGCACGGTATGCCTCCCACTTGTCGTGATCGTTCGTGTAGTCGTCCAAGTTGTAAGGTGCTCGCCCATGCATATCTCTCTGCTGTAAAAGACTTTGAAGCCGTCGTTTCTGCGCTTCAGTCAGTGAAGATGGTGGTCCAAGCGGCGAGGGAGGGGCAACATCCCCGGAAGGAGCTGCATCTCCAGCGGGGGTTTCCCCGGCTTGTGCACCTTCTGGCATGCTTGGTGCACTGTTGGCTGAAGCGAAAATCTGTTCCTCGTCATCTTCGAAGATGTCAACCGTCGGATGTAGACTGGGTCGGCTGACGGTCACAGGCGGTGAGTCCTCCATCAGCTCGTTGCCCGGGTTTGGCGGGGTTGGACCCCGATTCTCCAGGTAGTCAGTTTCGAGGCGAGGTGCGGCATTCCCCCGATCTGTAGCTGGCTCCTGAGGCTGCATCTGTGTTTGTGGCACAGCCCGAGCAGCACCAGCCTGATAAGGCGAAATCCCCCGGAAGGATCCTTGCGGCAGAGTCTGAGGCTCCAGCGTAGTTGTAGACAGTGGTTTGGGGGCTGAAGTGCCGGACGGAAGCGGTGGATTCCCCGTCGTGTCGGTGCGTGTTGTCCTCGGCGTTGTCCGCAACTTTGGCTTGTCCAGGTTGCTCCCTCTCGCTGAGAAGTTGAGGTCGAAACCGGGGTGGTCAGGCGAGCGGCAGGCTCGTCCACCGAAGCAAGTAGAATATCATCCAGGGCTTGTCGTGTTTCGGCATCTTCGTGGGTACCAAACCTCCACTTGGTCAGAGCTTTGTCGACAAGAGGACGGATCTTTTCCGGCTCGTTCTCTATGTACTCACGTAGTTGTGCTGCGACTTCGGGCTTATTCTCCAGAGTGAGGCGAAGGAGATGTTCCCCGTCCTTGGTGGTCGCCTTTTTTTGTTCTCGTAGTCTTGGAAGGTCTCGTAGGCACGCCACTCCTTTTCCGTAAGGGGGTAGTTTTTCCCCTCCTTCTTCTCGTAGTAGCTGCCATAGTTGAGGTCGTAGCGCACGTCACGCGCACTCCAGTTGTAGTCTGCTTCGGGGATGTCCCCGAAACGAAGACGGAGGCCAAGCTCGCCGAACGTCGGTGCTGTTCTGGTGGGCACCGCAAAGCTCTCCACCAGTTCAACTTGTTGAGGGATGGCCTCCTGCCTTGGAGTATCATCGGCCTCGGGTCTGCGCTTGTCCACGGGCCCAGTCGAGGAGGAAGCAGGCTTCGTATTATACGAGGATTTGTGCCTCCTTTTCGCCATCGGCTGGGGACAACCCCTGCTCAGCAGTGCGTAGGTGAAGAATGCACTCACGATCTCCCCGATAGTCACGAACTTGTAATAGACGCCGTCCCTCACCCAAAGATGGCGGCACAGAGGGTTAGGGAAACGAGTGGGCCACTTAAGCCTGCGGTTTGAGCCAAAATGGCTTGAGCCAAAATGGCTACGGGAGATCTCTCTCTCTCTCTTTTCTCTCTCTCTCTCTCTCTCTCTCTCTCTCTCTCTCTCTCTCTTTGTCTCTCTCAACGCACGCTCACATTCACGCTCAAAAGACGCTCTCTCACAATCTCTCACACACACAAAGGCGAGCTGATCTCCTCGACTTCAGATCCGCAGCCGGTGCCGTTTTCTGCCCCGTCCACCTGAGCCATCACGGCTTTGTGTTACGTGCAGTCCTTGAAGCCGAGCATGTGCACATCTTCGAGAAGCACGCTGGCGTAGCTGTTCTGAGGGCAGCTCCGCTTGCTGTTCTCCCTGGCACTCAGACGAACTCAATTGAATGCGATCAGGAGCAACGAAGCTCCACAACAATCTACCAAACGGTGCACAAACTCTCACTCTCTCGGCAAGCCAAATAGCTATCTTTCTGGACCCGGGCCAGAACCCTTCTCCTGCCGACCATAATTAAAGCTGTATTCTCAGCAAAGAGAGCAAGTGGGTATAGCTGCAGCCGACAAACGGATTGAAACGTGATGTTGTTTCCAAGGTTTTTTTTGCTAGGGCCATGCGCGCGGTGCGGCACACTTTGGCGCCCTCTCGACGGATTGTCGCAGAGTTCGGCCCGACTCTACGTACTGAAACTGCGGTCCGAAGTACTTCCCTGCGGTGTGGTCAGACAAGCTTGGGTAGTGCGTTTTAGCATGGTGTTAATCCAATACGGTGTGGGCTTTCCTCTGCGTCTACCTTGAAACAACATGCGGTCTTTAAGTGCCGAACAAAAGACAACGGTTTTCGATGCTATGGCTGTATACCTCCACCAGCATTCTATGCGGGGTGGCGTTCAGAGTGTCGGCTGCGCGGTGTGGTCTACCCGCCGGCGCCCACATACGCAACTTTGATCCGGAGGACTCTTCTTAAGAATCTATAATACTGGCCATTTACTGTGGCTAAGTTTTTATCAGTAAGGAGGGGGAGCCGAGACCGTACAGCAGTGAGGGAACCATGCTGGAGTGAAAGATTTTGAGCTTGCGCTGTTGCGGCATGGTCGAATTCCAAACCAAGCGCAGCTTTTTAAAATCCTTCGTGGAATGGACGCGCCCAACTGATCATAGAACCCAAGTACTTAACTTTGCCCGTTTTGGTGGCTTTTATCTCCTGACAGAAAGTAAAGGTCTCCATGGGAGCCTGGTTTGGGGATGTGTTCTCTCTTAGTTTCGTTGAGGGTCATCCCGTAGCGAGCAGTGACAAAATTTTCTGTAGTTGCGGCACGGTCAAGGAGATGAATAGGGTGTCGTCAGCATATTCGAGATCATACGTGGGGTGTCCAACCGACCATGTGTAGGTTGGAACGCCCTGATTGACAAGTTTATCATCAAGATCACTCATTAGGACCGAGAGAATTATGATAAAAACAGATATGGGCTGAGAGGGCAACCTTGCCTGATTCCTGTGCCAACCTTACCCGTGCACTCCGTACCTTGCCAAGACTCAATCCTAAAGCCCGGGGATTGGTAAAGGGCCTCAATGACCTTAAAGAAATTGGGCGCTATACCGAAACGCTTTAATGCAGTCAGCATGGCGGTGTGGAGTCTAAGGAATCGGAGGCCTGACGCCAATCTAGGAATAAGAGATGGAGAAGTTTTTCCGTCATCTGGACCCACTCCATCGTGCGGCGTAATATGAATAACGGATGGGATGTGCCTTACGCAACCTAGGTTCTGAAGTGAGCGTGAGTCTAGCCTGAATAAGAGAAGCCAAGATTTTATAGCTAGCGTTCAAGAGGGAGATTGGTCGGTAGTTACCGACGTCAACGTCGCTGCCTTTTCCTTCAAAAATACTTACTACCGTGGCCATGCACCAGTCCTCTGGGATCTGCGGTGTGGTCATGATCTTGTTATGCTATTATACAGAACCGATACAAGCAGTTCCCCCTCCGAGTCCAGACGGGTATACAACTTATTAGGGATCTGGTTGGGGCACAGAGCCTTATTCTTTTTAAATTTGGAGAGAGCAGTCTGGAATTCAGCGATAATAAAAAGGTGTTCATCATCCTGGGGCGGGCAAATGTTAATGTGGTCAAACGAGAAGCCCACTGCTTATTTTGAAAATGATCCCTAAACGCTTCATGTGATTCTGACCAGGGTACTGGTTTGCCGTCTGCCATTAGGTGGGAACGCTTACCGGCAAAGCCTCGCTTCTGTTGCTTGGCCATGCGCCAAAAGTTGCGGGTCAAACCTCCTGGGTCCTCCATCAGCCTTTCGTGGACCTATTTAATGCGATCTTTGCACGCCATTCGTTTCGCTTTGTTCCTAACAAGTTTGGCGTCTAGTGTGGCTTGGGCTTCGGTTGCGCGTGTCTCCTGCAAGGCTGTCTTTGTGGATTCCGTGATCCACGGTTTTCTTGGCTGTCTTGTCTGAAACACGAAGGTTTTCTCTGCCGCTCGTTGCAGCGCGGACGAGAATCGATCAGTTTGTGGGGGTTGTGGTCTGTGGGAGGTTAGCGTTTCGACCCCCCTGATGCTGTTGGGTGCTTTGCCCTTTTCCGCAAGTTTGTCTGCGTGTTCGTTGCCTCTGTCGTCTGCGTGCCCTTTAACCCAGATAAGCTTGGCCTTGCCCTTTGGGAATTGTAACAGGCTACGGATATAGCTGATGAGCACGTGGTGGGTTTTAGGACGCCACCGGCCTGTGATCACATTGATGGACCATTGACTGTCAGAGTGTATGATGACTCCGTGGTATCTTGGCTCGTGCGCATACAGTAGAGCCTCCACAATAGCGCTAAGTTCACCGGTATTGCTAGAGCCAACTGAAGCGCCTATGTAGGCGGTGTGGTTCAGTGCAGTGATGACCGAACCGAACCTGACGTGTCGATCCATTCCAGCTCTCCGTCCTCTCCAGTGCGCTCTGTGCACCAACCCCATCCGGCTGGAGTTGCCGCTGTACAGCGTCCCCTGCGGGTCTGCATAGAAGGTACACTCTGCGGTGTGGTCTGGAGTAGGGTAGTAGTCCTCTGCGGCGGCGGTGTGATCAAGGCCTAGTTGTACTCGAACCTCGTTGTTGAATTGCGCCTTCTGTTCTTCGTTGACTGAAGAGAAGTGGAACTTGGGTTTGGGAGGCTTCTTGAGACTTTTAGCTGCCAGCTTCAATTGAAATTCTGTAACCAATGGCTAGTGACCAGAAGAGGAACCGGCAAAAAAATTACATCGGCAGGAAGTAACCGAATTGTCTTAACACAAAGCGACCTATTTGAGGTGGTGACGGTGTGGTCGATGTGTTTCGCACCCTTGCTGTATGTACGCGGTCCTGTGACTCCCTCATCGTGGCGGTGAGCGGCCTGAAACCTTAAATTAACATCTCCCGTGAGGTACAAAGGTTCTGGGTGGGGGATTCGATCGAGATGTTCCTCTAAGGTCTCCCAAAATGGTTAACGATCTAGTTCATAATCCCTTCCAGCGTGCGGGGCATATGCCCCCACCACATGGACAGAGCCTCCCTGCTTCTTAAAGCAAAGATGTATGATGCAGCTGTTAATCTGAATTACATCCATGAGGTGGGGGTGTCGTCATCCTTGCGCAGGGGCCATGCTAATCATCTCTGTATCGTTCCAATTTTATCGGATGCTCCCCGAAGGGAATCCTGTTTCCCGGGTTATGTTCATGTAAACGGCTCCACACGAATGAGATGATGTAGACCTCAATGTCCCTTCAACCGTGTAACATGCCAATCGGGAGCCTCGGAGAGTCGGTCGGTCGGGTCGGGTCGGGTCATACGCCAGGCGGCGCGGGGACAAGCAAGAATCGACACACCGAACGATGCCAGGCGTGGTCATGCATAAGTCTTCACTGGTTCGCTCACGCCTCAGTCTTTCAACTGTTCTGACAAATCTGTCATTTGCAAGTGGTTTTGATCAAAGGATGAAGGCAGTTTGGTGCAATAAATGGTCGCGTGAGCATCGCAGGATTCAAACAAGGCTGGGCAAGTACAGCATCTTCTCGGTGCTTGCTTGAAGAGCCCTCCCCATGCACTGAAGCTCTCCATGTAAGGTGGCTTCACCCTCCGATGCTAGACATTGATTGCTTCAGCCTGAGGCCACCTCCTTGCCAAAATGCGGCTTGTGAGGAAACAGCACACACAGCCGACTTTGGGGCACCCTCCCAAACTAGCTCGGATGGAGTCAGGCTGCTTTCCCAAGCTGCGCTCTAACGACAGCTGCACGCAACACCGAACAACTCGTCAGTGAAACCCAGCCCTTCTGTCGCCCCGTCGCGTCTACCTGCCCGCAGCAAACAATTGGGCAAGTCTGGCTGAATCAAGCGGCAGAGCTCCGCGGCACTGAGTGACGCACCAAGGCATTCGCTAATGACTCCGGGCCTACTAAGCTGCAGGTAGCGAATTCGCTTGCTGCACCAGCTGGGCTTCCGGCCGTCAGTGGGAACTGCCGCCCAGTCGAAGCTTTCCTGCATGCACGTTTCATTGATGATCAACAGGTGGCCGTCTTGAAATCACAATGCAGCAATCCTGGCCAGCCGTCGCGGCATTCTGCTCATGCAGAGAGGCAGCCAAGTGGATCTGCACCGCCTGGTAAGGATTTGTTCATGAGTCGTCACATGTTTGCGCAGTCTGCCATCAGAAGAACGAGAAAATATGTTCGCCTTGAGTTGCAAGCATATAAGCGCGGCAAGCTCATTGGCTACCAAATGGCGCTGGTGGCGCTTCCCCTTGAGAAACAGGCGTGCCTCGTCGGCAGACCGAATGGCCAAGGCCAAGGACGGCACCAAAAATGATTCCGAGACTGGGACACATTGGAGGTACATAGACAGGCAAAGCAGGAGCTGCTCCTCCCCATCCTGTTCTAGAAAAGTCAAATCCACGCCTGACTGACTAAGCCTCATCTTGGCACCCCAATCTCCTCAGAGCAGATGTCTGTCCATTTTCGGCCTGACATGCTACTTGTGGCGAATCAAAGTTCAAAACTCCACTTATCGCACCGCCATGCAGAAAGACTTGATGCTGCGCAGGGAAAACACATGACCATCAAGACAAGACAAACACCGTGCCTAGACGCAGTGCCACTTGGCCAGCCTGGCAGCACAAGGAAAAGGAAAGAAGCTACCTGCCGCCGGCGCAGCTCTAACGCGAGATGCTGCAGGCAATTCCGAAGAACGTCAGTCTTGGAAGAATATTGCCGCGCGCGAGTCGTGCATTGTGCGAGGGCGACTGTTCCCACGGTCAACTGCAAAAACAAATGCCGAGCAGCAGTCGACCACTTGGTGTCGCCAGTCGTACATTTACATGCCAACAATCCACGACGGCGTGTTGGATGCACGATTTGCACGGACCTCTTCCCTCCCACAATCCCCTGCCAATAATGTGGCTAGTTGTGTTCTAACTTGGATGCTCTATCAAACGCATGTTGCGATGCAGCTGTTCTAGATGAGCTGTGCGAAATCTGAGATAGCATGTGGCTTGCAACATTCATGAGGTATCCTCGGGTGCCATACGATGCGAATCCTGGACGGATCTAAAGAGACAGGGCGGACGACCCAACAGTTTCTGTGTGTGTGTGTGTAACAAACAGCAACAGCTGTTTTCGACTATGCAATATGCAATTGTCAGCCAGGGGCCAGCTCACGGTGTTGTGACGCTGGCCAACGAAGCTAGCAACACCATGGGAAAGAGGCTTGGGACGCCAAGCCCTGTACCTGCAAACACTTTGCCTCTCTGAGCCAGCAAGATTGGAAAGCCCCTGTGCCAAGATCTAAGATTAGTTATTTTCTGTTCGTAGCCACAGTGAACAGTTGTGATTACAACCGGCTTTGCATCATGCCACAGTCTTCTTTCCTCTTGTCCTCGCCCCTTTGCAGAATCCGTCAGTTTGCGCGTGCGCACATGTATGCCATCAGGAAAGCAGAACAATGAAGAGGAAAGCTGCTGCGTGTGCCGGGCGGTGCTATTGCTACTCTGCCTTCGTCTCCAGCAGCTCTGCCAGCTCCGCTTCTAAGCCGAAGCTGCAGTGAACCTGCCCCAGGCCCGCCAGACGATGTTCCAAAGACTACTTGCGCAGGAGAAACGTGACGCCCGCGTCGCCTGAACCAGCATCTCCAAGTCGAGGGGAAAGTTCACCTGCAAGTACCTGCTGCGTCGACGCCGATACCACGGAGAAGTCAAAAGCGACGTCTCAGATCGCACCTTATTAGGGCCACAGCCAGAGCAATGTGCTGTCCGCACTTCGTGGCATCCTCAAGGCCGATCTGTAGGCATGATGGCAACAGCACTTGGAATTTAGTTCACAGACATCAAGGTCCTGCCCCCTTCGTCTTCCTTCAGCAAGAAGGGTGTGCAACTCGCCGTGACGAACCTTGTTGCCCAAATCAAAGTGTAGACGGCTGCATCGTTGTTTTGTGGGCGAACGCGGGCTGCTCGAGTTTCGAGGTCGCAGCGAGATGACCAAATAAGTACTCCTGGAAGTATTGATGTCCACAGCAGCTCCCCAGCGGACGAACATGAAGGCAAACAGCCGGTGCGGCCATGGCGTGGTACTCGGGAATGGCTACCAGCCTCATTTCACGCGTGGTGCTGATCGATCAATGTGGATGGAGCAATGTCAGTCGAGACCCGGACAGACGGACAAGCAAATGGAAGTGCCCCCGAGCCACCTTGCGGATGGCAACATCAGGCAGGATTGTTCAAGGCTGCAGCTTATTAGCAGCAGCTCTTGGAATGTCGGTTCTGGAGATAAAGGGCCCCGCGTAAAACTCTGCTCGAGCTTGAAGAAGCCGCAGCAACCTGTGCGATGTATGTACACCGAAACCGGTAGACCCTGCAAATGAAAAATGACAATCATGCTTGCTCGTTCGAAGCTGAACAAGCAAGAAGGTGAGTGACTTAAGCTTCCTGCTCGCTGACAGAACGTTCACGGCAGCCCTGCCCGACGTCGGATTGAGATCTTGTGCTGGTGAGATTGTGTCACTGCCGAATGCGCCTGAACGTAGGAGTGATAGGCCATTATCAGCACCTCAACCTCCGTCTCTGGATCAAGGACTTGACTGGGAACCTGCACAAGCGATGTGGTGTGCCTGCAGCTGCTGTAAGGCTGTCAGGGATACTGAGGTTGAGACGCTAGTAGGGCCATGCTCCGTCTTCACCAGCTCCCTTCAGGTCGGCATGTCTCAGCGCTTAGTCCGAGACTGCTCTTACCGCTCGACACCAGAGACGAACAACAAACGGTCTCTGCTTTTCCTGTTTCGGTGCATAAGACTACAACACTGGGTTCAGTCGCGCCAGGATATCACGTTTGACACGCGATGGCTCAGTCTGAGGCTTGCACGAAGGGACGGGTTACAACCATTGATGCAGCAGGCACTGCCACGACGCGACAACAAAAATGGAAGTCGAATGATCGGTGGGAGGCCTATTGGATAGGAGGGTTTCGATCCTTGGCACCCACGGCTGAGAACTTCAGATGCTCGGGCCTGAAGCTAGGAATTCGTTGGAGCGCCGCCTGGCCCAAGAGCTCCTGCGCAGATTGCACAGCACTCAATCGCATTCCCTGCAGCGAGTCTTCTCCGGTAGCTGGGAGTTCCTGTGACGGGCTCAGCAGCGACACAAACTCGTCCAGCTTCTCTTCCGCCCACCGCATGACACCCTGCGCGAGCCTAGGCACACACTGTGCAAGAAGCCTGAGGTTTGAACAACTCATCCTCTCATCTCTAGCTAAGCTGCATGGATTCGATAAACGAGTCCAAGAGCACCTGCAAAAACACGCTGCGCACTTCTGCTGCTCTGCTCTGCCCCCCCAGCCGCTGGAGAGCCGGAGCCTCGGCCACGGCCACGGCATCAAGCCTTGGGAAGCCTGTGATGAGATTCCTGAGAGCAGGAGGGAACTCGTGAGCAAACTTTCTCCAGATGTATCGGCCAGCGCCTAGCCTGCACAGCTCGATGTCCGCACAGTAGGGCCTCGAGATGCAAGTGAACTGCATGCGCGAGTAGGATCCGCAAGACTAAGTACGCTGCTGAGGACTGAGAAGCAAAGAGAGCAGCTTGGTGGGCTCGACCTTCTCAACCTCAACACAGGAAAGCTTCAAGACATGCTTCTGAGGCTCCATGTTTTGAGGGTAACTCCAAGAGCAGATCCCGGCCTCTTGATAGTCCATTCCGATGTTTCGGGACACGGAGTAGAAAACCCTGCCTCCGAAGATGTTGGTAATTCGTGCCCCAAGCTTGCACGCAAGGCAGGTGAAGCTGGGCTGGCGGACATCGACGACAGTACAGGGCAATTCTGTCTGAGCAGTGCCTGCACAAAAAAAACGAGTGCCGAGGCCACATGCACACATGTGCATCCACGTGCACAGCCAAGTCTGAGCGCTGGACGATCCCAACTCGTTCAACAACGGTTCTGCATCGCCTTGCCTCGGATGACAGTCGCTTTCTTACAGACTCTGATGCCAAAAGCTGTGGCCACGGCTCGGCAGCTGTCAGGGCTGAGTCACTGGGCCTGCCGAGTGTAGCTGGTTGCGCAAGGTGCATTGATGGCGGCTGTTGGTGATGCTGGGACCATCCGGGCCCGGACTCTAATGGTGACTGCTGAGATTTCAGGCGATGCACAGCCTCGCATAGAAAAGTGTCATAGCGAACACTGCAACCATGGGAACTGCCTCCAAATGCTTGCCACCTCAGCTATCCAAGCATGCTGCATGAGCACTTAGGCCATCAGTCGCCGCAAACACTGCTAGCTAGGTCCGAGGCCAGCAATTGAAGAGAGAGCCGCTGCCAGTTTTTGATCCGAACTTTCATATCCAAAACCTATGAAGAATCAAGACTCAGATGTGGTTGTACCAGACTGCATGAACGGTCTGCACAGTGCCTGAAGCTAGCTGGTCCGCCAGCATCAGCTCGTCGCGATTGATGAGAGAACTGATCCCGGTCTCCAGGAAAGGGATTAACCTTTCAGAAAGATCTGAGTCTCGGACTTCTTTGCACTGGCCTTCACGATGTGGAACAGGAAGAGCGAAACGTGTCGCATGAAGTGCTTAGACTCCATCGACGAGCTGTTCCGATAGTCCTACTGCGGCTGCTGCGCCGTCCAGTGACACAAAACACACCACTTTGATTTGTGCGGATCCGTCCGTCCGGGTTCTATGACCAGAGATGTACCTACCAAGGGTCGGCACATCTCGGCCCTCAGGGAGCCACTCGCCGCGCGGGCCCTTTTGCTGTGCATCCAAGACCTGGAAAACGTTGGAGAGCTCGGGGTACAAGTACGGAGCCGTTTGCGTTCATCACATCGGTGTAAGGCGCAGGCTGAGCCTCCCTGACCCTCCTTGGCGGAAGAAGGCCCTGCGCTTGCGCCGTAGTCGGAAAGCCGGAAGCACCAAGACGGGTCCAGGCTGAGGCTCTGAGGCTGAGGCTCTGAGGGCCTGAGGGCCTGGCCTGGACCGAAGGATGAATTGGCCCTCGCGCTCGTCATTAGCGCACCCTCCATGCCATAAAGCGGCAAAGCCTGAGATTCTCAAAAGATTGCAGCGCAGGCGGCGCAGGGCACGGGAGTCCAGGTCTCGGCAGCCGGCATTTACTTGGTCTGGGATCCGATGCACCAGCGCACATATAGTCTTGTAGGACAGGTCCTCACCGGTAGCAATTCTCGGGATTGGTAGTGGTCGCAGAGCCGCAGTCCCGCACCATTCCAAGGCACTTTTGAAAGCGGAAAGCACATCTGACGGCTGGAGCACTCTGCAACATCTTCCAGATGCTTCAGATCTCTACGTAATCTTTCACTAAGGCCTCACTTCTCTTCCACAACTCCTCCGCTAAGGCCTCTGTGCGCCAAGAGAGAGACGGTGCTGGGAAAAGGGTGCTCGGTGCGCTCCACCACTGGCCGTCCGGCAGTTTGCCGGCCTCCGCAGAGTCGGCGAGCCACACGATGCCTTCAGCTGCTTGGCTCGGCGTCTTCAGGCCGAAGAGCCGAGCCTGCCTAGCGAGCTGTGCAGGATCCATATCTCGCCGCTGCAATGCCCGCTCTGGAAGCGAGTATCGCACGATCTGTGTGGCTGTCGGCCCGGGATCGATTGAATTTGCTGAGGCAAAGCTCCCTTTCGCATGAAATCGTCGCGCGAGCTCTTCGGCAAAAAGGACATTACAGGCCTTCGACGCAGCATAGGCATTGTGTCTTCCATACTCACGTCGTTTCCAGTCTAAATCATCCAGATCCAGTTCTGCATCCAGGGCAGCTGAGGAGGTCACTGTCACAACCCGAACTTTCTCAGCTAAACAACTCCTCAATCCCATCCACAAAGCGAAATGTCCGAGGTGGTTGACAGCGAAATGAAGCTCCTGACCCTGGGGAGTTCTCTCGAGAGGAGCACCATCAATGCCAGCATTGAAAACCACTGCATCAAGCTGCCCTGTCGACCGTGAAAGGGCTCTGGCACACCTGCGAGAGCACATCACATTGCAACCGGCAATAACTGCAAGCAACTGCATTTAAAACTCGGGAGAAGTTTGGGAACCCCCAGTTGGCTTACCAGAGCTCACTGGGCAGTAGGAACCCCGTTAAAGGTAGAAGATTCGTCAACCCGGAGTCGCACCCCCTTCGTCTCACCCTGCCTGGACACTGATAGCAAGTCCGCCAAGTCGCAAGAAACATCAACTTCACCAATCACAGCCTCTGGCACTAAGTCCACGATATCTTCTTTCGTCTCACGAGCTTTCTCACTCGAGCGGCATAGCGGAACGACCTCCCATCCTTTTGAGGCCAGGTCCACGGCCGTTGCCAAACCGATGCCTGAATTTGCTCCGGTGACCAAAACCCGCCTACGGGAATCACGGGACTCTGCAGCCCGAGATCTCTGCTTGATAGCGCTGCCAGCAACCATTCCAAGAACCACAGAAGCTACTGGAGACCTGCGAGACGCGCACATTCTGGTCACACGATCAACCTTTCTGGCTGGTTTGCCCGTGTTCCCAGCAGAGCACAGCTGCTTCGAGCCAGCCCATGCCCATGGTGCCTGAACGAGGAGTGACATGGCTGCTTTACGCCTTGAGTGGAGCCTACGTTGGGCACGTCGCCAACATCGTTTAGCACACTTTTGTTATGCTACTTGCATCTTTCCTTCTACCGAGCCAGAGCTGTGAGCGAAGATCAACATTCGCAGTGACTTGACATGAGCAGCACCCTGGCAGTCCAGAGGGCACAGTTCCAAATCCGGCGTCAACTCAGGCGCCGTGCCCGTGAGAATGAGAAGCAGGCTCACCTTCCTGGGTTCGATATTCGGCTTGGGCATGGCTGGATGTTCAATCATAATCATGATTCGCGCTCCCAGGTTTTGCCCGGTCGCAGCTGCTCGAGATGATCTTCGTGCGAGGATGTAACCTCCGGCAGCAGGCAGAAGTAATGGCGCTTGTCAGGTTCAAGCAACTTTGTGGCTTGGGCCAGGGGTTCGCCCTGGCATGGCTAAGCAGCAATCCGCACAGTAGGCGTGACAGGATGGCTCCAGCCGCTCTTGATGGAAGCTCAAGCTGAGCGGGCGAAAAAAATGCTGTCGATACCTTCCATCAGTTTCTCTGTCTTGGCAGCCTGGACTCTCGATCTCTTTCTTCGGTCTGATATAGTGTTGCTTTGCTCCTCGCTTCTAGTTTCCGAAGCAAATCTGTCAGCACCGTCAAAGCGACGGCCTGTGCTGTGCTGTGCTGAATCAAGAGAAGCTCCCGGGCAATGGAGAGAAGGACCAACCTCACAGTGGTTTGCTCAAACCAAAGCCGGGCTCAAACAGCCACGGGAGGGGAGGGCCCCATGGCCGTCTCAAAGAGCGCTCCGCTCTGGGCAAGTGGCTGCTCGCGTGCGAAGAGATCCGGCCTTTGCAGGACACGCTCATGACGATTTAAGTGCGCCTCCAATCATCAGCTTTGGCGAGGATGATGCTCCAGCTTGGCAGTGATATCCAAGAAAAAGTTTGCAGATCCTTGCTGTCACGAGTCTTCCAACCAGTTCCGGAAAATTCTTGAAGTATCTCTGAGACCCAAACCCACCGGAGGACTTTGACGCATGAAGGCACTGAAGCCTTGCCCAGAGCTGAAAGGGCTGCTGCTGAACTCCGAACCAACTTCGCATCGCTTCCATCGCCAAGCCGCACTTGTGCCACAGTTGAATTCTCTCTGCCAGCACATTCCACCAGGCTCCCTGCAATGGAACCGGGTCAAAACACACTTGTGCTTGAAACAAACACTACTGGCACACCTGCCGGAACTCGACGATCATACCTGTATTTGGCAGATGGCTGCCATTCACAACGGCCTGTCTATGTTCGAATCCAAGCAGCCCGTCACTTCCTCGAAAACGACGGTGTCCCCCGCCACACCTTGCTCCGTGTAGCAGTGCCTTCGTTCGTGCTTTGTCTTTAATCTGGGTGTGCAGGCCACTCTGCTTGGCCCATTCTCTGGCTTCTGAGAACATCTTCTTCGATATCAGCAGCTGCCTCAGGCAAGGGCACCCCGAATCCCTCGTGCAACGAGCAGTTGTTTCAGGTGGTCGACAGCAGTTCTGTACTCGGCACGCGGAAATCAACATCCAATCCGGTCCTCGGCAGTGCAGAGTTCTAACAACATGCTGTAACACAAATGCACACAGAAGTACTAGCTTTGTTCAAAAATCCGTGGCCCCAGCTGTTGGATCAGCCTTTCATTGAGTCTGGGTGTGACCGCGACATCCACTCCGCACAGAAGCAACATGTAGCAACAAGCTGCAGTTCTGACTTTTCGCCTGTAGGCGCTGAAAAGCAGCGAGAAGCGCGGGGAAAAGCCAGCTTCATCAAGCCTCGCTTTTCAATGTCAAGCAACAAATCGCTCTCTGCACCAACAGCGACACGAACTCCAAGTGATGCATGCATGCAGAATACACAGGACTACCGCGCAATTCTGTAGTTGGATCATGGAGGGCATGTCCGTACTTGTGCACGAGCTCCATACTCAGATTTGATTCTGGAATCGGATGTCACATGGGCACCACGTACTCTATGGTGCGGGGGGTTGTGTGATGCAACTTGCATTGGGTTTCCGAGATAAGACCCTACTGTACGACTACGATCAGGGTTGCGGTGCCGAAACTGAGTGGCCGGCACTGATAGCAACATCATGCGAGACCTGGGAAAACCATCCAGGAGGTACCTGGCAAAGACGATGATTAACCAACATGCTGTTGGAACCGGACAGGGCATGCTGGTTGATCCTACCATACCATGTCCTCGCTGAGTCGTTCAACATGTGGCCTCGGTACACACAACCACCAGCTTCTGCTGCGCAGTGTTCACTGCCCTTGTATTGTGCAGACTTTCTCACCATTGCGTTCTGGCCACGAGAAGTCCAGTGCGCACGATGTTCCCTGGGCAAGGCTTCATTGTATGATCTCTCCGTCCAACTCTGTCTCGACGACACTCGTTCGAAGAACGCCAATTTCAGCCACAGGACAGACTCCTGGCGTCGCCCAACGAAGCGACGCAGATGCTCTCGGCAGCTCTTGAACCGACACTGCCTTGGCTCACCAGAGGCTGCCTGCAGCTCCCTCAGTCCGTGTATTGCAATTCCCCCTGCTGGGCCGAACACACGAATGCCCGATGAAAGCAAACAAAATCGATGAGCGGATTCTCCGGATCAAAGATCTGCCACCGTTGCGATGGGCACATGCAAAACTCAGCGCAACAGCAGCGACTTCAGCCTACAATGAAAGCAGACGTGCCTTGAGGGCTCGAAGAACCAAGGAGAATGCATGACCTCAACCAAGCAAGAAAGCTTGTTGGCAAGCGTGGGAAAGGACAAGAGAGACGGAAGCAGCCATTCGCTGCAGAGCACCAGACGCTGTCGACAGAGGCTGGCAATCTGCGCGGCTACCTCCCAGGATCTGGAATGGAAGCATGGTCTCTTCGGCCTAAAGCTGGACCTCGCCAGGACTTGCCGCTGGTGATGGCAAGGGCCCAACAACAGCATCTGGCACCTTGCGACAGGAAGCATTGTCGACCATGTGCTTCTTGTAGCGGGTGAGAGAAGCTCTGCTGATGCTCAAGCAGAAGAGTTTTCAACTTGGTACTGTAGCGCCGTGGGCTTCAGACAGGATCATAACATCAGTGAATCAGGCATACAAGAAAGCATCCGAACATCAGGATTCCACTCTTGAGGTCTGAAACTCACAGGGACGTCCAGAAAACGCATCCTGGGATCCTCACGACACCTGTTTTAGGATCCTAAACAAGCTGGAACGCGCCAGTGGGCACCTGATTGTCGCGAAGTCGTTCTGCATTCACGGAGAGCCACACTGCCATGCCTCACTATGACGCGGAGCTCGCAATCGCGCTGACACCCGGGTTTGCTTCTCTGCGAGCGCTGCAGATGCTGAGACCGGGACACTGAAGGTAGGTCACATCACTGAAGGCCGAAGCCACAACCGCGAGCCTTGCCTTTCTGTGGAGGAGCGCATGGCCCAAAAGTCCTAAACTCATGGAGCTGCCGGTTGAGCGGCTTCTTTCCAAGAAGCTGATGGCATCGGCCGGCACACTTGGGTCCTCCACTTTGCCACTCCGACCTCTCTCTTCACGTCGTCCTGGCTGCCCTGGCTGCCCTGGCTGCCCTGGCTGCCCTTGCTGCCCTTGCTGTTCTTGCTGTCCTTGCTCTTGTGCAGCAATCGAGTTGGCAAGAATTTGCAGATGGTTCTGCAGAGGCACCTCGGTAAAATAGCCGCCCACAATGTCAAGAACCGTCTCTGCAGGGCACTGCTGCAAGTCGCTCTCATAGAGGAACATGACCCAGTCATTGTTGCGTGCGAGTTCGTGAAGAAGAGTGAGTGACCGCGGCAAGGAGTGTACTCGGCAGAACAGTGCCACGAGGTGCCAAGGCAGATCATAACCCAAAGCCTGGATGGAAGATGCTGTTGGAGCCGATGGATGAGGATCCAGGGCCCAGGTGGATTCTTCCAGCATTCGCAGAGCATTCAACAAATGGGGAGAGCTAATTGCCGCCTCGGCAGCAGCACTCGCCGATGCATCTTCTGTGTCGGGGAAGGACATGAACAACTGAATCACGCTAGCAGCTCCGGCTCGCTGACGGTCTTCACCCGCGCTTGAGCGACTTTGATGGACAGTGTGGGAATAGATTCGCTTCGCTGCTTCCACGTCCACTCGCAACTTCTCCGTCTCCAAACCACAGAGCTCCAAAAGGCAAACTGCACTGGAGACGACACCCTCGTTCAGCAGATTGTGCAATGCGACCGATTTTGCTGCTTTCCGCAGACGGCGGGCATCCTGCAAAATCCCATGGCACATCTGTCTGAAAGGTCTGAAAGAGACGTCCTCTGCAGCCAAGGCCAGCGGAAATCGGAGTTCCTCCCCTGCCCTCGGAGCTGAAAGGCAGTCTCAAGATTGAACAGGCGCCTACTTGTAGGGACACGGCTTCAACTGCCGCTTGCAGTTCGTCATCAAGACGTGATACGCCATCATGGCCTCAGGCTGCAACGAGCAGAACGCAAACCTATGCAAGACCCAAGGCTGCGCGGATGAGTCGTAGCATCAGAGGCCCCAGCTCTTCCCTGGGACAAGAAGTAACCTGCAGTTTTTGGAGGCTCTCAATCAACATTCGAGCAATCGCGCAATCTCATCTAACGAGGTCACAACGGCAACTACTTGCCAGGCTTAGCATCTCATCTGTTCTGCACATGAAAAGTTTTCAAAGCGCTAGCTAAACCCTGGAAGACTGGAGAGTAGCGGGCAAAGGTCCCAACATGACCAAACCAAACTCAACCAAGCCAATCCAAGCCGGCGGGACTTTCCTCCAGCTCATCGGGAAAGTGCTCGTCCGTATCCTGTGGACACACGAAACTCACTCGAGCAAGCCGGCTCCGTGCTCCAATCCAAGGTTTACTGAGGCGCCCTCCGCCAACTGTGCCAGGTTCAGTATCTCGCATTCCTCGAAAAGCTGGCAGAGGGCAAGCTCATGCAGTTCACAAGATATCCCCGTACATTTCCCAATGGTACCAAGCTTGCAGCTTCAAAAATGCAGAGGCGATCCAGGACTTGGACCTGAAGCATGGAGGGTATGGACGAAAGAGCACTAACCAATACAGGACGGCATGCTGTGCCGCCCTTGAATCAATGCGAGGCTTATTGCAACTAGCCTGTCAGCCTGTCAGCCTGTCAGCCGGCGAGCCCGACCCATAAGAACAGACATCCGCACAACCGGTAGCTCCGGCTTCGGGGGTTCTAACTCGAATAAGTTCGGCTTTACATGCAGCACAGCCTGCACGCAGACTGGTGCTGTGCACGCTTGGCGGAAAGTCCAAAGGAACAGTGAGAAAAGAAGGTAACAGATGTCCAGGCTGACGACTACGGGCAAGACTTCGTGGTGATGTTAATGACCAAACAACCTGACGTGTCAAGTGTGCTAGCTCATGCTTTTCAAGTCCCACACTACGGGACTGCTAACCATCTCAGGCCTGCGCTCAAAACTGACACAGCTGCCCCTTCAATTCGAAGCTCCAGGCTTTCAAGCGGAGTTGCAACGACAGCTTTTCCTTTGGAGACATGCTCCCCACCGGCAAGGCTTTAGAACTTTTTAGAAATCTGAGGTGCTCACAACGTCAAAAGACGCGACATCGCTCAGGAGCGTCGACAACGTGATCTGGGCTGTTGCGACTGTCAGGCTTGGTCAAGCTGCCGCTAAGGTACTGACATCGCCCTTGAAGGTTGCCATTTCCTCGACCGTCTGCCTCGTCTCCGGACTTGGGACACTTGGGCACTCGGATGCCAAGGCCAAAGGCCTCTCTCCGCCGCCGATGCCTGCTCCTGCGACTCTCGCACTGTAGCTCCAACTTTAACCTGACCCTAGTCTTCGTGTACAGCTTGGCGGCATCGGCAGGTCTCCTTGCATCTCAAGCTGAGGCACGATTTCCTGCGCACATTCTGATGCACAGGACGCTCGTGTACGTGGCAAACTCCAAAAAGCATGACTTGAACAAAGAAGCTTCGTCTCCAACACTCGCGCATATCCATGACTCCTTGGGAATCATCCGATTCTCCATCTTGCCTATCGCCGTGACACGCCCGTGACGATGTCGCGTGCACATGACCATGGTCCATGGTGATCTCAGCAAGGGCCACCTTGGCAGGAGCAAGCCTCGGCCACTGCCTCCACGAGGCTTCTGCCTCGGATGGGAAATAACGCCAGTCTCGCAAGCTCAAGCTGGTTTAACAAGGGACCGGCCATACTTGTCGCTTCCTGCCGGTGTCTCCTTCGTCTCATCCTTGCAATGCTTCTTGTGTGATCTCGCTTTGCCTTCGACATGTTCATCCACTAGACTGATGCCTTGAAACGTGTACGGGAGGAACCGCAACAAGTATTTGCTGGTCTGAAACGCAGAGCATACAGCCGCAATCAGAAGCGTCACGGAGGCTTCGGACTGCCGCTCAGGGCAGAAAAGCACCAAAAGGAAAAGCATAAAGACTACAAAGATACGCAAAGCATCCCAATGCCCCCGGAGAACACACATCTTCGTGGTGCTGGAAGACGAGGTCATTCAGGGCCGTGCCTCGACGCTATTCGACAGAAATGCTTCGCTGAGAGCAGGATATGCCGCTACAGCCTGGGATAGACAGAAAGAGCAACAGGCAGTCCTCGCGATGCCTCACTGACTTGACACTGAACTTGCCTTTTGGAGTGTTTTCTTGCTAACCGCCCATGGGCAGTCCTGTGACAATGGACAGTGAAAGTCTTGCCTGCAATGACAGAGAGGCAAGCTGCTCCTTGTCCAGCTTGAGGAGCTCGAGGGCACATGCAACTGGCCTCAATATAACTTGGGCATCTCTTTCAACCTAACATGATGCATCCTTGAGCGCGGAGCGCAAACATCAACGTCGCGAGGAATGCGATTGGCCTGCTCGGGTGTTGGCAAGCTCTATGTTGGTCACGGTAACGGGTCAAATCAACATCGTTTCAGTCGTCCTTTCGGCTACGTGCGCTGGCGAACAGCATCGGCGGGGTTCCGCCCATCCGGCGTCTGACAGGGCAATTCAGGGCTTGTTGCCTGGAGTCTGCCAAAGCCCCCAGTGGCATAAACGGCACCTGAGTTTGCAAGAGACTTGTGCACACGCCTGCTGCTTGCAACGGTGCGACGCATGGCTACGATGGAAGCAGGATTGGTCCACAAACCACAATGAGCTGCACACCAGACCAAAATGGGCATATTATGTTCCTAAGCTTTGCGGCACTCCGAGGCAGCAGCTCCCTCTGCATCTTCCTTCACAAATCTGATGACGGAAGCATCTGAAGATGGACAAACCTCACCCGGCATTGTGCTGCTCTGACCGATGAATGTCGTGTGGAGATGAGCAGATGCCTGCTACCCTTGCGGACAGCTATCTAAGACATTCCGAGACCAGCACGGAAGCGGCGTGGTGCAAAGATGCAGCGAAGAGATGGGGATTGCCGAGGCGTCCGACGAGGAGTAGCGGAGCCTTGCGTAGGTCCAGCTCCCCAACAACACGAGTCAAAGCCTGAACGGCATAAACCTCATTAGGTTTGCTGGAATCTGAAGGCACGACCCAGGACCGCTGCGATTGTTGAATGTGGAGCTCCTCCCACAATTGGCAGGCACGTGATTTCGAGTCGGCACCTGAAGGCCTTGAGGGTGCTCATGGTCGTGGCCAAGTTGTAGCGCTGGAGGTACAGCCTCGACGCCCCAGGGGCTACGATCAGGGCTGAGCAGCCTGGGGCGGCTGTGTCAAGGCCGAGGCAGCAGAAGCGCAGGCAGGTCCTAGGGGTCGAGAGTCTGCACGGCACTGCAATGAATGTGAATTTGTGGTTCTGGGTAGGTTTTTGCAACGACATGACATGCCTTATCTGCCGCCGAAGGTCGTTGTCGATGCAATAGTTGATGAAGAAGCAGTGGAAAGGACTCACTGTTCCCACCGGCAGCAGATGGTCCAGTGGTAATGATCCCTCATCGCTCTCAGAGCTAGGCAGCTTGGAAGCCAGCGTAACTTCACGTCCCTTTGGTGGCTCTAGGCTCATTCCGTCGCCGAATAGCTTGCCACAAAGTGTCAGACGGCACAGAAGCGCATGGAAGTCCTGTGTGTCACCGCTACAAAAGATGCCCCGGCGGCCCAGCTGCTGCAGAAGAACCTCTCGCGAATAAGAAGTGCAGAACCGGAGACCACGTTGCTCGAGCTTCTCCAAGTCCACGCAGCTCTTGCCGTGTGCGTCCACACAGTCCGAGGCCGAAAAGGGAAGCGATCTCACCCATGCAGCAAGGCCTCGCCAATCCTGGTGGGCAACGAGGAAGTCCAGCCAGCAGTGTTGCCACGCTTTGGCTGGCGGCCCGGCTTCACCAGGTGGCTGCAACCAGGGGAGTGGCTCAACCAAGCGGGGCCAGAAGTGGGTCTTCTCCATCACGATCCGCGCCCGCGTCTCCCAACTCCTGCAAGACAGATCAACGCTTCCCCTGCTGAGCCTGAGCGGCGCCGGCCCCCCAAACAGCAGCCCCGCAGTGCGCTCCACTGCCGCATCCAAGCCAGCGTCACATGGAGATATCCCATGGTGTGGCCTTGCGGCTTGTCCGGGCTCAAAGATCATGCTTCGATAATTCAATTCACGAGGCCCTGGCTCTTGGGCCCACCCTCATCCAAACCCAGTGCCTCCAAACGAAGCGGCCGAGTGCAAAAATGCACTTGTCCGCAACAGGGCCGCAAATCGCTGTTGACTTGCCTCCAGGAATCCTTCTGAGTGCGAGAGATCCTTGGACGCGCGAGCTTGTCTCGCCACTCCGAAACCCGATTCAGCAAAGGCCCGCACAGCACTCAGAGGGGTGTCCTCATCCTGCGGCCTGCCAGAAGACAAACAAAGGTGCGCACGAGCTGCGAAAACCGTGCGCCAAGCCCCTCCAGTCGGCAGCGACGGCAGCCTCGGCAAATGCTCTCTCCAGGATGAACTGCCTTCTGTCAGCGTGGAAGGACAGGTGTGACGTTGCTTGTTAATTTTGCTGCGGCAGCATTAAGGACTCGACTGGCCCGAGCAAGCGGCGCTGACTCCAGGCTGTTCAGCATCTCCTTACACGGTGCCGAAAGCTACCTGTGTCAACCGTCTTTTAGTGGAGCTATGTGCAGCTATTCGCCATGCATTTGTGTACATCAGCGACAGATTTGCTGGACAGGCCAGCAGCACTGAACGCAAAACTGAGGACCTGGACTGTGTCACCTTCATCTGCTTGTTCGCGCATATCGGCGATATCGTCCCCATGCACATCCTGTACGACACAGGACAATGCAGCTAATCTTCTGTCGCATCTGACTCTGATTCGCCTTGCCTGCGCAAGGTTGGATCCTTTGTGAAAGTTCGACAAGCCTTGCAGCTGTCTTTGGCAGTCGACACAACTGCAATCGCCTGAATCGTCTGTAAAAACCGAGATCAGCACCCAGGACAGGTGTTGCGTCTAAGTCTTCGACCTTCGGCTGGCCACATGAATGCAGGATGCAGGGTTGGCGAGGTCTCGGCGCTTGGGTTCGAGCATCGCCGCAAGGCATGCTGGCCCATCCCTTTCGTGCTCTGGGTGACATCTCGAGCATTGCGGCCATTGCTGGCCTAGACATGATAGAATCATGATAGAGACTGGCTCTCCAACGACTGTGACCTCATCAAGACTCGGCCGGTGCGACGTCTGGTATCCAGACCACATGTCATAGAGCTCCAAGGGCATGCGCTGTGCCATCGGCAGTTCCTGTCGCGAGTATCGCCCAGAAACCAAGTAAAACTGTTGATTGCTGAACCTAGACAACACTGGCATTGTGCCCAAGCAGACCCATGGTCAGGACCACATGACCACCTAACCACTTACTATGTCGGTCGGCTGGGACAAGGCATGCACGTTGATCCACATGGCACATCGACGAGTTGACGAGTTGGGAGAAACTTGAGCACTACTTATGTGTCGCTGTCCAGTGGTCACAACCTTTCCCCTGTGCCCAGCCGCACCCGCAAGCTCGTCTGTTGCTCGAAGTACTGCGGTCCACCGCCACGGGTGTCCACCTGCGCTTCATTCAGGCAACGGGGGAATCGATCACTTTGCTTGCATGAAAACAATCTCACATCAGCATCCAAGTGGCCCAGTGCTGAAGTGCCGCCGCACCCTGTGCAACTTCCCTTCCGGCCTTCAGCGTTCAGGATGATTGCTGGTCTACTTTTGCTCGAAATGAGCAGCAGCAGCCTCGCCGAGAAGATTTTTTTCGTCCGGACGGCGGGCCTTTTGCAACGCTGGCGATAGCGTGAAACACTCGGCTATATCGAGCTTCGGACAGCAATGTGGCCGCCGATGGCACCATCACACACAAGTCCTCAGAGACTCCGGTCTCTCCCGCAATGGCAAGGAGTGCAAGGTGCCCGGGGACCGGGATCCAAGCCCACAAGCAACATGGGCTGACCACCTGCCGGCCAAGAGCAGAAAGGCGGCACAGACCTGGTCAAGCAATACCAAAAGCTGATTCCAAGCTGGCACACTCGGGCAGCTGCCCGCTGTGAGCACGCTGTGGGTACTGACCCGTGGTTAGGCCAGTAGTCCTGGGCTCGTGGGCGCAGCGTGGCTCAACTATGCTCAAGAGGCAGACTGCGTGACTGCTTGCCAAACTTCGAGCAAGCGGCATTCTGTTGAACTCCGTGGTGTAACAGGGGTTGGTGTAAAGCCTGGCACCGAGGGAGCAACGCGCCAAGGAGTTAACACCAATTTAAAGTCCCACGCAGCCGGCGCCTCTCCAGCAGATTCACCAAAGAAATGAGTGCTTGCTCCTCTTTCGAGAGTCTCCGCCTCGATGAGCTTCTCGCAGCACCCCAAGACACACAAAACACATGAATTCAGGGCCCACGCATGTGCCCGACATGCCGCAAGAGACGTCGACGCACCAAGCGCTTGGAGGTGTGAAAAGCAACAGCCTCCAGACGACACAAACTGCCGGCCGCAACAAGCACTGTAGCATCTCACAAGCAGTCGAAGCCAACCTGAGGAACACTGCTTTTCTCAGCCAATGCTCCAGACCATCTGTCACCTGTACATTTGACTAACTTTATATAATCTGAGCTATGCTCTGTCTGACATGCACGTTGCGCCCCATGAGCCACCAGAATTCAATAACTTCTTGCCTGTGGCAGGTCAGAAGATAAATGCATTGCGAATCGGCCAGGACAGCAGGTCACCAATGTGCGGTCATTCAAGGTCGCTCGTCTGCGCAAAAGAATGCATTCTCGGATGTTCATAGGAGGCCAGGAGTTCGCACTGTGCGTGCCATCATCTCAAATCACTGAGATCCCTTTACAGAACCGGCACTGGGACTTGTGCTTCGCGCTTGCTACATCGGGCGCAGATAATTTCCTGCGCGAACAAGATCACAAGATCTCCTAGGATCACAAACACAACATGCAAGCAATGTTGTGGAGAAGGTCGAAATGGATTTGGAGCTACTAATAGCTCACACGCGACTAGGAAGTCTCAACATCCCGAGAGCCCCCCCGTCGCTTCTCTGCCACAGTTGAATTGCCTTGGGCCGATTCACCGGACAACCACCGCTTTGCGCCGCTCCAAACAAGCGTTCAACGTTGGCTTTGGGTCAATTTGTGCAGCTGCAGGGATGTCATCCGGAGACAAAGGCGCTGCAAAGAGGGCGCATCGATCCATGCACCCTCACACAGGCCCTGTCTAAAATGAACAAATCTTCAGTAACATTCAGTCTATACACTTCCCGAAAAGAGAACTCCTGTGCCGAGTTCTGTTCAGGCAACTGATCTTACGCTCGAGCTGCCAGCGTGCACAATTTCGCACTGCAGGCATTCGCTAACGCAGTTTCACAATATCCCTCCTCGCATCACCTGCTCAATCTCACAGCAGCGGATTGAGATCAGCTGCTTCCGTCCTCGGTGTCGCATCGACAGGCTTACGCTGCTCAGGATTCGACAAGCATGTAGCAAAGCGAAGCCAGCTTAGCTTCCAGAAGCTGCAAAAACTGCTTCAATGTTTCAGGATCCATCCCCCATCCCAACATCAGAACGTCGTCGACATGGTCGAACACATGCACGAAGCAAAGGAAACTGACCACAACAACGGTTCTCGTTTGAAGGTGTGGCAGCCGCCACGGGTTTGAAGAAACCCCAGATTTTGCACGAGTGCTGTGCATGAACCAAGGACCGCTTGCTAGCCTGATCAAAACCCCTCAACTGAAGCTCCTCAGTTCAGGCATGGATTCCACTCTCGTCGTTGCACAGACGGTCCCCCCACAACCGACAAAACTGTGGGCAACCACATCAAGATGTGGCAAGCTGCGCTATGCCAGGGCCATACAGGATCATGTTCCAAATGCTCAAGGACATCGGCAGCAGGCTCGCCTCACCACAGGCAGCTACACACAGCAGTAGCATCTTGAGGAATAGCCTCGGACTCGGAGCCTTCTGCTCGCTCGTGAAAAGTTTTCAGGGACAGTAGGGTTTCTGTTACTGCCGCTTCCTGCCATAACTTCTTCTCGGAACTACTGCTCTTTACTATCTTTATCCGTTTTCCGACTCACTTGCTATCTCAGAGTTTGTATGAATCTTGGGTCGGCCAATGCAACCGTGCAAGACCTGCAACAAAACACTGCAACACCCTCGCCCAGCACGCAAGCACAGCTGAGGCAGCCGCAGAGGTCACTGGCATGTAGCATTCGCAATTTCCACCTAGAATCATTTTTCGAACGGTGCATCCATCATACCGGCCACAAGATGCCCACGTGTTAGACACACGTGCAAGAAGGCCCAATGAGTAAACTTCCGACGGTATGCAGCATCCCATATTCCAATGCAGCCAGAGCAACAGCGAAGAGGGGATGGCCTTGTTGGCATGCATGTGCTCCACTCTTTGCTTCAGAATGGCTTGTCAGCAATTCAATCGCCAGCTCGCAAGATGTGATGAGCAGTCGGTGTGGCACCTCGTCCGTGCAGGGCAGTCGCAGCCGCTTTTGCACATGTCATTCTGGTTCTGGTTGTTGGTGAGGGCCGGAGGCCTGAGCCCCCAGAACACATGCACAGGGAGGACTTTATCTGGGCATTGCGACTTGCTGTGCCATCACTGAGCCCAGATCCGAGCATCCACTGCAGAACTTGTCGGTCCCACCGTCACTGTCGGTCTGTGTATGCTGGCCGCTGCCTGCCAGAAAGATTCAAGTGGCATGCACGTTCCAATGCTTCCAGGTCTTCCTCCGACTTCCTAGTCACTAGCCAGGCTGTGCCAATGGATTGTTCTTCTGCACTTCTTCTGGCAGGGCGCGGCCTGATGTGCGACCTGCTGCACCCGGCTCATGCCAAAACTGTGCCGACTTATGGCAGCCGCAGCCCTTGGCAGGAGCTTTGTCGCAACCGAAATTTGAGACATCTGAGTCTTGATGATTTCCCTCTCGGAAGCTTCACCTAAGCCCGCGACAATCGTCTGGACAGCATCTCAGCAGCACTTGCTATTCCTCTGGGACATCTGCAGAGCAAACATTAACAATCCAATTGCATCAGCCAAATTGTGTCCATCCTGGATTCTCTCGAAGTTGAGAGTGCCACTGTTTCTCTCGGGAAGAAACTCCAGTTCTCGATCCCAAAACGGCTTGACATACAGATACAGCTGCCGCTGGACACATCGGAGGCGACCTGTGAAATGAGTCCAACCGAAGGACGAGCCTTGAAAAACCGATTCACATTCTCTCCTGGCCAAGAGCATGCAAAAGCCCAAGCAATCGAACATGTGAAGCAGTTGGAGCAACAAGGCCTACGTTGCGAAGCATGTGCATTGCAACAAACAGGAAGTCCAGCCTAAGCTGTGTGACGATTCCGCAGGAAACGTTCCAGCATGCACTTCAGCAGCACCCTCTCGCACCCCAACAATCGCTTCTCTTTGTGAATATTGGAGAGGATCGAAGACTGGCGATGTGTCAAGTGTTCGGATCAGGCCCCTGCTGCTGGTTGCAGACCAGCTGGTATGCCAGCCTGGCAAAGGCGGGAAACTTGGGAGACACCCCTCCAGAAGCTGCTGCAAAATGCTCGAAAACAGCGCCGGAACTGCAATTTGCCGAACACAACTTCACGCGATAAAGACGAATATACACGGCAGACCACAGCTTCTTGCAGCAACGGTTGCATGTGTGGCCTTCCGGCTGTTACCCGGAACTCCTCGAAGACGCTGCCTTCACTTAAGAAATCAACGAATTGCCCGGGCAAGAAATGGCCGTACCGACCTGACCCTGCATCCGTTTCCTTCAGCTCGTGGAACAAGTTCAACGCCGAAGAGATGCCTTAGGATGACCCGAGACCCGGGAGCCGAAGGAGGCTTGCACCTTCTGAGCCTTCTGAGCAAGCCGCGTCCGCTCATCAAGGCACTTCGCACGATGGCCTGCAATGGCAAAAGGAGCAAGCAAGCCAGGCGCCAGGCCAGCGGACACTCTGACTCTGGCTACACTCGGACCAACAAACATGAGAGCTCCCATCATGCCTGCGGTTGTCCTGTACCCTCTGACTCGTGAGTTGTGCTGACTTCTTGGCAGGGGAGGGTGGTGAGCCTTTTTCAGTATCACTTCGTTGTCTGTCGTGCCTCCGTGCCCTCAGTGGTACGCAACTGCGTCAAAGGCAAGGATGGACGATCCTGGCTCCCAGCTGCTTGTATTTAATTTGACAGTTCTCCCGAAAACGTGGCCACCGTGCACCCTGGAGCTTTGGGGTGAGCCTCACACCGGCGACGCTGTGTTTCTGCAGTCAAGCTGTCAGCACACTGCGTACGATAAGCTCAAGGCGACAAACTTGCATCCGCAGCCACCCCTGTCTTCGAACCTGAGATGCTTGCACTTCTTGAGCAGTTCATAAGAGAAAGGGAGAGAAGGCTCAACGTTGAAAGAGTCAAAGCAAAGCACCTAAACCATGGATGAGCATGGCTGATGTTGTGCGCTGTACTGACAGATTTCGGACCCGCAAGACTTTCGGAAACCAGAAAGACAAACTACAGCGCCGCTGGAGTCCATGACATCACAATGCTACTGGAGGCCGGGCCCATGAAGTTTCGAAGAGATGGCGAGGGCTGTAAGGCCCTGCGCCGGAGACAAGGAAAAGACGATGATGGGCCGTGACGGACGCGATCCGGGGGAGCGTTCTAGACAAAACCAGGCTGCGGAGGCTAAAAGGAGATTCGAGAGTTCGAGGGCACGTTACGTCCGACAAGCTTTAGCAGAGCCGGGGCGGCAAACTGGCGAGCGTCACGGATATGATTTGTGACTCTCCGACTGCGCCCCCGGAGCTCTCTTGGACTCGATTTTCGTACCGTCCGTGCTTCGAGCATTGGCTCAAAAGCTGTCAAGAGCTTAGCTCAGGTTTAGGCGTCCAAGGTCATCATGGCGTCGACCTGGACACCGCCTGCCATGACGTTCTGGCACAAGCTCTGCCCGACAAGGTTACGATATCTGAGGCAGCTACACCACGATGCCACTGTTACATGCAGCTTCTTCACCGAACGATCGAACCTGGGGCGAGTTTGTTCCCAACACCCAGTGCAGACTCAGGATGTACGTACAGGCCGTACCAGCTGCTGCTGGATGTTCCGGAGGGACTGCATGAAGACCTGGACGGACACAGAAACATCTTCTGCACGGAATGCAACACCCTTGTACAAGCCAAGGCAAAGACTGTAAGCTGCGAAAGCTCGTACACCATCAGGGCATACCTACGAAAGCGGGGAAACATGAGAGCTACCAGCAGCTGCCTGCGAGAGCCCGCCTCTCCGGCTCTGCAGACGCGTGGGCGGGCTGCAGGTAGGTCAGGGCACGGCACCTGCACCAATGCGAGCTGAGGCGGCTGGAGGCCAGAGTACAACAGCAAGGTCGTGTAAGGACCGCGCGCACCATTACACCTAGCAAGGCAGCGTGACACGCCAGATCTGCCAATATACAAAACCTCCAGTGCACATGTCGCTCCGTCGGTTTTGGCTTAAGCGTTCCGCTCGCGGATCTGGACAACTCTGGTCTGGACCTTCGTATGGAGTTAGCCAAGACAGACTTTCCGTAGTTCTCGCAGCACTGCGGCGAAATTCTTTTGTTCTCTGATGCTGGCCTGATGCTCGAAATCCAATCAGCATCTTCTCACCTTGGGATCCTTGAGGTGCCTGCAGTGCCTGCAGTGCCTGGCCCTGCCCGAGGTCACCTGGTGCCGAAGCTCACGTCGGTAGAATCCGCCGCTTGCATCTCCGCAACGCAAAGTGGCCACGACGAGCTGGTGATCCCTGTGCGACACAGAGACTCAACGGTTCGAACACTTCGGCATTGCGGCCCACGGCCACGGCCTTGGAGACTTAGACGATGGGAGGTGCTTCAGGTCGCTGTCCTGCACCTAGTCATCCTAGTCCGTCTTCCTGCAAGGCTCTGCTAAACGTCTGAAACGTTTTGCAGTTACAGTTTGCAAGTGTTGCGCATGACCTGCGCCCGGGCCGGCCGTAAATCCACCAGGCATACAAAGCCAGCGCATTGGAAAGCAGAGTGCAAACAGTCCTGGCCATGATCAAGTTCACCCTGCAAAACTGTGACTCTGGTTGGTCCTCACACCGAGAGGTAGCATGGCTGGCCATCCTTTCGTAGATGGATCGAAGAAGAAGCGCCTCAGTGAGCCACTAAGCAGCACATGAGAAATCGCAACGTCAGACCGACAAGTCTCGTCCTAGAAACCCAAGCATCCTCCCGCCCCTCACAAAGGTCCCCAACCCCCCACTTGTTGAAACTTGGTGTTGTTGGCGCCTCGCAGAAAGTCTGTGAAGGAAGCTCAATCCGAATAGTGAAACCCATCCTGTTTGCAGTGTCGGCATTCTACTTATGCGCAAGATGCCAGTTTCAGGGCACTAAAGCCGGGCAAGCAGTTTTGCGACCCAGGCACGCAAAGAGCCAGCGAGCGACGCCGGAGACGATGTTGTCAACGGCCTTTTTCGGCAGAACAGGTCTGAGATCAAGAGCAGAAGCCGCATCGCAACAGGGCTCCCACTGTAAGCAGACCGTTTGCAGATGCCTGCGCCTGACCACGAGCCAGTGGACAACAAGGAACCAACACCATCAGAATATCTAGCAGTCTAGCATGGCCTGTGGAGGAAACTGGGAGCTGAAAAAAGCTGCATCGGATCCACCATCTCCCGGGCAGAAAGCCAAAAGGCACCTCCAAACACATCACAAGATGAGGCCATCCAGAAACTTCTGCCAGTGTCACCATCACTTTCGGCCCCACACCAACACGTACGAGTTTGATCGGGGTCCCTATCCATGCCGTCTTTCAGCCGGAAAGGGACGGTGACCCATCGGATCGAAGTCATTCGAAGTCAACTGGTCGGTCGGTCGGTCGGGTCGTAAGTCAGGCATGGTCAGGCGGCGCGTGGACAAGCAAGGATCGGCACACCGAACAACGCCAGACAACGGGGTGACATACAGGTCTGGCTACTTCACAGTGACTGTCCAAAACGTGCAAAGCCTCATTCCTAGTTTGACCGATCCACTCACGTCTCGGGGTGGTGTGGATGGGCAATCGAAGTGCCATTCAGAGTCGATCAGAGCATCTTCTTCTCTGAATCAAAAGTGCACTTCCGGACAAAACAGCAGCAAGCCATTTTCCTTCACCAACAGCAGCACGAACCTTCCCCGAGGGTTGCGAACTGGGCTTCCACAAATGCTGAACGGGCCTCTGTCATCTGCATGCGAAGCACTGCGAGCCTCTACTCTCGAGCTGACGAGCGACTGACCCCCTTCGCAGAAGCAAGAGCGAAAGGCTTATGCCTTTTGGTCACAACCCGCAACCTGTCCGATCCTCGAACCAAGCAATTAGATTCCTTCACACATGCTCGCACCTCGGCACCAAGAGAAACACAGCACCGAACGGCGCGAAAGTCTGAATCAGCAGCCTTAGAAGCTTCAAACTCGGAACTAAGAAGCCTCTAAGATCTCAGCATTTTGGCCGGGCAGCATGGTGGATCCGAAGCCGAGGCTTGCTTGTTGGTACCAGAAGCTGTTTCTCGGATTTTTGGCCCATTGGACCATCAAGCCGCTCGTCACCATGCCCCAGAACTCACGAAAACTACTGATTGGCACGTTCACCAGGTCCCAATCTCCAGGTCCCCAGCCTTGGTGCTGCACAGCACGCTTGCTTCAAGTGTACACAGGGGCTTTGTCTTTGACTGTTGCGGAAGTTGCGCGTATCACTGGAAGCTCTTTGCAAAAGGTGGCCCGGTGCACTGTCTATAAAAGAGCCACTGTTCAGAAACTGATTCATGTTGGGAAAAGATGGGCAGCTACCACTGGGGGCTGGCTTGCGTCATGTTGCGAAAGCCTTAGCCCCACCTCCACTACAATACCAGCAGCGCCACCACCACCACGACCACCACCACTCCCATGCCACTGCAATTCCTACGGCTGTTCGGCAAGCACTTCATGTAACCACCCTATCAATGTGGGTATGCGATTCGGTTCAAGCCCAAGGCTGCTTGCGGAGAAGGGTGCGATCAAAAACGTTCTATTGCCTGCGGTTCCGGCTTCTATCGAAAAGCACGAAGAGGAAGAACCCAGACTGATGCATGACTGCAGCCCCTCAATCATGCATACGTGTATAATGTAAAGTTCGCCTCCTTTCGCACGTCTGGAGATGTGATCTTGCCGAACGTAGCCCAGCGCATGCATTTATAGATACGGGCTTGATTTGAGTGTGCTTGGCTAACATATCAAGTCCGTGAAAAAGTGCCTATCAGAAAAGTGAGTATACCTGCGATGTCTGGATGACTCGTACGCATTTATTCGATCTCATAGATGCCACACATGCGACACTGTCTTCGTAGAATATACCTGTACATATACAAATGCATGTATGTATTGATAGATAGGTAGATAGATAGACAGACAGATAAGAAGATGGATACATAGATATATCCATCATACAAATATAATATAGATATACAAACACATACAGCCGCATACATATAGATACGTATGTACGGAGATATGTGTAGATGTATGGTATGTGTATACACAAATTCTGCACGCACACACACACACACTTGCTAGCATTGATGGACCGGCTTATCTTTCAACTGTTTCGTAACTAAAACTATCTAGCTGTGCTTGCTTCACAAGGTTTATAACTCTGTAAAACTTGACAACAGTCTGCCAATGAATTGCTTTGCAGAATCCAAAACTCCAAAAATTCCGAAAGTAATGTCTGCAATAAACTCCATAAAATATCAAACTCCGACAGGAAGCATTGGACTGTTGCAACTGGGACACTTCCGAAGCCTGTTTCGTGGATTCGGCGTTCTGAGGATCCCAAAAAGCAAACTTGGTTCCGAACTCTGTCCCACCTACACTACCTACTTGCCTCCCTCACACCCCCTATCCTCCCACCTACCTCCGTCTCCGTACATGCATGTACATGCGTACATCCATGCAGGCAGACAGACAGACCGACCGACCAACCGACCGACAGACACGCGGAAACACACACAAACACACATACATACGTACGTGCATTTACAAAAGCTCTTGGAACCGCATCTGCGGGATCATCGAAACCTGTTCGTAAGGCAAGCACCAAGTGTGGAGATCATGAAAGAATCCAGGACCGATTCCCAGCCGTTGCCCAGCTGTAGAAGCAACATCTGGGCGAGGCGAATCTGCAAGAATCTGGAGCTTCGCAGCAGCTCGAAGGGAGAGGTCAGCTCCTTGAAGCTGCTCCTCAGCAGACCTGCAAAGCGGGTGAAAAGGGTGCTTTGCAAATGGCGCTTTAATCGCGCAAGAACTGTCCCAGCGAAGTTACGTTCAGGCTCACAGGTTTGCTTCCGCATTCATTCTCCGAACGTAAATTGCACCAAAACGTTTGTCAGACGACAAGTAAGAGTTGCGACAGGTATGCTAACAACATGGTAGTTTCAAGCTGCACGCATAGTCATAGTGTCCGATTTTGGTCACAAAGAGAAGCTGTGCCCGGCCGGACACACCGCCCACCGAGTGTGCACTTCTGCGCCGGGCACACCCACCCCACACGGCACCGGCCCGTCACCAAATCGAGAGATCGCTCAACGGCCTTAGTTATCATGGGCGACATCACCTGAGATGAGCTCGGCTGCGCTCTCTTGTCAGGTGGTGCCCCTCCGTCTGGTTTTGTACAAGCCTTTGCTGGCACTGTCCGTCCATCTCACTTAATTCCGTCGTGTGCGGTGCAGATAGGCTGTGCATCGCAGGACGCGCATCCCTCCCTGTCTTGTCAATCGAGGCTTTGGCATTGGCCTTCCCCCGGTCGTTGCCTTTCTTCCTTATCCAGCTCGAGGCTCTCTGGCCTGTCCTTGGCTGCCTTGCCAGCAGGGCCAACGTCGGCATCGCTGGTGGCGCTACTGCTGCTGCTGGAAATGTTCGAAAGACGAAACGGCCGCGTACTCGCCGACGTAGAGATGTAAAGCTGGCGTGCTACGCCGGGGACAACTCAACAACGAAGGCTCCAAACGCCACGGAGCAAAACCCGGCCCAGACGATTGCATTCGTCGACGGCAACGTGCCCAGGACGGGCGTCGAGATCGGAATTCGAATACACCCCAAGCTTCAAAGGCTGGGGGAGTTTGAGTGTGGGCGCATCCAGGTCCCAGCGCCCGAGGATGAGGCGCTGCCAGAGGAGAAGCCGAAAAGGCGATCAGGCCGCGATAGCTTCGGCTGGCTGATCACTGATCACTTACGCCTTTACCTACGCTTCGCGCGTCGCTAAACAATTCCCCCTTCAGCCATTACAGCCATTCCTTTCAATTTCTTTCACAATTGTTGCTTGTGCCGGTTCATGAGCCGAAGGAATACGTCCCGACCAACCCCTAAGCCCTAAGGTGCTCTGCAAATCTTGAAAGCAAGGCCTGAAACTGATGTGTCCAGAAGCTTGCCCTGGTTCGGCAGAGTCTCTTCGAGCTGGAAATAACACACCAGAAGGATCACGAGGCCAAGCATTCCAGCAAGCAAGCAGAGCACGTCGAAGTGCATAAACTGTATCCTGAGCCGCTATTCAACGCATGCCGGCAGGAATGGCATGCTGCTACTGTCCTGTTCTGTGCTGGTTTAGAGGAGCCGTGCTGCAGCTGGGCATCTTCTGGATCCAAATAACGAAGCACAGGGTCAAGCCACGACTGAGAACCTAGCAACGGGTGGCAATTCCGCAGTGTGCCAGACCCCCACTCAAACCCAACTCGCATCGTGTCAGGCTGAAAGCAAGCAACATCCACATGATTCAAAACGACGAAGCCCTTCGCGCGCTGACCAGTTTCCAGTTGATCCGCAATGATGGCCTTAAAGCATAGGCTGAAGGCGGTTGTGCAGCCTTGCAGAGCCAGAGCGCAGGTCAGAATCCTTGGCACAACAGTAAAAAGGTTTCAGGGCTAGAGTGAGGGCTGAGGGCTGAGAGTTGAGGTTTCACAGGTTTGGCTTCAGTGTGAGTTTCAGGAGTGAGAGCGAGGGTTGAGAGACAAGGATGAGGGTCGAGGGAAGACTGAGCTCAGCTGGGCAGCAGGGCTTCCCAAGGACCCTCGTGCCAGCCCCACCTCTTCAAACACATCAGGAGGTGAGTGGGTCCTGCTACAGGTCGCTGCACAGGCAACCCGCCGCACCAAGCGAGTGTCTGGGTGATTGTGCTCGTGGCATCAAGACTTTGTTAGCCAGACCTAACCTGGACCGTCATGCCATTTTTCAATCGGCATCGGAACTGTCTGTTGCAGAGGTATCGGGGGCTGTGCTCTGGTGCATGTGCTGCGAGACAGCTGCGTGGATGATGTCTGGGGCAGGCTGAAGTCTCGACCGCAAGCACTTTGTCGACATGGTCGAGGGGGGGCGTCTCTAGTACTGGAGTCGGCTTTGGAGACAGGGTGCGTCCAGCATTGCAAGAAAGTTTCGGACCTGCTCCTGGAGAGCAGGGCGTAAGCCCAGCTTATGGCTAGACACTCTAGTCAGAAAGTTGCTGCCATCCAACAACCCCACCAATGTGCAGTGCTCCAAAAGGACTTGTGCTAGGACTTCAAGTCAAGCTGTAAAGGGCCATCGCCGCGAGGGTCTCAACCCAGACTTCAAGGCTTAGAGTGGTACAGTAAGTGCCAAGCAACATGATCGGCGGGATCGCTGTCTGCATGCACGCCATCATCATCAGCCAGGATGCCATCGTGATGCCGCCGATACTCAACATTAACACAGGCTTGCCTCAGACTGTTGCAGAAGTCCGAAGGCCCATGATTTCAACAGCCTGAAACCTTCATCCAACAGCTTCCTAGTCGCACTTCTGAGGTTTCATTCAAGAGCCCGAAAGTTAGCTGGTGCCTGGTTGCCGCAGGCCACAGGGATTCGCAGGACATGCAAACAAACTGAGGATATATGGGATAGTGCATCTGCAAGTTATGATCCCGGTAGATTGTCTGCGCGCATCTTAGAATACTTGTGCAAACCACGGTGCGGCCATGCGTGTCGCAGAGTGCACCCAAGAGCGGTCCAGAGAGCATCCGGCAGAGCAGCTTCAGCGCGACTAGCCACGCCTCCTGCTGAAGTGCCACAGAGATGACGAGGTTCCGGTCGCCACAATGAAGCGAACCCGAGTACTCCCCGTCACCTGGACTCGATCGGCATCAGGGCAAGCGAGAAAGCACTGTGCGTGGTATCCGTGTTCCACACCTCTTGCCGCTTTGGCTGGCAATAGAGTGCAGTCATGGCGCTAACCGGCACATCACAAGCGACCAGGCTTCGAAGGAGTGGCAGGTAGAGCTTGATGCTGGACACCTGGGCAAGAGACCGGGCCACATCAATTCCAACAGCAGCAATCGCACAGTGAAAGTCTCCACACCTAAGAAATCTGGATGTAGCACGTTGATGAACCCCAGAGGGAAGTAGATGGCAAACGCGATCCAGAGTGTTGGCGGTAAGACCTGGCATTGATAAGAACTTTTGTCGTGACTGACCATCATTCTGAGTACCCAGTGCTTCACGCTCTTCATGCGGACAAGTTGCATACAAATCCCGCAGGCTCGCAATCCCGGATGCCACTTTCAGGCGGAGACTTCGAAACATGACCTAGCTTGTCCAAAACTTGAGGCACGGACAGTTCACGTCTTGCCAGTTTGCACAGCACCCTGCCTCTGAAATGACTCCGGCTGGTAACGAGAACTGGCATGGCGTGAAAGGTCGTAGTGTAGCGTGTTCTGCAAATCAGTGCAGCTAGCAAGCTCCCTGGTCCTTGGGAGCATAGCAATGCCGTTGTGTTTCTCTCACATTACTAGTTACGCTGATGCCAGTTCCTGGATGCAAAGCGACCTTGAAAAACAGAGGGTGTTACAAGGCGCATAGCTTTCAGGTTGCACAGCACACAGCAGCCTGGACGCTTTGGCTTCAGTGCTTGGCAGTCAAAAAACACGTCTGTGCATCTTGTGGACGCGTTCTTCCTCACAGCGAGCTGCTCCGACAAGGCCCACCACCGAGGCCGTTCTTCACAGAAAGGGACGGGCAGGGGCACACTCGAAGGTGGCCATCGGGCCATCATCACAGACCAGTCGAGCCGGCGCCGTCGAGGGTTGAACGAGATTCAGATGCCCCATCGTGAGGTTGAAGACTCAACTTGCAGGAGCACCTCTGAGATCGCGAACACGGAACAGCTACCGCAGCTTCAAATCTCCTCTGGCGTCGAATGCACATCCGCATGTGGAGGAGGGGTGCCAGATGTGCCAGGTCAGAGACGAAGAACAATTGCATCCTGCTGAGTTGCAGTGATTATAAGGATTTTCGGATTGAAGTCGAATTCTCACCCGCTGGCAACAGGTGGCCTGAGGCTTCTCGACTTCGCAAAGGCAAACAACTCGTATTTCTGCCTGCGCAGACATGAGCATCGACGCACTCTGTATGCATCAGGCTGCGGGAGGTTCTAACTGCATACCCTGCCTCACTCATGCTTCGCCGCAATTCCTCTGTGGCCTCTGCAGCTGCCTCCGTAGCAGGAGATGCGGAGGTTTCCACGACCTGGCTGCACCATGGCAGCTGGGGAAGATGCAGTGTTGTACAGCAGCGCCTTGAAGGTGCTGTCGATGGGGAAGAGGACCTCCGCCTCGTACTTGCGTGCGCTCAGCTTGGCAATCAAGCGCCCGCTGAAGGATTCCTCCCGTTTCACAAGTCGACATTGCTGGACATTGCTGGACAGGCGGGTCGCTTTCTCCTGGATCACCAGTAGTGTCCTCTTTGCTGACCTCGCCAGCACCACGAAATCACAGCACATATCACCGAATGGAGCCCAGCCATGTCATCAACTACCGTAGGGCCTGCCCTGGTTGGCTTGCTTGGCAAAGGCCACGGCACCATCCATGTCATAGGATGTGCTGGTAAACCCGGGCCTGGTTTGAGTGGTGAGCACAAGTCAGCCTCGGAGAGCCCTTCTCTGGGCTCTGGCGACAATGGCAGTCAGGCGGCAGCAAGACCACGGACCCAACTGGCAAATCAATCTCGCGGCGATGGCCGCGATACAGTGGCTGTGTCGAAGATAGTGCTGGAAGCTTCTGCACCGCACCATGAAGGACCTTCAACAGCATGGACCATGTCTTTGCAGAACAATCTTGTTGAAAGCCAGCCGCCCAAAATGACGTGCCTGGACATACGGCATCACGTCGATTCTAGAAAGCCGGCACATCGTGCGTTGACCACGAGGGAAGTCTTCAAACCTGGGGTTCTGGCTATGTTGGATTGAATAGCTTGAAAGAGTCCAGAGCCCAGCCCAGCTCGAGACCCGCACTCGACCTCCTCCTGCCCCCTCGCGATGGGATTAATCAACCTGAAGTCCTGACACAACGCTTTGGATGAGTCAGAAAAGTCACAGTCCTGAGACAACATATGAAAGCACAATCTTGCTGTCGGCAAGGTGCCCCGGTTGTCCAACCAAGAACTGCCGCAACTTCGTGCTGCGTTAAGCCCATACTCTTGCCGACCTCGGGTGCAGCTGGAGCCGACCGCATCCGACCGGCGTCTGCGTCTGCCAAAGCGCAGGCCTCCATGATGGAAGGAAAGCCTTCGTTCTCTGCACGGAGCTTGGTCTGCGCATAGACCAGGCTTGGCCCCACAGCACTGGCGTCACGGTAGCAGCTTCGCATCTTCCAAGGTGCCTGAATCTAAAGGGTTCGCGCCTGTCGCAGTTCTTCCACTTGTCCAGAAGCTCGAAGGCTCGCACATTCACCTTTCATTAAGTGCCCTCAAACCGTTTCTCACAGTCGTGGCTGTGCCAGATTGAAGCTGCTACATGTGCTAGAAGCGGCAGGGCTACTTTTAGAGCGCTTGATTTGTCGGATTCGCACAAGCCTGCAAGATCCTTGCAAGACGGGCGTCTTCAGCCTTGTTCTCTACCATATGTACAGTAGTACATGAGCAGGCCAGCGCTGGCCTGCATTGTTCAACGTTTGCGCGAGAAACGCTGATCAGCACGAAAGCACCGAACGCTCACTGTTTGGGGCGAGTATTCCAGCTTGGCCGTCACCGCGTCCTTCGTGCGACTCGGAGAATGGCACCTGTCCGAAGAGTTGCACCAGCTTCGCAAGCGAGACGAAACACGGATGAAAGCTGATGCCGAAGACACCTTTGCAGTCTGCAAAAAAACAGAAGTGCTTCGGGTTGGCGGCACCTGGCTGTGCTCAGTCGATCTCGGTCGTCCTCAGTCGTCCTGGTAGACCCAGCTCAAGATGTGTCGCTGCGTCACAAGCGTGTCGGAATTGAAGGGGCCCACGTTCCTTGGAAGGCAGAAAGCTCGAAAGCAGAGCCATGGCAAAGCTGGCGCATTTGCAGAACTCTGTACTGCATGACAAGGCTGACAAGCTGCCGCAGCTGGTCCTGAAGAACTCCACGCCAAAGCGCAAATGCTTCAGCTGATCGGTCCTCGCAACACGAACTGCAATGCAGCAGCATCAAATTTTCAGACAAATGATTTGACAGATCTGAAATGCCCGCCTGCAACGCCCAGCTCACGGCCAAGTTGAACTTGGCCTTCATTACTCCATGATTCTGCTTCCCCAGCTTGCGCTCTCCACGGCGTATAGTTGCTTCGAAGCTTTGGACCTTCGCGCGCTCGCCAAGCAGCTCATGAACGATGCGGCACGCAACCCTTGCTGTAAGCTGAGGCTGCCATTCACGGGTGCCACTAGGCAACAAAGCACGCATGCGGCTGCATCGTCCAACCGGCAACAAACCCGTTCAACCCAAACCAGCAGTCGTCGTAGCAGCAGGCGGCACAACAGCAGCAGCAGCAGTAGTAGGAGTAGAAGCAGGAAGAGTAGCAGTAGCAGCAGGAGCAGCAGTAGTAGTAGTAGTAGTAGTAGTAGTAGTAATAGTAATGGTGGTGATAGAACTCACTCACTCAATCACACTCGCAGCATGAATGTCCGTCCGCTTAGCGAAGTTGGCACACGTTTTGTGTGGCAGCTGAGCTGCATGGCGTTTTGCCACCCATCCTAGACCTAGCCCCCAGGGGCCTACAAGCACCAGGTCATAAACTGATTGAGCAGAAGCCCCGGCGCCTACAAAATCAAAGCGTTCTCCTGGACAACCTAGCCATGGACTTGCTAGGGGATTTAAAAGCAGCACCGTCGTCGGTGATCCAGGCCCATCCTTGGTCCTCTATGCGGAGAGTTCTGTAGTGACCCTGCTTGGGTGTGGACCCCAAAAGGATCACGACGTCACTCAGGAGGTATCTTTTGTGTGTGACACAACCTCCTACCCAGCTGGGGAGGGTCACGGAACGCGGCAGGCACACAACACGAGACTGAAAAGCTACCCACACATATGTCGTCCCAGAGGTAAACGTGGGGTTACCGGGCAGTTGGTGCGATGCATTGATTGCACGGTGCAGGGAGCACACGCCTCGTGAGTGTGGCAGTGATTCTAAATCACTGTTAAGTGGCGTGGGGCTAACATTACCGTTGTCAACACGGCGAACGTGTCCTAGTACGGCCCATGTGCTCTGAAACGAAGCTAAACGGCAAGCGTGATTGAAGAAGCCGAGAAATTCGGCTGCATCCTGCTGCCGCCCTGTGTCGGGCCAATGGCGGAGCTGCCTGCGCCATGCGGGTCGGGACCACACATGGATTGGGCTACCTGGGTGGGCAGTTGAGGCAAGAAGCTGGCTCAAGTCTTCTTGCGCGCGAGGGATCTGGCAGACCTCGTTTGGGCCAGTATGTTGGATCGACACCCAGACGGTGGCTAACAGATTTGAGTTGGCATAACAATCGTTAGCTCGGCTTTGCAAGGCTAGACGCTGAACTTGCTGCAGAGCTACAGCCGACGCAGTTCCTGCTCGCTCGCCTGCGCTAGTGGAGATCGGCCTCGCCTCTCGCGACGAGGGGTCGTCGCGACCAACTGCAAAGCCGAGCTGCCCGCCAGAGACTCGACTATGGCCCAGAAACGCTAGGCGCGAGCCTCCCGGAGCCCGAGGATCAAGGCGAACGTGACCGCCGAGCAGGCCATGTTGGGAATCAGCTTCTGGTTGTATGATAATTGATCAACACGCCGTCTTCCTTGCACAGCACGATGGTGTCTTGAAGCATGTCCACTATCTCTTTCAGAGTGAGAGGGGCAATGTCCTCGATCGGTTCCAAGATGCCCTGTGCCGGACTCCACTTCACACACTTGAAACAATCCGGCTCTGTGAGAATCCTCATGCGGAGAGCTTCCTGGCGCTGAGTCTGGTCCGTGGTTAAGGCTAGGAGTCTTTTTGACCAGCTCCGAGGCCCATGTCTGCCATTCTGCTCCAACGCGTGCCTTGAAACATGATCCACAAGGTCGATTATTCGGGGCCGTTCAGGGCCAGGCCATCGGTGTGACGAAGTAAAAGAGGGAGAAGGTTGGGCTCCGGGCAAGGGCAGGAGCCGGGGTCGTGGGAGCTGAAGATCGTCTGCCCCTGCATTGCCATGGTTTGCAGACGCGTGAGCTCTGCTGCCGCCTCCTGCAACTCTTCTGCCGCGGATCCTTCAGGGAGGCAGGATGGTGAAGTGACCGTAGAAGCTTAACCCAGACTATCATGCCAGATCACCCTTGAAGGAGAGCCCACAGCATCTGCATGGTGAGCTTAGAGCCAAACCCTTGCGGTGGAATTTGCAAACTCTGGCAAGTGCGAGGGCTTCTTGGGCCCAGGATGCCACGGGCGCGAATGAGCCATTGCCCGCATATCGGGCAATACTGACAGCATTAGGGGTTTTGACCTTTCACGAGGCTGAGCAGCTTTTCCCAATGCATTGCACAGAGCGTGGCAACCAATACCACTACGGACTAAGGCTGTCGGGACTAGCTGGGCTCGGACTAGATGTTGAGCGTTTGGGAACAGCTGCTGGCAAGTCCTCCCATCGAGCACACTCGTGGCCACAGTGCCGGCATATACACAGTCCTTGCGGCGCGTGCAGCCATGAGAAACGGGTTTGGGGCTTGCCGATGCGAGGCAGGGAGGGAAGCCTTGCTGCATGCAATCATCCTGGTTGGTAGCTTCGTGTACTTTGAGGGCTCCCAAGGACTCAAACTTCTGCATGCAGTGAGGACACTCCAGTGATTTGTTGCTAGGGGGACGCTGGAGTAAGAGGCCGAGAGTAGAGCACGCCATGCTTGCAGGGGAAGCTTTGGGCCCCTTCCACCTGCACCCTTGCCAGTATATCTACGGAGGTGACATGCCAGAGATGAGCCGGGGAGCATGCCATCATCCTGAGTTGCCTGTGCACCGCTTGACGAATGAGCTTGGGGCCGTTGCTGGGGAGTCCTACATGGTGAAGCGAGTACCTCAACACTCTCATCACACAGGCATGCCATAAGCGAACTTTCGTTCTCAAGTGCAGAGCTCGATTTATGAGGATGGAGTGGAGCCGCCAATAGCTGCCCCAACCAGTGGCAAGTCGATGACGGAGGTTCAGTGCCTCAAACCCTTGATACGAGAGATGAGCCCCTAAGTACTTGCGCGCGCGGACGACCTTGAAGAGGATCCTGGCCTGCCCTGCGGAATTCGCAGGAAGGTTTCCCCATCGATTACCCGTTTGTAACGCCAATGACGGAGGAAGCGCTCGTGCCCGAGGATGCCAGTAGTAGCACTGTCTTTTCTATACTCAGGGCCAAGCCAGCACGCTGAATCGCGTGCACCAGGGTGCCAATGGCTCGGATTGCCTGGCGAAAGGCATCAGGGCTTTGGAACACCCAGCTACCAAAAAAGTCATTGGCAAACATGTTGGTAAGACCCTCAGGGAGGGAATGGGTTCTCAACTCTTCAATTTAAAGCCGGTACACGCTTCCTGTTGCCTGAGCCTATAACACCGGTGAGAGGGAGCAACCCTGTCTGACTCCCGTCCCCAAATAGACTGATGCAGAAGAGGGGCCGGAGCCTACTTGCAGGCAGGCATGAGAATGCAGGTGAAGGATGCGAGATATTTCGAACTGAGCCTCCTCTAGGAAGGTATGAGAAAGGCTGTCGCAAGCCTTTTTGATGTCCAGGCTGATGGATATGGTAGCGTCTGGGCATTGGTTTGCAACATGTGGCGGACGTGGCGATGGGAGCAGACAGATTCAAGAGCGTCGGCCGTTGATCTACCGAGCAGGTACGCCCATTGTCGCACTGCGGCAAGGTGCTGGACCCGGTCTTCGATCATGGTGGCTACCAGTTTGTTTGCAGGGTTCTGTGAGGCAATGGGTCGGAGAGATTTGGGTTCACGAACGACAGGTACCTTCGGGATCATATGTAGCCAGACTTTTCAAGCCAGTCAGGCTCAAGCTCGGCAGCTTGAAGGTTCATGGCGGGAAGCAGGGTAGAGACCACTACGTCCGGGACGAGTTTCCACAACCGAGCCGGAGCAAAGGACGAGGGCAGGGCCTTTCCGCCCGCCATACGAGCAAGTGCACTGCGAAGGTCCGCCTGACTGAACAGGGCTCCATTGATGGGGGCTGAGTTTGGAGGACTCGTCCCGCGCTCACTGTGAAACACCCGACGAAGGAACTGAGCCATGTGTTCCGTCTCTGCAGAGCCCGAGAGTAGCCGACCCGTTTTGTCTCTAAGCAGTGCTCTCATAGGTGCTAATCTCCGTACAACACTGAAGATCGCCGATAAGTGCAGGGAGTTTTCGGCCTCCTGAACAAGGTCTTCGATGCGCTCGCACTTCTTGGCTCCGCACGCCTGTTTGAGGAGGCGCCGTGTCCGGGATATACGGGCAGCCAGTAACCACCCACTCATCAAGGAATGTGTAGCCATGGCCTGTCTATGAACCTGACGCAATGCCCACAGCTGCCTAACAAGCCCCACTGAACGATGTTCTCGAAGCACTGGAGGAGGGGGGCGGCTTGCCAGGCTTGCTTGAGTGCTTCATTGCCCTGAAACCGGCGTACCATCATTGCAGAGGGTCACGATTACCTCCGAGGCAGTTAGCCGGACACGGTCTTTTGCTTTCGTTCGGGGAGCAACAGGTTGTGGCAACAAGATTAGGAAGGGGTGGTGGCGCATGCCCGTGGCCGGGATGTACGGCGCTGAGACTGTACGGGCAGTTCAGGAAGAGTAGGAGTAGCAGTAGGAGCAGTAGTAGGAGCAGTAGTAGTAGTGGTAGTAGTGGTAGTAGCAGTAGTAGTAGCAGTAGTGGTAGTAGCAGTAGTAGTAGTAGTAGTAGTAGTAGTAGTAGTAGTAGTAGTAGTAGTAGTCGTAGTAGTAGTAGTAGTAGTAGTAGTAGTAGTAGTAGTAGTAGTAGTAGTAGTAGTAGTAGTAGTAGTAGTAGTAGTAGTAGTAGTAGTAGTAGTAGTAGTCGTATAGTGGCAGGGGTAGTGGAAGTGGTAGTGGCAGCAGGAGCAGCAGCAGCAGCATTGGTAGAACAACCGTCGCACTCTTAGCTCTGACGCCAAAACGGACAACATACTTTTTCGTCGTGTGGATGTGTAGCGCTGAAAGCGCCGCTCGGCGTGCAGGTTCAAGTCCTACAGCCGGCGCCGGGTGCGCAGTTCAGCACCGGCCCGCTGCGGACTGACCGCCGCCGAACCCATAAAGGGTGGCGTGGGTGGGAGAAAAGCTTTTGGCGAAAGGTCGCGTCGAGCCAGAGTGCTGAAGGCAG